TTATCTATATAATCGTTCTAACTCTCTAGATCGATAGACGACGGTTTTATTAGATACCGTTCCTTATTACTAGTTTAGGTTATTACTATATAATTATTAGATAAGCCTAGTTCGTATATTATTAAGTATTATTAGATTATATAAATTACCGAATCTAGTAGTCTACTAAAGTTATCCTAGTAGATAAGATAGCCGGGAAACTAACTCTAGAGATCCCCCTACTAGTATTAACGCGTCCGCGGATTATAAATTAGAAATATTAGGTATATACTAAAGCCTATAACCGGGAAATAGAGCGACTAATCGAGTAGGAGCGGATCGATAGATCTCGGGTTACTTTAACTATATATAATACCGAATATCGACTTCCTAAAGAGTTCTTAAGTAATTATATATAAGCCTATAAGATATTTAGCTATATAATAGCTAGGGATAGAGAACCGGTAGTCCTAGCTCCTTAACTATCTCGCGTAGAATTAAATACCGTATTTCTAAGTCCTACTTAAGCTTTTATTAGTCGAGTAGGGTTTAAATACTATATATAGGCTAAGGATACCGAAGTATTTATTACTACTCTTAATAAGATCGATATAGTAATTACGGAACTAGCTCCTAGGAACGAAGTAGTTACGGAGAAGGAGTCTATTTAATAGTAAATTCCTAAGGTATACTATAATCTATAGGAGTTTTTCTTATAATATAAGTCCGATATTCTACTACTATATTAGGGCTTATTCGACTATAAGATCCTTCTTAATAGAGAGTAGAGACTAGGCTATTACTCCCTCTATAAGATAAACTAGGAGAAGCTTAAAGTAGTTCGAAAGTACCTTTTCGAGAACTTATAAAAGGGCTTTATTATTCTATCGAGGTATTCCTTCGCTTCTCTAATCCTAATAGTAAAGAAGGTAGATAGCGGACTACGCTTCTATATAGACTACTAATAACTAAACGCGATTACGGAAAAAGATATCTATCTATTACTACTTATTAATAAGATAATAGACCGGTTAGCCTACGTAAGACGCTTTACTAAACTCGATATATAGTAGAGATTCTATCGACTTAGAATAGTAGCGGACTTAGAGGATCTAATAACGTTTATAACTTAATATAGAATCTTTAAGTATAAGATTATACTATTTAGATTATATAGTAGATCTACCTCCTTCTAACGGTATATTAACTAGGTACTTAGGGATCTCTTAGATATAGTTACTATCGTATTCGTAGATAATATCCTAATCTTTAGCGAGGATCCCGAGAAGTACGTTAAATATATTCGGGCCGTAATCTAATAATTATAAGCTATAGGACTTTAGGTAGTAATCTATAAGTATAAGTTCGACCGAACCGAGACTAAGTTCTTAGGTTTTATCGTAGGAGTAGATAGAGTAAGGACTAATCCTAAGAAGATTAAGGCTATTTATAAGTAGTAAACTCCTATAATAGTTAAAGGAGTTTAGTCCTTTCTTAGGTTCTATAACTTCTATCGTTATTTTATTACTATCTATAGTTATATTACGAAGCTACTAATATATTATCCTACTTCTAGGTTAAATAATAAGAGGAACCGGAGAGCTAGACGTTACTACTAGAATCCTACTTAGACCCCTAGATTATAAATAAGTGTAAGGCTATTCGAATTAACTAACTCTATATTAGTAGTAACTTAATTAAATAGTTACTCTTAGTAAACCGGGATAACCTAGAGCTAGAAGTATAGTATTAGGAAGCCGAATAGGAGAATTCCTTAAGTAGATTCGACTTACGAGAAGGGGTACTAATCTATAATAAGAAGCTCGTGGTCCTAGTATATAGGTAGCTATAAACCCGGTTAATCTCCGAAGCCTATAATTAACTATCTTTAGCCTACCCGAGCGCTAAGAAGCTTTAGAAGTTCCTAGTAAGCTATTTTTAGTAGAAGACTCTCCGCTAGGATATTATTCGGTTTTCGGATAACTATATAATATATAAGCGTACTAAAACCTAGCGAATAAAGACTCCGGGACTCCTAAATCTATTACCGGTACTAGATAGACCCTAGTAGTATATTTCTATAGACTTTATATACCTACTAAAAGACCGATATAGATATAATAACGCCTTAATAGTAGTCTATAGATTAACGAAGCGGATAGTTTATATATCCTTATTTAAGGATACTATAGCTAGGGATCTAGTAAAGTTATAGTTAATATATTATTATAGATAGATAGGACTTCCGGACTTAATTATATCGGATAGAGGACTATAGTTTATTATATTATTCTAGAAGATCCTATATAAGTTAATAGGGATTAAGCGGAAGTTATCTACTCTGTATTACCCTTAAATAGATAGGTAGTCGGAAAATACGATCTAGTTACTATCTTAATAACTATATACCTTCGTAGATAAGTTCGCTAATAACTAGTCTAGCCTACTACTAATAATAGACTTTACTTAGGCGATTTTACCTTATAAGTCGACTAGGGTCTTACTATACTATACCGAACGTAGGTATAAGCTAAGAACGATAGTTAATTAGTAACTTAGTAGTAGCGGATAGGATCTCTATAGGCTAGACCGGGAGATAGCTCGAGACTAGGTAGATAAAATTCGCTAAGTTTATAAGTTCGTATAGGATAATATAGCTAAAGCGTAGGAACGTTAGTATACCTAGGCGAATCGATATCGTAGGGAGCTAAACTTCGACGTTAGGGACCTTATTATAATCACGATAAAGGATAATTAGTAGATCGTAGAAGGGCTATTAGGTAAACTCTGTCCGAAAGCAGAGGGGCCTTTCCGGATTATCGAGAAGGTAGGATACGCTTTTCGACTATAACTACTAGAAGGATCGTTATAATATAATATCTTTAACCCGGAGAAGTTACGCTATATAATAAGTATAGATCTACTTCTAGGATAGCCTATCCCTAAACTAGCGATATAGATTATACTAGAGCTAGAGTATAATATAGAGATAATCCTTACTTCGCGAATTAACCGGTCGAAGCTTTAGTATCGAGTAAAGTAGATAGGATTCGAGAATAATATAATATAGTATAATATTAGTAATTTCCGGACTACGGCTTCGAAACTCCGGGAATATTATAAAACCTATCTATCCCGCCCTAGACCTCCGGTAAACCTTAACCGTTAGTTAGAGTACGAGGCTCTTAATAAGGAGTTACTAGTACGCCTAGATAATAATATACTATAATATTACCGCGCCTAAGGATAGTCGCGAGTCTAAATAAGGGGTAATATAATATATAGGTAATAAATTAATAGTTAACTAGCTAGTCGGTTAACTAGTTCGTGAATAGACTTAGAGTATAGAGTTAGTTAGATAAGTTAACTAGTTAGTTACCGTAAACTAGTAAGTTTACTAACTAGTTAGTTAGCTAACTAGCGAGTTAGTATTAACTAGTAGATTAGTTAGCTAGTTAATAGATATAGACTTAGGAAGTTAAGGAGGAGATTATATAATCGATATTTACGTTTATAAGATCAGATATTTACCTACGCGTTATTAATAGAAGCCTTACGCGTATATATACGCTAGAGTATAAGGATTGTTTACCTTTCGGTTTACTTCTGTAGAGGAACCTTCTATCCGGGACTTTCTATAAGGATTCTACCGCCTTACTATAGCCCCGCCTACGATAGATATTTAAGGTAGCACTTCACCTTCCTTATTTCTTCCTTTCCTTTTTCCCCTTCGTCTTAGTTTTCTTCGTTATATAGGATATAGTTACTTTACCTTCCTTCTTCTATACGTAGGTTATCGTAGCTATACTACCTAGGAGTCACACATATCTACTATAGCGGTATACCGCTATATAGGTAAAGAGCGTTAGAGCTCTAAAAATAGCGTAGAAGCCGGAAGGAGGGACTTTAGCGATAATTCGATACGATAGCTTCGGTAGCCGTATTCGATACGTAGGGATCGTTAAGTCGTAAAGAGGTACGAAGTCTGTACTCTGTAGAAGGCGCAAAACGCGCCGAAAAACGATAGAAAAAGAGGTTATTATATAAGTTATACCTAGGCAGTAAGGAAATATAAATAACCTCACTTTTTGTGCGCTAAGCAGGGCTTATAACCTATTAGAGGCTACTAGGAGAACGTAGCAGACCTAAAAGAGGGGAGAAAGGAATAGTGAGATTATATCTGGTGAGAGGTACCTATCTAAGCTACGAAGATAGTGTGCGTGGGCGCGCACCACGCTAGTGAGACGCGCCAAACCACCAAGCTATCTCAACAACTCGACTAAGCTCGAGGAGAACATTCAGTCTATAGATATTGAGCGTTAATTATGGTCATGGACACAATACTAGAGCCAATATATCGCTCATGTCATTTTTAATAACAACAAGGCCCCCGTAAAATAGCTGCGATATATTCTCAAGCAGATGGAAGACGGTCGCGATGAGCTTCAAATGCGGCTGGGTATTTGACAAGGAAGATAGATAACTGCAATATTGCTGACCTTGACACCTCCTGGGAACTCAGGTATAACCTTAACAATCTGAATTACAAATTTGGCTGGCATTCGTGCTGAGATGGAGTCGACTTTTCCGCCTCTTCTGCCTCGGAATGAACTTCTTCGAAATCAGTTCGTGACTAGGTGGACCAAGAAAGCAAGAAAAGATTCCTCTCTCCTAAATTCCGCTGTAGGCGAGTTACCCTATGAAGTCACAGCTGCACGCAAGCCACAACTGACCTCACAGGAGAGTCATCACTTGATGTGGCAGACATCCATATGGGATCGGTTGCTCCATACTCCAAGTTTCTCGATCAAGCCCACACTAGATAACATAAGCTCCCAAGCCCCCCACGTTTTTTGCAGGAATAGGTGGAAATGCCGTTGGTGACGTCGTAAAGCGGTGCGTCGGTCGGACCTGTCCCAACTCCAATATGATGACAGCTCCCCTCGGTCTTTTCTACTCCCCTCTAGCCTCAACCTAAGCTTTCTCGCAAACTTGTGGATTGTGCAAGTCAGACTTTCGCAATGGCAGCTGCGACGGAAGCAAATGCGCTTGGGTACAACTTGAAAGTGGACTATGTAATTCACTATAACTTCAAGGGATCCAGTAAGTCAACCAAGCTGAGACGGTCGACTGAAGCTCCCCCTCCCCACTCCTCTTCTGAAATGAAGCCACTTTGCAAAAGCTGATTCGGGGCTCTCTGCTATTTTTCCAAAGGCAAGTCACACGCAGTGGCCCAACTCGAGAAGCTTCTTCAAGCTCTCGCGCATGCTGGACTGCAAATTGAAATTCGTCAAGGTGACGAGGAATCTTTACTTATCTTCGTGCGCGCCCCGAAAAAACAGCTCAACCGGGCGGTGTACCAATCACGGTGAGTAGCCCACCGTGTCGAGGACATTCAAGCGGCCTCTAGCATCTCAATCTCCCGTCCGATAAGGAATACTGAAGTGCGTTTCTCCATAGTGTGCGCGACTGGCTCTATGGAATTCGAAATACAGAGCCGGAGCCAGCCAGCTCCATCGAGCCGCATACCGAGGCCGAGCGGCTGCGGGTGATTGAGCATATGATGACTCTGCCCACCGCGGAGGGCGGCGTGGGCATCACACCGAATCACGGCGAATGGAAAAACGTCACCAAGATTCTGCCTTTACATGATGAGGAGACTAACAACAGATGGTTGCACGACTGGAGTCAGAAGACGTTCCTGTCGGAAGAGGATCTTGATCAAATCCGCGACAAGTTCGGTGAAAGCCTCGGCTTCTACTTTGCCTTCCTTCAGTCGTACTTCCGCTTCCTCATCTTTCCGGCAGCATTTGGGTTTTCATGTTGGTTCCTGCTTGGGGGCTTCTCGATAATTTACACGATCGTCAACTCTCTATGGGCCATCGTGTTCGTGGAGTACTGGAAGAGACAAGAGCTAGAACTGAGCTGTCGCTGGCAAACTAAGGGCATATCAGCCGTCGAGACGAAGCGGCGCGAGTTCATCCCTGAGAAGGAAGTGCGCGATGATGCGACCGGTGAGATGCGCGGTGTGTTTCCGGCCACAAAGCGCATGCAGCGGCAGCTTTTACAGATCCCTTTCGCTCTCCTTGCGGCCGTCGGTCTTGGAGTCATTATTGCGACCTGTTTTGCCATTGAAATCTTTATTTCCGAGCTTTACAAGGGCCCTCTCAAGTCATGGCTGGTATGAACAACTCCCTCGGATCTCAAAATACAGGAGAATTGACGCTTGACCAGGTTTTCATTCCGACTATTCTCGTATCTGCATTGGTCCCCACGATGAGCGCGGTTCTGATATCCGTTGCGACCAAGCTCAACGACTATGAGAACTATGAGACTAACGAGGCATATGATGCCGCTCTGGCCCGGAAGGTCTTCGTCATCAATTTTATTACATCTTATTTGCCCATTCTACTCACGGCATTCGTCTATGTCCCGTACGCCCGCTGGATCGTGCCCCATCTCGACATTTTCCGGCTCACTGTGCGCCCATTCGTGTCGAAGGAACATGTCGCCGCTACTGACTGCTCGCATTTCAAGATTGATCCCAATCGGTTGAGAAACCAAGTTATCTACTTCACTGTCACAGCGCAGATTGTTGGATTCGCGCTCGAGACTGTTGTTCCTTACGTGAAACAATACGCCGCTCGGAAGTACAAGGAGTACAACCAAAAGCACAACAATTTCAATAACGACAAAGAATCTCCTGAACACTCTCCCGTGAGAACCTACGAGGACCCAGAAGAGGAGAAGGTGTTCCTTAAACGCGTGCGAAACGAAGTTGAACTTCCAGAATATACAGTGACTGAGGATCTGCGCGAGATGTGTATTCAATTTGGCTACCTGGCGCTTTTCTCACCTGTGTGGCCATTGGTCCCTCTGTCCTTCTTCATCAACAACTGGATCGAATTGCGCTCCGATTTCTTCAAGATATGCAAAGAATTCCGAAGACCTTCACCTTTGCGGTGCGACACCATTGGGCCTTGGCTTGACAACCTCGGATTCTTGACCTGGGTCGGCAGCGTCACCAGTTCGGCCTTACTCTACATGTTCAGCGGCGACTCGAGAACCGGTCCTAATGGTGAGCCCACCGATATCAAGGGATGGGCATTGCTACTGTCAATCTTCTTTGCCGAGCATATCTACTTAATTGTTCGATACGCCGTCCGGACGGCGATGACGCGGGTCGAGCCTCCCAACGCGCGGAAGGAGCGCGGCGAAAGGTATTTGATGCGAAAGCGTTACCTGGAGTCGATACTCCAGGTGGATGTGAATGACACGCTCGCTGAGAAAGACGAAGTCATTGACAATCCTCCTGCTCTCACCCGTGAAGCTCTTGAAGAGGATGCTCGTCGCAACTCCGAGCACTCCACAGATCCCGCTGAGAGGTTCTGGATGCGTCAGCGTGGCTGGACCGAGTCCGCCAAAATTGGCAGTGGAATCATTCAATCTCAGCCAACCAAGGGCGAAGCCAAAAAGAAGCAATGAACTATCAATTCGAATGAAGGGAATTCATATTACCAGATGGAGGGAGTGTGTTTATAATCACGTTCTTGATTGATGCGATGCGTGGGGAAGAAATTTGTGTGATTTTGAGTTTGGACCTAAATGATTCATCGGAATGGTACGATCATGAACGATGAGCTAATTTTCAAAACTTGCCCACTGTAACCCATGCCAGCGACCTATAATTTCTGAAGACCGCGCTGCTTCGGCGGTTGCCGCTAAATACTGTGATTTGACGGCGTTTGCGTCGTACACAGCTACTACCTTACAAGTCTTCTAAACTTGATAATGCATACGGTCATTGTCATTGAAATACCAAGAAAGAGGCAAAATATTTCACGAGGCCAGGTCGACTGATATAGACCTCTACTTATAACATCGCAACCCACTCAACTCGCTAAGACCTATAACCCCATTCACTCAAATCTCACCGTCCTCACTCCACTCACTTAGACTTCTGCTCCCGCAACTCTCGCATTGTTCAAGACCGAACACCACGGAGAGTGAATAGTATGGTTCGTAGCACAAGATTATCAATTTCTTCTCAATTTGGTCAAGTGATACCAGAGATCTTCAGATGGTAGGTAACTTAGGACCCCAGGTTCAATTTATCTAGGTAGAAGATGGCATGGAGTGCATTCTACTCGAAGTCTTAGAATTGATATATCACTTCATAGTGCAGCCAAGACATCAACAGGAGCAATATCAATCAGCTCGATTTGTGAACAATCTTGCTTTACCCGCTTATATTGATGAACTCAAGTAATGTTCATAGCCCTGTGCGAGTGCCGTGGGGTCTATATTGTGAGCGCGATCGGCAAATCACCCCAAGTAAATAAGTTAGGGATGGATAGAGAACCGCCTACCTTATCCGGCATGCCATCGCTCTCGGAATATATATTCACCGACGCTCAACGCACCGCCCACAATTTGACTTGCTCAGAAATTCTTAAGTAATAATTGTTTCCCCCCCCCCCACGTCCTGCTTACAGCATCTCCAGTTGCTTACCTCATTCACTGCCCACCTGCAGTACCTCTGAGAGTCGAACAAGCATATCTACACCTGGGTTGATCATTTGGAAATTTGTGCAAATTTGTGCTGATAACGAGTTTACGTATCGAAAGTGCTCATATTGAGTAGTCATTCTAATTTCGATCAATGCAGCCTGCGTTGGCGCCAGCACCGCATCCCAGTATGCAGAACCCTGCTCAGGTAAGCAACCCATCCTCGACGCGTTTGTCATCAGATTGATCGTCCCGCGCCGATGTACATCGATCAGATAAGCTTATGATCTGATGGAGAACGGCATTTGGGATGAAAAGTGACCATACCGCCGCGTCGCAACATGCATCCGAGCATTTGCCGCGGCTCTCCAGACGCTGCCGGCTCCGCGTAGAGAACGAGAACCAGGGCTGACGTAAAATTATAGGATCATGCGGACCAGGGTATGTCTGATCTTTGGCCCTGTTCAAATTTCGCGTCATGGTAGTCGATGCTTTTGAAGACTGAAATACTTCAAGAGATCAAGCTCATCTGAGAAACCTCGGCGCGAAATTTTGTGGGGGAAAATATGACGCGTATCAAAAGCTAATTGGCCATTCTGCTTAGTCCTCCATGACCAGCTGCTTGCTGCGCAGCAGCACATGCATCGTCCCCAGGGAGCTCCTGTTCAGCAGCATCTGCAGCCGAATACAGGTGCTCCCCGAGACCAGGGGAACATTGACCCTGCCATTTCGGGGGCCATGATGGCTGCGGCTCCTCAAACACCCAACCCTCCTCAGCAGGGGTCACCTGATGATGGCACCCCGAAGACCTACGGCAAGCGAGAACTATCCACTTCCAAGCGCGCTGCTCAAAATCGAGCTGCTCAGGTACGTGTTCAGCCTCGCTCTGTGAATGTGGCCATCACATCTATCGCCCCTGCAGAAGATCATCTGACACTATGGATAAGCGCGCTTTCCGGCAACGAAAGGAAACGTACATCCGCAAGTTGGAGGAAGAAGTCAAGGGCATGGAAGGTCTACGCGAGCAGATCAAAGCTCTCCTTCATGAGAATTACACCTTGCGCGACCACATCATCACCATGCAAAGCCGTTTGATAGACGCATCCGTGGACGTCCCGGAACTTCCTCCCAACATTGATCTTAGCCAGCCACGACATGATCTTTCCTCCATGGGTGCTGCTGTTCTCCCAAGCACAGGGCCTGCGGTTCCTGTACCTCCGGTCAACGCCCCTCAGCAACCCCAGCACACGTCATCTGCTAATGAAGACATGAACTCCTTGAACCGCATTGCCGTTGCTGGCCTTGGCATGCGGAAACATCCCGACGAGAATGCGTTCCTCACCAATACTTTCCAACCCCACACTCCGCCCAACAACAGCAATAATGGCAACAAGCGCCGAGATGAGGCGCAGTCCGACGGCACTGAAACTCTCTCTAAGCAGGAAGTTCATCACGGTCTGCCCATGGCTTGAATGGCTTGAATGGCTTGTACAAGATCCTGCCATGGTCTTTGCACCGTGGTTTGGCCCTGCCAGTACGGTCACCATTGTCAACTTCTCGCGGTGTACGTTGTTCCTCTATCAGCTTCCTCTAGCTCCAGGTCATGACGTTCCTGTCACCTTTGCTCGTGGCTTCCTACTGCTCTCTCCATTCCTCCAGCCTTCCCACCCTCGCTTCCATGCTCATTCGGTCCTCCTTTGATTCCCTCTGTTAAATATCTCTCGATTCTTCTTTCTTCCCGTGGCCATGGTGTTTTGGCGTGAATCCAATTACAGGCGGAGTCTCTTCCCACCGGATTGTGCGATCCATCAAGGTAGTCCGTATTGACTGACTATTCTACCCTTAATTCATCTATTCACAGACTTTCCCACAAATGGACTTCTTCTTCAAGGAAAAAAAGCACAGTATCTTCGTATCATACTGGGTTCCGGATCACTAATTCCCACTCGTCCCGCGCGAAATGACTAGTAAACTGACATCTGTCAACTGATCGATTAGTTGCATGTGGGCACTGGGTACAGTGGGTAGTGAAGTGGGTACTGTGACTGGATATGTATGCCTGAGTGCCTGAGCGCCTGAGCGCCTGAATACCTCCCCCGATCATGCCTAGCCACCACCGCCACCATGCTCAACATCCGCTCTGCGCCAGCTTGACATGCCGACTCCGTCATCCGCTGCATGAGCCACACGCATGCTGCGCCCGCCACCCGACCGACAGACTTCGGCCCTTGAGGACCTGCAGCATTCGAGGCCGGAGGAACGTTTTGGCCGCTTGTCGACCATGCCGAGTTGCCGATTCTCCCGACTCTGCTGTTCCCTCACAATGTAACGACTTGTCAATGACACAATTGTGGACAAACGTTCTTCATCAGTCACCCAACTGAAGATTATGAAGACATTCCACCCGATCAGACCAACCAAATGTATGATCAAGTAGCATTGCTAAATGCCCGGTAGAAGTGTAGCCCAGAATTGCAGAGTGTATCAGTGTAGTAATCCATCGATCCATCCAAAGAAAAGACGGCTCATCTCACGCTGGACATGTCCATAGTGGCCGGGACGGGCCCCAGTTCATTAGTCATATCCCCACGGCCGGCAATCTCGGCTGAGCTTGCAGCCGGCGCGCCTCTCCAGATCCAGTACTCGCCCGTTCTGAGGACTCCATCGCTCCTGACCGCACTAAACTGGATTCGCACTCATCCCACGAGGGTTGAACCTGGTTGAGGTGGGTGTCCGACTATGAGGGTTGATGGATCGGGAAGGTCACTCATGAAGTGGTACGACAAACTTATAATCGACTTTCAATCTTGCAGAAATTGGAAGAACGAAGGTTCTCTTGACGAGCGCCTCTGCGTACGCGCTCGTGCGTATTATTATAGAAAGCCCAAAACCAGCTCCGGTGAGGTCTGATCGGTGATCAGCCGAAGCATACAGTATATACTCAGGTACCAAGTGAGTGGTGACTCGTGGCTCGTGAGTCAGTTCCTGCGGCGTTGCGCGTAGGTCGTGAACATGTCTGGTGAAGGCCTTTTCGGCGGTACAGCATGGCTCGGGCCTCATCATTCAACCTCCCAGTCTCCAGCTTCGTGTGAGTGACATGGAGCCAATAGGCGAGCTGTTTCTAAAAACGCACGAGGAAGGCAAAATCGAGCTCGTGGCTGGACGCGGGCAATTCGAGTGCTCGTGTCCCCCCGGTGTAAAGCACGGCGTCTTACTATCTACTCCTAGTATGTACAACTACACAGTTCTCCTACTTCACGCACTACCTTACTCTACTCAGTCAATTGCCCATCAAGAGTCCCGCTACTAGTGCACTTACAGGGTGTCAATCACTGCTGAGTCCTGACTTAGATACACAAGTATCGGCACGGGCATATTTGACCTTAACGTGCTGAGATGTTAGAACGATTAGCCCTGTCACGGGAAATTTGAAAGACGGCGAAAGGCGGGGCATTGGCGGTTGAGTAGACTGAAGCCACTCTCGTGTCAAAGTGCCGTTTTAACTTTTTTTTAGTTCCCCAATTTCTTCCCCTCTCTTTTTTTTCCCCTTTCTCCGAGTTCTCTTCTGGCTCCGCATTTTCATCTCTTCCTCGCTTCTTCCTCCTGGCAATGCTCTTTGACTCCATTGAGGAGCTCATATGACTGTCTTTCCTTGTCCATGAGCGATCACCCAGCTCCGAGAGACATTGCCGTGCAGTATCGAATCGACCGCGGACAGTGGACTGGACTCGTGAGCGACCACTGCGGAGAAAAACGGGGCACACTAGTCTGAACCCACCGGGCTCCTCTTTGGAACCCCTCCGCACTTTTTCGCCGCAGGCTCGCCAGCCCTGCCCGGTTTTGCCTGGATCCCCGTGCAATTTTCCCTTCTCAGTTGGCCAACCTCCAACGAAGCGGATCGCTAGGATTTCTGGACATCTCTCGTTATTCGAATTGTCGCAGATTGACTTCCTCACGACCCCATCTCGAATTTCCTCTCTCCTTGTGCGCAGGCCGGCCAGCGTCCTTGGACACACGATTCTCCTCGACGTGCCAATCCTTCGCCGACCGCAGAAGGACATCCTGACTGCCGAGGCTGCTGCGGGAGGTCATCGCTCTAGCAGGAACGAAAAGAATCCTCCCAACAAAAAGTAGCCCAGCGGCGTCTCCGGACTAGACCTCCAGCAACAAACTAGCTTGACATAGACGTGTCTACCTTTGAGAATCACCTCGCTTCGTGCTTCGCAACATTGTCCTTCGCTCGTTTATCCTCTTTGCGATCACTGGGAATAAATCCGCTCATCGCCGCGCATTCCCCTGCTCGCAACTCCGCGCTTCTTCACGTCCAGTCGCATTCTCCGGCATCTTTTTGGATGCGATCATCTTGCGCGCACATGACAATTGGACAATGGCGATGAAAGTAGCTCGTGTGAAGACTCCGACAACAGATTCGCCATTTCCCAAATCCAAATTACGTCCCTCGCCCGCAGACGATCGATCCCTTCCGGTATAACCTTCTTGCACGGGGCCTTCTACCCGTTTGTCCTCGCGTGTTTCTGCGCGAGCTGCCGCCCTGATGGGCGCCGGGGCTCTCGATGAACCCCCCGATGGACTCATTGGAGGTTATACGGGGGGTTCTGTGACAGTGCGCATGCTGATGATTGTCTTTTCCTCCATTGCTCTGTATAATGCGCTTGAGCTCATCATCTTGCTCTTTTTGACGTTTCAAAGTTATTCGGGACTCTATTTCTGGACCATGTTTATATCGACCGTCTTCGGGGTCATTCCACACTCAGTGGGATACATTCTAGAATTCTTTGCACTGGCACCGTTGTGGTTGTCGCTGGTCATCTCGACGATCGGATTTTATGCTATGGTGCCTGGCCAATCCGTGGTACTTTACTCACGACTTCACCTGGTGGTACAGAGTCGGCGCGTGCTGCGTTTCGTGATGTGGCTGATCATTATTGATTCGATTTTGCTACTGGTGCCCACGACGGTTCTCACCTTTTCGACAGCCTTTGTCCGGACGATACCGTATATCCGCGGTTACAATGTCATGGAACGGCTACAACTAGCCTGGTTCTGCGCTCAGGAATTCGTGATCTCAGGAGTTTACATTGTCGAAACGGTCAGGCTGCTTCGTCTGATGCCGAATAAAGATCACCGCCGCACAAAGATCATGTACGAGTTGTTGACAATCAACGCCGTGATCATTCTCTTGGACGTCGCTCTCTTGCTGGTTGAATACATCGGTTACTACTCGCTGCAAACCACACTCAAACCTCTGGTTTACAGCATCAAGCTGAAACTTGAATTTGCCGTCCTCGGCAAGCTTGTCTCCTTAGTCCAGACACAACGGTCCCAACCCACCTCCTTGGAAGACGAATATCCCAACTTTGTGGATCCGTCGCAGATCACAACCGATGTCACACATGCTGCTCCGATGGAACATGGACATGACAGATCACGCAGATCAAGACCGTGGAACGTGATATCGATGGAGAGTCTGCCGTCCTCGGAGCAGCGCATCAGACCGTCCACCAAATCACGGCGATCGAGTGACGCTGAGAACCACGCGTGACTAGATTCGGCCACAAGCGGCAGGGATTTCACCTCGCCGTTCAAACGGCGCACCTCGTACATCCGCGTCTCCACCCCTACTTGACAGTGGTCATTTCCTTCGCCCTGGACACTTGACACGGAGCAACCTAATTGTTCAAATTCTTTTGGGCGCCATTCATCAACATCCACGACACTCGTCACCACTCTCGATACTGCCATCACCCTACCCAGTCCCATTGGGACCGACCCACGATCTACGCCCTTTTACCTTCTCTGAACATATTCAAACTTTCAATACTCGTGCAACCGCCGCGCACGTCCATATACCCACAGCACACGATCTCACCTTTCAAAATCCAACACAGTCTATTCTCGATCACGATCTTACACTACATCTACGGGAGCACATATGGATGGGGCCAACCTTCGCATGACTAATATCTATACCGAAAAGAACAGGCTTTCAGTAACGCCTTAATTTATGTATAATAGCTCGTCAACAAAAGACAAACAACAATTTTCATGCTCACGAAGTGTATAAATCACAAAAGGAAAGTTGGTATTCATGTCGGGGAAACGATGCGTACGAGTCACGTGGGCAGTCCTTCACCTTTCCAAGACGGACCAAGCTTTACTTCGCACCTGCACCTCTGGTGGATTTTTGCTTTGCGCCCAACGGACTTGCCTGTAAACCTAAAAGAAACCTCGCCGTTCCGGATCTTGCCCCTTAAAAACGGAACGTGAGAGTTTTCAAGTCCTATCGTGATCGACGGCCGGGCTATCAAATGATTCATGCAGAAAAATCGAGCTTGTGATGGAGCGGAAGGTCGCAAATTTATTGAATTCCCTGCGTCTGATCTGATATGTCCGCGAAGGGAGATTTGGGCTTCCTCTACTTGCACCAGAGGTGAGTCTGTTGGATGCAACAGTCTCACATTGTACTAGAAGTGTCCATAGGCATACATTACTTATTTCACCTCGGTAGTTTTGGGAATGTCGCCGTGCTGGACGACCAAGTGTATAAGTTATATGTTAATTGAGGTGCCCGATAGATCTAAGAGTGAATCAGTAGGTACTGACAATTGTGACAGTGCCTATGACTCGTAAATGCTGGACGCATATCTGAAGCTTAACAGCCTCTAATCTCTATAGTCCTACTGTACATTCCACCAGCACCCGCAACCCGCACCACTTACATTGCTGTTGCGCCCATACCTCAAAAAGGGTAGGTAGAAGCTATGGCCAAGTATGGATTCAAAACGGTCGGAGCGTTGACAACCCCCACAGGTGAGGGGGGTTGCAGCCGGCCGCAAGCCACACACGGGTTTGATTTCCAACCATCTTCCTCGAAGCGGATCCTTCGACTTTCAACTACCGCGATAGAAGGAAACGACCTGCGACGTTGAGGACGGACGAGCTTGCGAAGAAAACTCCTTGGGCTTGGTATAGGCACGTGATGTTTACGCATATTGTGTGATCTAATCGTTTGAAAGAGCGAGCCGATTTGCCGGTGCGGGTGGAAGGATGTGAGCCAGAGGCCGGTAACGTGATCGATGGGCTACAATCTCATGGAAATGGACTAGGTTGAAATACGGCAACTGCGGAGATTATCTCCGTACAATTGCAGCGGGCACCGCCAGTCAGTGGTTCACTGGTTACTATGGACTCATGGAGTTTGGTCAGTGCTTGGCCCTGTGGAGGAGTTAATATGAGCGTCAACGTGGGTGTTTGCTTGTTTTTGATACTCGTACTACTGTGTGTAGTATGTACTATGAAGTCATGTACTGGCCTGTGGCCTGTGCTGGCTTTCGAGGATTACGATTCATCGGTGGAGATTCCTTCCGTCGAATCTTATGCATCTGCCCTCTCGAAGCTTGATGGCGTAGTACAGTATCCACTGCAAGCCTAAACGATGTGGATCAAATCAATTGGAGAAGGTCGATCTTTGTTTCAATGGAAAGTACCCTTACGAATGCAGATACAAATCGGGTGACCCATGTGCCAATCACGGTCTGGGAAGATTCAAGATTCAAAGTCCAAGAGGTGCGTTGAGACGGGCGCGCTATCTTCAAGACACAGAGACTTGTAGAAAATAATGAGATATCATCGCGCAGTAGAGTACTAGTATATCAATACCTACTTAGGTACCTGTTCTCCTGTATGCACAGTAGATAAGTCGGGTCCAAAGGTGATCAAGTACACTATCACCTAGATACAGATATGGATGGGGATCCTCGCTTCTTGCGTCGGGGATTTAAAGGTTAGTCTTAGTCGAGTGGCTGTTTTTGATTTCAACAACACCAAATCGCAGTAGTAGTATTATTACAATTTCTTTCCTCATATTCAATCCACATATCAGAGCTGCATGATGTCATTTGGACATTGAGCTTGAAGAGCTTTAATGTACTTGAGTACTGAGATGGCTATCTAAAGCGTAATGTATCTGTAGAGCGGAGTCGTACCTTTGATACTGGCCGTCAGCTCCGATGAATCATGACTCCTGTCGTGACGAGGCCTTGATAACCCGACCTTGAGTGACACACATTAAAGGCACGCGCCAGACCGCCTAGACGATGGCTACGAATCGAGTTGGCACATTCTAATCTGCGATGACGATTCAAATAATGTGCTGTGCAGTGTGCAGTGTGCAGTTTACGCCACCAGCCACGACTTTTTTGTTTGACATCTTTGACCAAAGGATGTCCCCGCCTTCCCTGTTCTCAACCCAATAAAGTCGAGTCATGGTACCTTCAAACAGTCCTACTGACAGTTATACCAAAGCTTAGTCAGGTACCGATCCGAGCTCAGCGGGCTGAGTTACACACATGGTGGCGCACCACTCCATCCGCTTCTTTTCGCCCCCACAAACTCTCCATTTACTCCAATCATCAGCTGGGCGGTCAGGTCGCTTGAATTGGAGGCGCACGACTGCTCACGGCTGATAGGTCGGAGGCGATGCCGAGTTTTGAGACCAAGTCCAAATTGTCCGATGATCTGCCTTCGCCACACTTCTGCCGCAGGGCCTGCGGTACCGAAGGGGCCATGCACCCAATCCCAGTGCCCTAAGTCTCGATGCATTCCACTCTGAAACAAAGCCAAGTCTATCTCTCTGAATGAAAAATCTGACCTGATTCGACATGATTTGTTTGGAGACTACTGTATGGATTGGAGGCTACACTCCGCTGCATGGCTGCTGTACTGCGTAATCGCAATATTCCCTCCTGCTAAGACTACGACTACTGCAAGTGTAGTACCTCGTAGTTAGTACCTAGTAGGTATGTAGTAGGACTACATACTAGTAGGTAACTTGGTATTTTTACTACCGAGCACATGCCAATAGCTCCTGCAACATCATCTCGTCCGAGTTTCTTGACTCTGCAGCATACATCGACTCCTTAGGAGTACATGCATATCAACGTAGTAAATTCCTTGTCGCTCCCTGGGCACCAGACTACCACTTGTACACTTCCTTGCAATTATAGTCCTGGTTTTGAGCTTTGACGGTATAATAATCATGGTCCCCGCGGCAGTTTCATTGTACTGTAAAACGTACCGCCCCTCGGCCCTACTATCAACGCCGAGATCTCTTGTGGCGGTTCCCCCGGCCATCGCGGCCTTTCGGGCTCCAGTTTCTTTCTCCATTCTCTCCATCCAAGTGGATCCAACCATGATCGTTCATCAATCCGTGTCCTCGGTTGCTCTTGAATTGATCCTCAGTTGAACATGATCAATCTTCAACGGTGCCACTGCGGTCCTGTACGGGCTAACCCCTTCCTGTGGCCAAGGCCCAGTTCTCTTCCTCTTGTGGGATCATCTCAAGTAGCTAACCAGGTAGGTGTACGACGTGACTACTAGTCTGTTACTACGGTAGTCGAGTCGACACCCCTGCACGGAGCACAGTTGCACACACATGTGGTCTTTGCCTATCTTTTCCAATTTGAACCGCGTCCTCCAGTCTTCTTCAGTCCTGGACTTCTGGTACGGAGGCATTGTCATTGGGGGCCCAACAGCACCGCTCGCTTGACTGCGGATCTGGATCTGCCTCATTCTTCTTCTGGCCCCCCCCCCCTCTCGCCCCTCTTTGTCCCTTGGAGAACAACCAAGAGCTTCGACGATCAGTCCTTACCGAACTAGGTTTTCGACCACAACCTGCACTGGCACTGGTGGTTGTGTAGCGGCCTGTTGCGCCCCTCCGTTGGAACATTTTGCTCTGGCCCCCCCCCTCTCCACCCAGGCCTGTCAGGTCGCTCCAGATCGCCAGCTCATCCATTCCCTCGGGAACACAATTTCCCTTCACCTTCTGACATCCTCCCCCGCCTCACACCAACTGAGCAGACGGGAAAAAAAAATAATACAATCCCAACAGGACATCCTCCGCGGGTCGTTCATCTGCTGTATTCTCTGGACCGACGTCCGAGTGTCGCCTCCTCGGTGGGTGCCAGTTCCCTGGCTTCCATGAGTCAATACGCTGCTATCCGTCTGGCCGTCTAACAGCATTCCCACCATCAACATCGACTGCAGTAGACCCCCTAACTAGGGCATGCGATCATCAGTAACGACCGTCTGGCTCTGCTAAACCTATCACTCTTCTCCTTACACACTACTCCTGAGCTACGATACCCTGGTCAACAGGATCACAAACCCTTTGTGTCGGTGTACAGCAAGAAACCGCCCCCCCCCCCCCCCCCCCCGTTCGGACTCCTTTCTACGATACCTCCCGGGCCGACCGACCACCCCGCCGACTCCCACCGTCTGAATTATCATTTGCCCGCCCTGGTTCCTTGCCCACGCCCTTCACCCAAGCTCGGTGTTCGCGACGACGTCGCCTCGGACGTCTTGAGCGAACCCGACCCTCCAGTTTCAATATGGCTTCTCAAAGCCCCCATCACTCGAGGCCAGGAACAGCCCGGAAGCGATCCGAAAGTGTAACGACGCCATGGCCAGCATTCACCGATTCCACCAACCCTCGCCTCCAGAGCACAGACCGCTCGCATTCAGTCACACGCGGAGAGGGAAATCGACGTCCGGTGAGCGCGGAGTTTGATGGTATAGATCGCGTGTTCCCCGTCCGCTCAGTGGTGTCCGTGGATCCCATGGCTAGTTCGACACACGGGCGTGGAACAACATCGCCAATCTCGGACGGGCCTCGACAGTATCCTTTCAGAAACGATAACTCTCGCCCCGATCCACAAAACAACTATCCAAATGCTCAATATCTGGGCCCCTCATTTCTAGCTCCAGGGATATCCGCGAGCATGGGCCGCGCCGAGTCGGTCGTCTCGGATACGAAAACAGAACTGGCCACCCATTCCATGGCCTCTCGAGTCGCGCAGCACCCCGAGCTGTACGCCAGAGTGAAGAGTAACAGTCGATCCGCGAGCAGTGCAACTCCCGATGTATCCTCGCAAGGGGTCTCCGATCCGGACTCGGCACAAGGCCATTTCACATCCCGATTCCAGCATGTGATGACGGAAAATGGCCACGCAGTGATTACAGGGCGAAAAGGCGACCAGTTCCAGTACTGTGAGGATGAGCCCATTCGAATTCCGGGCGCCGTGCAGAGTTTCGGAGTCATGATTGCATTACGAGAGGAGTCGCCCGATGAGCTCGTGGTCCGCGTTGTTAGCGAGAATTCAGAACAGTTCCTCGGGTACTCTCCCAAGCAGCTATTTGGGCTGAGCAGTTTCTGCGACATTCTGAAAGACGACCAGGCCGACTCCTTCCTCGATCACATCGACTTTGTTCGGGACGACGCGCATGACCCCAGTGTGGACGGCCCGGAAGTCTTCTCGCTGACTATCCCGACACCTCAAGGGGAGGACCGGAAGTTCTGGTGTGCGACGCACGTCAGTCAAGCGCAAAAAGACCTGATCATCTGCGAATTGGAACTCGAACACGACCAGCTCAATCCTCTAGGTCCCGGCGGCTCCGAAAGCCCTTCCAGTCCCACCGGAACACTGGGATCCTTCCCTACTGCAGAGCAGTTTGCCGGCAGCGTGACGAATATCAGCCAGCCGCTGCGTGTGATGCGCAATGCCCGACGCCGAAGGGGAGACGCGGCAGCGATGGAGGTCTTCAGCATGTTGTCTCAGATCCAAGAACAGCTGGGACGAGCGCAGGACCTCGACACCCTGTTGAATACGACCGTCGGCTTGGTCAAGGAACTGACCGGATTTCATCGCGTCATGGTCTATCAGTTCGACAGCAGCTGGAACGGTCTAGTGGTAGCGGAATTGGTGGACCCCAAAGTCAGCATCGACCTGTACAAAGGTCTTCACTTCCCAGCATCCGATATTCCTGCCCAGGCACGTGAACTATACAAGGTCAACAAAGTGCGACTCTTGTACGACCGAGATCAACTCACCGCTCGACTCGTGTGCCGGGCTCTCGAGGATCTCGACGCACCCCTTGACATGACCCATTCGTATCTGCGGGCGATGTCACCCATTCACATCAAGTATCTTGCTCATATGCAGGTTCGATCGTCCATGTCCATCAGTATCAATGCATTCAATGATCTTTGGGGCCTCATCTCGTGTCATTCCTACGGAAACGCTGGCATGCGCGTCTCCTTCCCCGTCCGGAAGATGTGTCGATTACTCGGTGACACGGTCTCGCGAAACATTGAACGTCTGTCCTACGCCTCTCGACTGCAGGCTCGCAAGTTGATCAATACCGTCCCGACAGAGGCCAATCCCTCTGGTTACATCATTGCATCTACAGATGATCTCTTACAGCTCTTTGACGCCGACTACGGAGCGCTATCTATCCGAGACGAGACCAAAATTCTGGGTGACAATACATATTCACAAGAAGTGCTCGCTTTACTTGAATACCTTCGCATGCGTCAGCTGAATACAGTACTTGCCTCGCACGATATCCTGAAGGACTTCCCGGACTTGCAATACGGTCCAGGCTTGAAGGCGATTTCGGGCCTACTATATGTTCCTCTGTCAACGGGCGGTAGTGACTTTATTTGCTTCTTCCGCAAGGGTCAGCTCACAGAGATCAAGTGGGCCGGGAACCCGTACGACGTTGCAAAGCGCAAGAAGACCGCGGGCTTCCTCGAGCCTCGAAGCAGCTTCGCTGCATGGAGTGAGACTGTCCTCAGTCAGTCACGCGAATGGTCGGAAACCGATGTCGAAACCGCCGCTGTACTGTGCCTTGTCTATGGTAAATTCATCAAGGTGTGGCGTCAGAAGGAGGCTGCAATGCAAAACTCACAATTGACAAAACTTCTGTTGGCGAATTCCGCCCATGAGGTTCGCACCCCCCTCAACGCCATCATCAACTACTTGGAAATCGCCCTGGAAGGTGCGCTCGATTCGGAGACACGGGACAGTTTGACAAAGTCACACTCTGCGTCGAAATCGTTGATCTATGTCATCAATGATCTCCTGGACCTCACCAACACAGAGAAGGGCCACGATTTGATCAAGGACGAGACTTTCGACCTTCAATCCACATTCGTGGAAGCAACTGATATGCTTGCTGCTGAAGCCAAGCGGAAAAATATCTCGTACTCCGTTTCCGTCAAACCTGGTGTCCCACGGGAAGTGCTTGGCGATCAGCGCCGTGTGCGTCAAGTCTTCTCAAATCTGGTATCAAACGCTATTCAGCAAACAGCATCTGGAGCTGTGACTGTGGAAATGTGGCGATCACCAAGCCAAGATTTGCCAGATCATGCGGCCGTGGAGATGATGGTACTGGATACAGGCGCCGGTATGTCCAAGGCCAAGCTTGAGGCGCTCTTCCACGAGCTTGAGCAAGTTTCCACCGACGAGAACAATTATGAGGAGGAGGATGAAGCAACCACTTCGCAGAAGCCGGAGACGAAACGGGCCCTGGGTCTTGGGCTCGCGTTGGTGGCTCGCATTGTCCATAACATGAATGGTCAACTAGGAGTCAAGTCAGAGGAAGGGAAAGGCAGTCGGTTCAAGATTCTCCTCCAATTCAAACTACCTGAAGGGGTGTCGACCGCAGTTCCGGCCGACGCCACTACGCCCAGCTCAGCGTCTGTACCACCCACCCCAATGATTTCCGACCGTGAGTTCACGCTGGTTGGTGGAACTGCTGAACGTCGGGAAGGCCGACGACTCAGCTTGGACAGCATGCGCAGTGGAGGTAGCTCTCGCAGTGGCAGAAGCCATGCGGACCGCTTGATTAGCGCGATACAGGAACCTGCCATGGTCCAGCGCGCCTTCAGCGACGGCTCCGACGTACGTCAACCGACAACCTCTTCGAGCCCATCGATGATCACAAGTCACTTCTCTGCACCGATCAGCTCTCCTCGCCCAATAAGCACCAGAAGTCAGGATCACTTGGCGAGCCTTGCCACCGTTACCCACACGCCACCCGTGGTCTTACAGTCGTTCAGAACACCTCCGGCACCAGGAACTGCAAACGTCACGGATTCCGGAGTGCCTCTTGGAGCTATCAGAATGGACAAGCACGAGGTTCAGCGAAGAGTCGCTCAGCAAGCAGAAGACCAATCATACTTTCCTCCTATGCCAGGTGCTGTGCCAGAGGCTTCTACAGCAACTTCGGCATCGGCCACTGCTCCTTCCACTATGCCCACCACGGCACCTTCAGTTGCTCCCGTTACTCCCTCTCTACTCAACGTTCTCGTAGCCGAGGACGACCCTGTCAACAGCAAAATTATCCACAAGCGACTGACCAAGATTGGCCACACGGTTATGCTGACTGGCAACGGCGATGCTTGCGCAAACGCTTTCACTTCAGGAACGGAGCAATTTGACGTGGTCCTCATGGACATTCAGATGCCTATTGCCGACGGAATGGTAGCGACACGGATGATCCGTGAATTTGAAGCCACGACTCCCAACGGCAAATCCGATACTTTATTGAAGCACGAACGGATTCCAATCTTTGCTGTTTCTGCGTCCTTGCTCGAATCAGAGAAGCAAAACTATATCGACACAGGCTTTGATGGATGGGTCATGAAGCCCATCAACTTTGCAAGACTGAACGTGCTTCTCGCAGGTATCTACAGTCTTGCAGCCAGGTCCGAAGCCACCTACAACCCCGGTCAATGGGAGAATGGTGGCTGGTTTGGGACTGCGCATTAAGTCAAATTTCTGACCCATACTTTCCGACCAACTCTCCCCTCCCCTCGATCCTTCCTCCTTTCTCGCAATATCCTCTTCTTTTCATCTTCCAAAATTTAGCGGGTCTTCATATCATATTTCATTGTGGTCTGTTAAATTACTACGCTTTTTTCATTGTCATTCGCAAAGTTGGCACTCGAGTCATGTTACCTCGTGGATGATGAGTTACGGATTTCATGGAACACCCCCCCCTGTATTCATGTTTGATTGTTTTCTTTCATGTTCCTTTGACCTTTGGTCTCTCTTCACAACTATCATAATTGTCGCCCTGCATGACCAGCCTTGTACACGGAAAACGCCCAAGGGTGATACTGGTCCCGGTGTTGGATATTGTCATTTGTTTTTCTTTTTTTGCATTCTCCTTGTCTATTGTTTTTTGGTACATGTTTGGCCGATCATGGGAACGCACACACATATACCCATCTTGCATCACATTTGAGATGCTTTTTCCGCGTTTTTTTTAAAATTCTTTGCATACGAAAATATTGTTGTTTCTCATAGGAAAACACCTCTTGCACTTCCAACATCCATATCATGTGTTCCTCGCATAGGTTTCTCCAGCTCCTATTCACAGCATTGCTTGATCATTCAACCTAATCGGCCAGTACATTTTGAGGCCTCACATTGGACCCGGCCGGACGTTGTGGGCTCTGTCCTCCTCTTTTCCACTCCACGTTTTTGGATCCATCCCCACTTTCCCGAAATGGAGTACTGTGTATGATATAAGTCCGCCGAGAATGACACCAGATTGTTCCAGGTTGACTTGGGGGTGACGAGTGTTTCAAATTGCAAGCGAAGTCATCACAATCGAAATAGATTGGACGCCCACCTATTGTATTGTACTTTTGAAGATGGGCTTCCCAACCTTTTCAGCTCGTTAAAGGTTGTTGAGAATGACGCAAGAAGGTGTCCTCCATCAAGATGGGCAATGCCCTCTCTCCCATTTGTGTATTAAAGGCAAGGCCACTACAATTATTCAGTAAACACTGTTCAGTATGTTATGAATGAATGAACGGACTGCAAGGGCTAAGAAGCGCAACCCATCGATTCAGATGTATTGCAAAAATCAAAGGAAAGAAAAAATAAAACAAACGAAATAGCTTCCAAGGGTTGACGCGAACAGTACTGGGTATCGAACGATTAGAATATAGAAGAGGCCACCCAGTAGAAAAGCTCAAAATACCCGACCTGAGATTGATAAGACGAGAAGGGAAGAGAAGAGAAGAGAGAGAAAAAAGACCACCAGCTTCTGCGAAAGACGCGCTCTTAGCAGGGAGATGGCATTAAGAAGAGACGTGCTGAGAAGACTTTTGTGAATCAAGCGAGTCTCTTCCAGGCTGCGCTATATGCGCTCTTCATGAAGGGTGTCGCCGCGCTCACCTCGTCCTCGGCGTCACAAGCAATTCGATTTCTGCGGTGGATCTCGGAGTTGATGTCTCGAGACGACCTCGCGCACGGGGTTCGGAAGAAAGCGTCGAGTCTGATAGAACACACGTCTCCACGTGAGTAATGGTGTTATCGGTAACGGAGGTTTCACGCAACGCCTCGTGGAAATCCTGCGCGCTGCTCGAGTGGCCCAGAGAGTGCGCACGCTGCGGCGATGAGCTTCCCCCTGTATGAGCAAACGCGGACGTCTCTTCAATGTCCGCGCGTGGCCAGCGCGCTCGCGAGGAGATCAAACTGTACAGACCGAATTCGCTGGAAGAGCGACTTGGGCCGGATCGATCCGGGGCAGGGGAGGGTCGCTGACAGACGCAGGGTCGGGCGTGAGTCAGCGAGCGAAGGCGATTGAGCACGGAGAATTCGAGTTTCAACTTGATGCTATATACGGCGACTTTGAGACCGATTTCCATATAGTGGAAATTATATTCGGCGACGAGGAGAAGACCGTTGAGAACGAGTACGAACACGTTGACCCAGATCAGGTGGATGATGACGCGTCGGCCTTGTTTGCCGCGAATTTCGAAAATGAGGCCTAGAGTCCGGCATGCTTCGCGGATATAGATCATGCAGATGACGAAGTCTTGAATGCAAAAGCCTGCTAACTGGATGCGGTCGAAGATGGCGGCGGCTCGGGCGAAATGGAGCTGCTCTGAAAAGAGGCAAAAGACGAGGACCGTCATTGGGACATGCAGAATGATAGCTATCACGATGATCATGTACAGAACCCAGCGGAGCTTGATGATATCTGGAACCACGAGATGAAGACGGGAATAGAGGACGAGAGCTTGACCGGTGACCATGGCATACCAGCCGATCATGAAAACAATGGTCATCGATAGATTTGGGCTCAGGGAGACCAATCGGACCATTGAGGAGAGGGTATGGAGAAGGATGCCCCATGATGATATTTGGATGCTCCAAAAGTAAAGTCCCCGATATCGGACGAAGGTGTCGAAGACGACAATAATCACCTCGAGTGCATTGTACGACCCAATCGCCAACAAGGCGACTACCTGCAGAATCCACATGTTCTGGGAGAGAACCTTCCCCGCCTCTGGCGGAAGAGTGATGACCACCTCGTCCATGATGAAATGAGTGGATGCATGAAGGGTTTACGAGACGAGGAACATTTTGCGCGTTGAAGAGGGGGAAAGATGAACGATGTGGAAGAAGCGTTTGGCAGATCGGGAGTCCAGGACCCCGGCAGGTTAAAACCAGTCACCGTGCTCTTTTGACAAAGAAATGAGGGAAAATCGATTGTGATGGACAGACAGTAGTCTATCCCAGACTCTCGCGCACAGTCAACAATCTTCCCCGTGCGTGAAGCATCCCCGGGAGTCAGTCAACTCCGAGGTTGGCGCGGCATGTTCCGGAATCTAGATCGCGACCGCCGATATCTGCACTAGACCAGGGAGCAGTTGCTCGTTTGCCGTGGAGCTCAACGGCGCCTAGGACAGTCAAGACATGTGGGCCGACGTCGAGCTTGGGTGGAATCATTTCCTCCCTCGTGGGGTGGCACAGCTCGGGCCAGCTGTCATATCGCCGCCACGGGCCACATTAGCCGGAGAGGCCGCCAAGGGGATGATGATCTTCGCATGATCTCTAGGGCTGAAAGAGAGTGTGTGTGCGAGGCATTTTTCCTCCTCATGGCACCTCCGATCCGGCGACACTCACAATCCCGGCAGTCTCCATTGGTTGTTGGGGATTTTGGGCCATCAGGATGCAGCAGGATAGTCAACCACGGCGATGGTGGTATCGAACCACCGATGGCACAGCGTGGTCGAGCCTCGCCCTCTTTCACCATCAATCAATCGCACACACGCCTTCGTTTGACTCAGGATGCAGTAAGAGGGTGGAAACGAGTGCCAACGGCTCTTATCATGAAGTCATGTTGCCGCCTGGCAAGGATGTGGTGGAGATGTGGTATTTTGAGACAAAGAAACACATCCATGTCTGTGGGATGCTCCTCCAATGGTGGATCTCGACGGCGCCTCCGGCCACGAATGTGGACTAGTGAATTCCGAGATAGAGTACCGCAGCTGTCCACAACAAACAATCCGTCTCTAGGCGGATGGATTTTTTTTTCTTTGTGCTCTCGTGGGACTTTTGTACCGTTTGGCTCTGAGGGCGAGGGGGGGAAAGTGTTGTTATGGATCCACACATCAGACGTTAGTGTGAAAGTGTGAGAACTTAAGAAAGCTGGAATTTGAGCCGCGTGGGGACCCGCATCGAAAAGGGAAGTGGCCCCTGCGTCCGCCTCGGAGTCTAGTCTTGTGAATGCCTGATATTCAAGTCCCCCGAAGGCCGTCCTTCAGGCAGCAGTGATTAGATAAGATAATCGCGCCGGACCTCGGATGATGGACCCACCGAGGGTGGATCCTCTCGATGCATACCAGTCAAGTTGCGTGCATTCTCCTGAATCCATTGCTCTCAACACGTTGAACACTCCGGGCTTCCTCGACATATGTATATTTTATACAATGACTGCCCGCATCGCATGCTGAATAATGAGCTCATCTAGCCAGAAGTCAGAACTATTTGAGTAACGGTGTCGTTACGAACCCTCAAGATGGTCGACAATGGATAATCCAGGAAAAGAGAATGGTCCACAGCGACGTATGTAGAAAGCACTACCTTCTTACATGGGAGACGGGCTTGTCGACCCGACAGGGCTGCGTGGAGGTGGAATGTGACAAACACAAGTTGCCCTCGCGTATTGCAACTACCAGCAACAGTTCCACGTCTCTATCACTTGTGCCTGCATCGCGGCGGGAAATACATATTCTCCTCGACACCACTTGGTAAACAAAACTTAACAATGGGTATGACAGGAATGGTTAGGTAGTGAAATGCAACAACATCCTGGCAATCGCTTAAACTCTCCGGAGCCCATTGAAACTTGGCCTGGAGACAGAATTATGTACTAATCTGAACTCTGACCAGGGACCTTTCTCGGGAGGAGTGGCTCAGTAACCTACTGCTCTTCATGAGTGCTGACTTGATGCCAACCTTGAACCGAGTCACCGGCCCTGAGGTAGCTATCACTTGATGCACACTTCAGTAGGCACCGCTAGGTGTTTTTCTCGGGCTGCAGTCCGAATGAGGCGAATGCAGACATACCCATGGACGGTTCTGCCACCCTTCCAGATCATGTTTCAATTGTACAGTATTTTCGGACATACCGTAATCGAGCGGCAATTGTATATTCTCAGATATTCTACACATATTGACCTTCTCTACACTTTAGTCTCACCTGCTCAACCTTGAACGTCAAATCCGGGACGTGGATTCATGGAATGTTCATTTGAAACAGTCAGTGTCCATGTGCTCTTAGACCTGGGCATGGCTTTGCCTTTCGAACAGCCTGGATGCCAGGTGATGATATCGTTGAGGTACATCGTCCCGCAGCCTGAACGATTGATTTGAAGGTCACTTCCTGCAGTGCCAAAGAGAGTTTAGCACCAGGACTTGAACAGGGTCAACGTCATCGAGGTAAGCTCGTGTGGTCCGTGCGGGAGCGGGCGGACGGTCCTGAAGTTCTTCGCTGTCAGTTCCGCTTTGCTTGTTGCACATGCGAACAGCTCAATTATGGTCTCCTTTTGGCCCTGGAAGGTGAGGCGCTCCGCTCCGCTACTTCATGATAGACTGCGACCGTGCTTACTGACACGACACAATTCTTCAAGGGCGATGACAACTCCCCTGCTGGGTTTGAAAAAACCCTGTCCACATTGTCCGCCAAGATAGCCCAGTCGACCACGCGACTGGATCAACAGCGTCAAAGAGCTCGACGATTCCAGGCTCTTTGGACACTCTACTCGACCTTTGCATATCTCTTTTACTCCATCATACTTGCACTGGTGGTAGGATGGGAGACCTGGGGAGTTAAAGAATTTGCTGCCATTGCGGGCGGCCCCGTGTTGTACGTATTTGACCGAATCTTGCACCTCTGCAGCGTCTCGGAATGGCTGGGCCAACTGACGAATTGTGTCTGTGCGACAAAACAGAATCTACGCGGTGCGCACGATGATCACTCGTATCTTTGATTATCGCATCTCCCGCACCCAGCGTCATGTCGACGAGCTGAACAAACAGCGAGACACCACTATCGAGAAGCTCAAGGTTGCGACCAAGTACAACTCCACCCAGCAGCTTCTTGAGAAATACGGCGGTGAATCACCCAAAACTACACCAAAGTTCAAAACCGATTCTCCCGACTCGCGCAGGGACGCTTCACGTTCGCAGCAGCAGCAGCAGCAACAGGGAGCACGCACGGGTCTGCCTCCCCCTCCGACTGCCAACATCCGCCGTCCAGCACCTTCTTCCCCTCAAGCTCGATCCTTCCCCAGCCCCGATGCTCCGTCCTCGCCGATTCCTTTCCAGACGCCCCAGCAGGCGCAGCCATCCCTGCCGTCCTCCCCTTCACCATTCCCTTCGGTCCAGCAAATGACCGATGATCCAGGATTCGCACCCAACGCGTTCTCAAATTCGGGGCAGTACATCGAGCAGTCGCATTGGTACGACAGACTTCTGGATGTCTTGCTGGGTGAAGATGAGACACAACCGCGAAACCGCATGGCCATGATCTGCAGCTCCTGTCGTCTGGTGAACGGCCAAGCGCCACCGGGCATCAAGACCCTGGAGGAACTGGGCCGCTGGAAATGTGGAAGCTGTGGAGCGTGGAACGGCGAAGAAAGCGAGACTACACAGCTGCTGTCCTCATTGAGGAATAACGTGGGCTCAGATCCAGCACTGGGAGAATCTGTAATTATCTCTGATAAAGATGTCCGTGGCAGTGAGCCCAGCGACGATGAGGTGGTAGTTACTGCCTGGAGCGGAGAAGAAGACAACAGTCATCTGGAAGTAACTGAGCCAGAAGATCGGACGGGTGAAGTATCCAGGCCTGGGTCTGTTCGCCGGTCAAAGCGTGGCAGGGGCAAACAAGAAGATTAGTATTCGCAATGTTGTTTTTCTTTCCTTTTTTTTTTCGTTCCGTCCGTTCTCTGTATTTTACTTCAGCGGCACATAGTTATTGGCATGGCGGAAATTGCAGATTCCCCTTGAGCAAACAGCAAGATATGGTTCTCATTGCCACGTAGGGTGGTCCATGTTTGTTCAAAATCACCAACCAAAAAGCAATACGTAGCGCTCATAGACTCATGTTCAATGATCAACATTTGCCCGCTCTTGCAATGTCATTCTGTCTAGCATGGATATCATGCGCATGCGACCTCTTCTGAAGGCAGCGAGGGTTGAAAGTTTTCAATCAGCCACAACGCAGTCTTGATCTCCGCCTCGTCGGCGGAAGCACATCCTTCAATCAGCGCAATCTGGGTTTTGTTCAAAGTCGCAGTGCAACGATAGGTCGCCGGGACCCCCTTCGCCTCGACACGCCTCGCTTTGAACCCAACTTGTCCAACCGCCTGTGCTAATATGTCCTGCGCTTTGCTTCGAGGGTGCTGAACATCAACGTTGTTTGAGATAATGCGTCTCAGGTACGGGAGTAGCCCCAGTCTCTCGAGGAACGCCTCGCAATGACGCAGGCTAAGATCCGCGCCTGTATCTAGAAATATCGCACCGAGGACACTTTCAATAATGTCGGACATGAATTTGTCTGGCCGTAGACGCGAGAAGATCTCCCAAGGATATTCGGACCCATGGTTGAGTTCGTGCCAGATCACTTCGCGCAATTCTTCGTATCGAGCGACAGATTCTGCTTGAGCAAGGGCAATGGTGGGTCCATTGTATCGAAGAAATTGCCAAAGATAGATGCCATCTACTGTAAGGTCCATACAGAGGAATGCCATCAGACCCGCATTTACGACTGAGTGCTTGAACAAGGTCATTTTTCCCTCTGGGATCTGCTGGTTCAAATTCGCTAGCAAGGAGACAACAACCATATCTAGCACCGCGTCTCCAAGGTACTCGAGCCGCTGGTATGACTGGGTTTTTGTGTCGTGCTCGCACGAGGGATGTGTGAGAGCTTCAGTCAACAGATGTGCATTCGTGAATTCGTACCCAATCAACTTGCTCAGCATTTTGGTATCGACCAGCCGGCTTGCTGGAGGCGTGTCCACAGCCTGCGGTGACATTGATTGAAGGTCAATTTCTGGTATGAACCGGTATAGACAGGTTTGTGCCTTTGAGATACCGCCATCCATATAGGCCGCCCCGATTAAAGCTTCAACGACATCCGCAAGCACATTCATTGCAAGCTTGCGCTTTGGAGGGATGGCTTCCGGGGATATTTTCTTGGAAATGATCGGCGCATGCCATCTTCGAGGAGTGAAGCGGTCATTCAAAATAAACTGATCCAAGCCAACATCCAGAGCCCCTCTCGCGAGACGCTGGTTCTTGACTGATTTGTCTCGACTTTCGGAGAGGTAGCCCTCGTGCCAAGCAGGCTTGGAAAAGAATAGCTGACAGCTTGCCGTGAATTTGAGAACTGCGTCGCCGAAAAATTCGTAAAGTTGGTAATGAGTCGGGGCTTGGGCTAGAGGCGTGGTAATTGCCGTCAATACATGGCGGAGGTCGCGGATCTGGGAGCCCTTGAGAATAGTTTCGTTGAGTTTGTGCGCCGCCATGACAGCCGTCACTCGGTCCAGAATGGCAGATATGAACAATCCAAACATGGACTTTTTCCAGGGAAGCCGGTCCACCGTACAGCCTATGGCTGGAATCAAGTGGATTTTCGGCGGTGCTTCTTCCCTTTCATCCGCCATCTGAGACGGATCCTTGTACTGCAAAAGGTTGCGCCGCTTGGGCAGACTCTGGACCTCAACTTCTACCGGGTTTACATCGTGCCACATGCGGAATAGGCGCGGTTCGCTGTACTTTGCAGTATCTCGGATGATACCAACAGGACAAATTGTGGGATCCCGAGCGAACATCTCCGTGGCCATTTGTGTCCCCTGGTACTGTTGAAGCCAAGCCCCAAGCTGATCAACGGGAATGTTTGGTACGAATAGTGCCACATAGTCCCGATCCAAGCCTTGTAAACGTGACGATGGGGCCTGCAAATACATTGCTGTGATGTCTCGCATATACTTGATCATCTCTGCAGAGGCCGGAAAAGGCAGAGGTTGGCTCTCACCAAAAGACACGGTCAGCCTTGTGTCGCTTTCCCAAAAGAACGTAAGAGGGTCTGGCACAGGTCCAGCCCTTGGGAGTATCATGGACATCTGCAGATCCTCATATACCTGGCCCGTTTTTTGGTCCGTCACAGTGATGCTCGTCATATGCAGATCCTGCGCCGCCCAGGCGTGTGCGAGATCAATCAAAGGATCATATTGCCCGGAACACTCGACGATAGCGGGCAAAGACTCATCTTTTGTAATTTGAATCTCCGCCTTGTTTGACAAGGGCAAAAGATTGTCATTGACGAGACCGTATTCCCAGAGGGCTTTATACGCCTGGAAAGCAGCGTCTTTCCGAGCTGCCTTTTCCGTACGCCACCATCGCTTGCCATGTGCTTGGCGAACGGACGGATGAACGGAGTTAGGAAGCACAACTGCTCCTCGAAGCAATCCATGATCTCCTTCCTCGTAAGAGAAAGTTGGACTATTTTCAACATAGGGATCTGATGGGAGTACCGAGCAGAAATGCTGAAGATGTGGCACTGCCTCCTCTGCAGAAATTCGAGCACTGTGTGCCTGTTAGCCATGTTGACACAAGAAACATTAATTTGAGACGACAAACCATGTACTGTTGACGAAAAGACAGTCGTCTACAGCTTCTTGGATAGCCTCAACGGCAAAATCTTCCTCAAGGAGTCTGTACTCCTGCATGTAAGCTTCTATCATCGCCGTTTCCAGGGCCTGCCATTGTGTGACCGCAAGTGACTCGTCCTCGGTCGACAGCATGAGGGCATAGACTGAATGAGGGTGGCGTGCTCGGCCTCGCCGCTGGATGAATGACTTGACATTAGGCGGTTTATCGAAGCAGACAACCAAGCGACAAGCACTGATGTCGAGGCCTTCCTCGAGAACGTCGGTTCCGATCAGCAGGTTTTTCCGACCAGCTCTGAACTCAGCCAGTGTGTTGCGTTGCATGTCGCGAGATATCAGATCTCCGAGTGATTGCTTACGAGCAGCGTGATTAGACCACCCGACGAATGGGGCGCTACGAAATTTGTCCCTTGTCGCTGGATGCCAAGAGAGGAACCTCCACAGGACGCTGACGGTCACCCGTTCCTTGACGAAAATAATGCCAGAAAACTCGCTATCATCTATTGCATCCAGAAATGATAGAAGGGTTTCCAGCTTCGGTGAAATGTGGTCGCTCTCTCCTGGTATAGGCTGACCCAGTAAAATTTCAAGAAGGAACACCTTCTCCGCATGTTCTTGACTCTCCATCGCCCTGTCCTTGTTGAGTGCTTGTTGTAGTTGATCGAGAGTCGCCCGAATGTAGTAATCAGCGGCCCAGCCACCAAGCTCACTATAGATCTTCAAGCTTCGGTCAAGGAACTTGTCTAGCTGCTCTCTGCAGTAGCTGACCTTTTGGTGGGCAAGTGCCGGTTTGTCTTGAGTGCCCAGCTCCAAGTGTGAATGGATCTGACACGATGGATCATCCTCGCGTCGGTAGGACTGAATGCATCTTACAAGCCAGGGAATCATCTGACTACCGACTGTGCCCTCTGCCGGGCTCAGTGGAGAATAGACAATCTGCTCCAGCCGTGGTCGGTGGACATGTTGTTGCAGCTCCAACCGATTCTGGTGTGGCGTTTTACAGGTAGCATCGAGGTTTGCCTCAATTTTTCTATTCTTGGTGATTAGCATATAATAGAACATATTCACGGTTTGGATTGGTCTCACGTCAATTCCTGCGGTTTAGACCGAATGATCGGGCTCGCCGTCAAACCTAAGATGTGGGGTACCGCATCAGCGCCATTTCTGGCTTTCGTGGGATGATAATGGTTCCGCATGATTTTGTTCGCCGGATGTCCGCGTGTACAATGATGTGCTGGTGGATCGACCTCACGTTAGTCGAATGATTAAGTTTCCCCATGTGAACTTTCACCTCGTACCCTCATCAAAGACTAAAAGAGCCAGTTGCGACATTCGCACGAATCCATGGTTCAGGGCATCCGAAAGAATTGCATGGGTCGAGCAGACGATGCGCACGTCTCTTAGAACCTCATTCCAGACAGCCTGCTCGGTCCATCTCTCTACATGATCATCTCCAGTCAATATCCTTGTCTTGACCGACGGAATTTGAGAAGCCAGCACATCATGTTGCTGAGTACATAAAGACACAGTCGGTGCCAGAAACCATACCAGCTGGAACCATGTCAGTAGTGAATCACGGGGACCTTGAGATGGAGCGCTTACCTGGCTCGTCGGACATCGTTCTAATTCTGCGATGATACGAAGCACGGCGCTAGTCACAAACACTTCAGTGTTCACACTTGCTAACAACATCATTCTGACCAGTCGATACGTACATATGCGTTTTGCCACTGCCTGTATCCATCTAAATCGCCATTTCAATCAGGAGAGATCCACATTGAAAGCAAAGGAGTGGCAGACTTACAGCGACAATAATGTTCTGCTTCATGCTGGCTTCCAACATCTCTAGTTGATACCCTCGAGCTCTGTATGCTGGGGTAGCATTCGTCCCCGACACAGGGCCCGATAAATCGGGGCTTTCATCCATGATATCCATGGCTCTGAGAACCACCAATGTTATTTGAATGTATACACAGGACACGAGGCCTACTGACCGCGTCAAGGCAATTATGTTTGGGCACTTGGGATACTGGAAGAAACAAAGAAACTGCACCCAGTCGGGCGGAGTGGGACACGGGAGCGGGAAGACAGTCTGTTTGGTGGCTCGTGCGGGTTGCAGGGACGGTACATCGGTACATCGGGCTTATCGGAATGATTTGGCTTTATCGATAGGAACGTTGGCAAGGCGGGGTTGACAGGCACCTGACAGGTACCTGACAGGTACCGGAATAGGACGACATATAGAGAAAGCTCTCGAATTACCTGACCGACACAGGGATCAGTGGCCAACGAAAGGAATGACAATGACTGTACATGATTATTATTTGATTCCTCTTGGACCACTATGAAAGTGGATCAACATTAACATCATTGGGGAGCGCAGCCGAACCAAGGTCCAATCCCTCGGCGTCTGGAGGCTCCGGCAAAAACCTTGGTATATCTGACAACCTGCCTCGATGACCATCTCTAAGAGATAATTGATGTCTCCATATGTGAGCGTCATGAAGCGGTGGTGGTCTGACCCATATTGGTAGATGTACGTGTTTGGATGATTCTGCCGAGTCCCGACTCACCACCGAGGGGACCCACGAACCCACGCATTAGATAGCCTCTCTTCCTTCCCACACCTTTCACACTGATCAATTTGTGTTTCACCTTCCTCTTTTCCTTCCTGTAGATCGATATTCAGAAATAGTACGATCCCTTTTCTATCCGGCAAATAATAAACATGGACAAGCGGTGTCGAGGTTAGGACTGATAACTAATGGAGGCTAGAAGCATCGCTTTATTTGTCGTCCCATTGATCTGCACAATTCCATGACTTGACTGCCGGTTCATATGCTGGGTACAGTCCATGTCACGGGTAGAGAGAGCTGAGGTCCAATCTCAGGACAAGCAAGTAGAATTGCATCAAAGGCAAGCGCAGAAAGTCGACCTACCTCACCTTTGAACTCTAAGAAGACTAATTGGCTACAGACTTCGACGATCATATATTCCGGGGAACGGACGTAATCATACCATGATTGATAATACTAATCAGATCAAGAAGCAAAAGAAAGCCAAAGGTAACTGAAAGTAAGAGAAGGAAATAGACACAAAAACGCAAAGGCCCTGACCTTTCCAAAAAAATTCTTATAATACCTTCAAGCGCCGCAATTGGGACCACCATATCTGTCTCGGGTGGGATTAGTGGACGGCCTATGATTTCCTCCAAGATCGTGAAGGGCAACGTGTTCGGCACCGTAGTGATAGGACCGTTTGGTGGCCGGGCGATTATGATTGTCTACAGGGTTTGAGGCGTGTGTTGTCGGCGACCACTGCGGATTGATAAATGCTCAAGTACCACGGATTCGAATATAATATCAGCCGCAGTGTGATTGATGATAATAAGGATAACTACATTAGCCCGACCCGCAGAGTTAGCTAGCCACTAGGTAGCGTCGCTATAGAGCTTCCGTCTCGAATCTGACACTCTCACTTCGAGGATGACCGATAGCCAAGTAGAGTTTCGACCTATAGGGACGTTTTCTCGGGATTATAAGCCGCCTAGCTCTTTAGAGCATTATGCCCCTTACATTCTTCCCGATACTTTCGGGATAATACGCTAGTAACAAGAATTAGAGAAACCCCAGGAAAACTTACCGACAGCAGTATCGTAAGCCGGTCCCGGTATAGTAATAAGCAGAAGCCGGTCTGCTGCGTCTTACAATTACCGGCAACCCTTTATAAGCTTCTGTTTGGCCACATCTGGTGGGACATTGGTGAACTTTGCGTACGCAGTTACCAGACCAGGCTTAGCGCGAAGTGTGTCGAGTCTTGCTTGTATTGGTTTGACCAATGATCCCGTCACTTCCCTCTCACATTCAACTTCAAGATCGAAGCTGTCGAATCCAGGGGTTTTCATGACAAGATCGACTTTTGCGACGTCAACAAGTCGAAGGGGGTCAAAGTGTGCAAGCCCAGAGGAGTTGCTGGCGGCTAGTTTGAGCTGATCTCGGGTTATCACCTCAGACCTGATTCCATTACTACTTACTAGTAGTAGCCGAGACCATTGGTTTTTGATTTATCGTTGGTCGCGCAAACCTGCCCGGAAGAGGTCATACTTACGAGTTCAGACCTCGAATATCTGTTCTGGTCCAACGACGGGAACAAGCAAGTGGGCGATATCTGACAGACAACAGGAGAGATCATGGATAGTGGAGAACATACTGAAGTAGACTGCGAATAAACCGTGAATAAAGAAAGAGGATGAGGGCTTAGAACTGAAGGAACGACTTGCCTAACTTGGCGGGCCTAGGGCACGTCTCACCTCACTAACCTCACTCAATATCCCCTACGAACAATGCTATCGTTCTCGATAGGCGCGGTTCCGTATTCAGATACATGAAAGTGCACGATTAGCAACGCAAATCAAATCCCGCACGTCCGGCTATTTAACTCCCTATCTATGCGGCAATATGACAGCATGAATCAAGGAGTTCATACACATCCGGATGTCCACCCTTTGATTCCATCTGTGCATTCTCTAGTCCTTTCTTCAATGGAAGGTCCTCGCGAGGAGAACAGTGCTTTTTGTTGCACGCGCAAGGTTCATCGAAACCAGCAATTTAATAAACCTCATTAATTGCCGAGGTGAGATACGGCAGCCTGTTGCTGGTCATTCCGACCAGGAAGTCATTTCCTCTGATGATTTTCTTATCCTGACAAACTAGGTGACCAAGAGTGACCTGCACCTTGAGACCGTACTAGCGGGTTACCATTTGAACATCGTGAGTGGGATTACGTACTAATATGACGCAACAGTTTCTAATTTCTCACGAAGCTTTGGACAAGCAATATCATCGGTGGCTAGCAAGTAATGTGAGATGCAGGAATGATAGAGCTGGTGACAATTTCCCTGATTAGCTCCACAGAGGTTATTCAATTTGTCGAAATACTATCCCAATTTTTCACGCGCCGAATAAGCCCCTTGAGAAACATTCTCTTCGCCTCATGATCATGAAGCTCCTTGAATGGGCAAATGGCCCCAGTAAGTCGTCTCTGGTTGGAAATGCGGGATTTACAGCCGGCCAGCCTACATTTTCAGCATCAGTCGGTATTTCTTTAGAGGCAAAATGTCTTCGCTGAGGATACCAGTATATCGCCGGATTAGATACTCGCGCTGTTCCCTACATAATGATTTTCTGATCAATTCTGCAGGCGATTCATAGACTTCATCACCCATATACATCGGAAGAAAGACGACTTTGTTTCAGACAAAAACTGCACTTTTCAACCTTGGTAGCACACTAAGCAGTTTGCTGCAGACAGCGGTTCATCGGAGGTGCGTAACGCCCCGGGTGCTTAAAGCGCGATTTGCCGAAAATGAAAATTATATCCACAAGTATCTTTAAATTAGCTAGCACAGTCGCTTCGTGATGTTCGTCAAGATCTCATTCTTGAAGGAATCTATCTAAGCGCTCAGTTGTCTGAGGTTCTTTACGTGTTCTTCTTCAATCTTAGGTCAAACAAACAAAACCACGTCATTCCAAGTCAAATGCGTGGAACATGACTACAATCAAGTCACTGACGCCCCAAACACGTCCGTTCATCAATAGGTTTCTATGAACTTTTGACCTAAAATAATTGTATTAGGGTGTCATGTAAGTCAGCCCCTTGTATTTCACGTCTGATTGAATTCGGATCTGAAGGCGAATAATTTCGACCTAGGCCATGTAACCATGGGCTCTATTCAGACACTCAAATCAAAAGACCGGCATTTCTGAAAAGATTGATCATTGAGACCAGTCCCCCTTTGAAACGACCATCTGTTGTCCTGTGATGGCGCAAACGTGTGGCTGTGACAAACCTGCATCAACCCCCCTTCTCCAATCAATGGATCCACATGCAACTTCAATGATCCAGCAAATGGTCATATACCGCTCATCTCGAACGAGCCCTTATGTTGCTACATAAGTCGAAGTACTCATGAAATGTGGGCGCAGAACTAGAGGTTTCAATCCAAATGAGCCACGGCCAGCGTGTCCGATGATTCCACGTCTTGAAAATCCGGCTTTTCATTCAGTGTTCTGACAATGGCCATGTTTCATTGCGACGGAAAAATGTCAATGACCACGAGCGACTTGAGGCCAGGTTTGTTTGAGCCACGAGAATACCACTGTCTCTGCCGCCACGGGACAGACACCCGGTCCTCGCGTAGCCCAGCAAAGTCACATCTGCAATCCATGCATCTGCAAGGAAAGTTTTACCGGCAAGTCTTCCTCGTGGAGAACCTAGGTCAACTAGTATAATGAACCGGTTTTGAATGACTCGCGAGGAAATCGCGTTGCTGTGGTTGGATGTCTGCCAATCAAGACAAGGAACTGCGCTGAAATATCGTATCTTCCTGCCCCGACATGGCGAGAAGATGCGCCTGCCTTGGACGGGATTGATTCAGGCCAAGCCTGGACGTGCAGTCCGATTAAGGGAGATATCATAGTTCCCAGCTTGTCCTGTTCTGTATGTCAATGCATGCTTGACGTATACTTCTGAGTCCCGAAAGCCGTTTTATACGAAAAGAGGAGGGACTCCCTTCTGGAAACATGACTTTATCCCTGTCGATCGCCGGCGGAGATGAGCAAAGGGGAAAAGGAAGGTGTGAAGAATTGATCTCGCGTGACCAACGACCAACTATGTGGCTCTTCTGAAGCCAGTCATTCATGAAGGTTGCATCGATGCCGTTGTGGTCCACTGGTCATATATGTGAGCTCTGTTAATGCTCAGGGATATTTACCCCGCACAATTCACCCGGCTGCAGATCTCCTCGTCGCTCTGATTAGGGACCGGAGTGTCTTCCGTGAGACGTTCTGCGCATGAGATGATAGACCAGACAATGATATCCATCGGATTGATGCTGTTGACCGGATGTTACCGTGGCTCAGACAGAATGTCGAAGAAGGAAGCGGGGCACGGGATGAGAAGCAAATCCCATTCCATTTGCCAAGAAATTTGGCTGTGCAGCCGACTGAATCCTCCTCACCGAGCGCGAATTGACACCTGAGATGGAGACCATGGGCCTTTTCAAGCATCAGGAAGCCTGGTGAGAATCAGCCCGTTTCCGGAACTGGCAAATGAAGATTCACTCGTCTCAACTACAGACGCACAGTGTCAACAAGGACCTGTCGCAGAAAGTCAAAACGAGCGTGCTTTGTTCAATTCCCTGTGGAAGCTTCATTCCCAAAGCCCGGTACGAGAATGCCCAGGAGTGATGCAGAGCTAAGCATCCGATAGATGGATGCCCACTTGTGCGGTTTCGGTTTCGGAGATCCTTCCAGATTTGGGTGGTGCGGAACGGCAAGATTGATAAGAGTCTTTCTTCACAGGGTCGAAACGTGGCCAGGTTCCGCCCTAAACAGCAGTACTCAGCCCGAATCAGGGCTCCGTACCGGCTGAAGGTGGAACTAGAGCCATTTCACCTTCCCACACATGGATCGGCCATGTCTATTAATCACGACAATCACGAGAATATTTCTTCGCGCACACTCCCATCTTTCAAGAATAATCCCCATTGGGCCGATCAAATCAACGATGAGCCTCTGAAGCGGCTGAGTCGCTCATAGATACATCTGGAAATGCTCGCGCCGTGTTGGATTGGGCAAAAACCAAGGGGGCCTCAGGCAGATCAATAATGAGGCGCCGCCGATCTTATCTGATCTGAACCTTCGGCTCTCCCGCACCACGCTTGGTGACTCGCTGGTGACAATGCAAACAAATTCGGCCGGAGCTGGGCGTTCCTTACCACCGCTCCCACTTCACGGAAAATGTGGAATTGGCAGCTTCATCATCCAAAAAAATTCGGGGATAAATGAATGTCCTTCATCAAGCACTCTGAGAAGACCCATGTGCGTCATAACCGTTTTGACCGACCCTTGCGGTTGTTCTGGAACGCTCAGGGTCTTTAATTTACCGACAGCATGCAAGATGTTCCCGATGAAGTGAGCCGCGAAGAACGTTAATTGTGAGTGATGAGCGCTCTCCGAATATTCGTGGGCGAGACTAGGCCCAAAACATGGCATATCACATAGACATGTCTTTTTTTTCTGGATTATTACCGATTCTGTAGATATAATCCACCGTGGTCGTATCAGCTTGGTCCTTCCAGCACTGGAGAGCCCAAGGACGCTGGATTGTGTCACTGTTCAGTGTCTCGTGTCCACTGCTCAGTATCCACCCCAGCAGCCTCCACCGTGCTACGTAAGGTCACCGATCTAGCCCTCCTACAACGCGGATCAGGATACTCTTGTCCATTTCGGGGTACGGTTGTAAAAAGCTTTTTGGTGAGTCACGATGGACAGAATTATGGAAGTGTGTCGGCCGACGGCTCTCCTAGCTTCGCCGTCCTGTCTGCATGCTATTCAACAAGTCAGCGATGCTGCTTATACGACAGTCCTCCAACCCTTGACATCCATCCCCGGTCGAAATCTCAAGCGTCTTGATCTTTCCATCAAGGTCATAGTCGAAAATTCACGTACCATCGGACGAATCCTTTCCCCATTTGTCTTCTGCAGCCGGCGCCGTCCAGAGTTACAGCGGAATGCTCCCCCGGCAGCACCAACTCTAATCCCCACCCGTAGAATCCTGAACATGAAGAGAAGGATGCAAAGAAACGTCTTTTTCCGTTTTACATATTCACGAGTGGACACTGAACACTGGGCCTGTTTTACCTAATGAGTCAAAAAAACGGTCCCCTTCCAAATTTCGCCGAGTGGAAGAATCCTCCCGCGCTAAGCCACACAAGGTTGTTTTAGCGGTATAACTTACTGTAGTCTTGTTATCTGATCCGGCCGGTGTCCCCACAGCGATGGCCCACCACAACAGGTTTGGGCCAGAATCACCTTGAGATGGTGGGCCTTTTGGGCTCGTTACTTGGTAATTATGGTGGGATCTCTGGTACGTGAGGGCACCGGGTTACAGTTGGAAAAGAAAAACTTTAGTCTTGCGTAAATAAGCCCACTTTCGCCGAGGTGATCGTGTAGGCTATTGATTGATAAGTACGGCGATCTCTCGGGGGAGAGGAGAGTTGGACTTAGCAAGATTCTGCTCGCTTTCACTCTCTCTCTAGCCTCTTCCTACTCTCTTCTGCTCGTTTGGGCTTCTTCGCCATCGGCATTCCTGGGACAAAGATGGACGTAAAGGCGCTTCGTCAACAGAACAATGTCTGGAGTGTAAAGTACTTTGCCATAGCCATTGGCGGCCTCATGGCTCTCACCATCATTTGCCACTGGTGCGAGTTCCTGATCTCGAGGCATGCTTCGAGAAGGGCGATTCCAGGGTTCAAGAGACTCTCACAGTGTCGACGGTAATATACGCCCTCATCTCCACTTCGCACCAATCTGAAGGAGTCCTTGACACTCAAAACTGATACCTATTCGACAGTGTACTTGGTCGCTTCATGAATAATTCGATCTTCGATGTTGCTCTTGAAAAATGGCTACTTTATACTATCTATTGGTCGATCAATCTGATTTTCATCTTGACTAATAACAATCTGAACTCGCTGATCTATGTTCGTCGTCCATCTCTCCTTCTATCTTCCCTATACGTCGCCTTGAGGCTAACTCTTTCACGCAGGTGGCGAAGCGTCTCGGCTGGTATGTTGTCCTGCTTGCAATTACTTTCACATGAACTGATCTAATCAACTATCTAGGATCTCTGTGGCAAACTTCGTCTTATTGGTATTCCTTGCCTTACGCAACACGCCACTTGCACCTCTATCCGGAACTTCCTACGAGAAGCTTCGTCCACTACACAAGACAGCCGGATATACCTGTATCGCTACCAGTGTCATTCATGGGGTTGTATATCTAAACGCCTGGGCACAGATTGACCATCTTCACGAGATGGGCGAAACCAGGAACCTTGTGGGTGCTATCGCCGGCCTGGCTATGGTGATTATCGGCATTTCCACCATCGGCTGGATAACTCGCAAGTACTATGAACGTAGGTCGTTAAAAAAGTTTCATCAGATTAAGCTTTCCACTAACCTTTCTCATCACGCAGTGTTCTACGCGATTCATCTGGTGATGTTCTTATTGATCATCGTACTCATTTGCATGCATCGACCAAGCTTTGCCAAATCCACTGTCATCATCGTGATCTTTACAGCCTGTCTCTGGGGTGCAGATCGTCTGATTCGATTCACCAAACTGTGCTGGAACATGCCTGGCAATTTCGCCACTCTCACTCCGATGATCGACGGCGCAGTACGAGTGAAGTTGCAGCGCTCTTTATGTTGCACGCCGGGGTCTCACGCATTCCTGTGGATGCCCTCGATACGCTTCTTCGAATCTCACCCGTTTACCCTGGTGTCTAACAGTCCGGTCGAATTTCTGATTCGAGAATACGATGGCTACACCCGTGATTTGATTGAGATGGCTCGGCAACAACCGGGTGTGCGCCTGAGGTGCTCAATTGATGGACCATACGGCCAGGTTCCTAACTTTGGAGAATTCGATCACACTATTCTTGTGGCTGGGGGAAGTGGTGCCAGTTTCACTTTTGCTCTTGCGCTCGGCGTCCTGAAGGGAAACGCTGCCAATATTTCCACAAAGACTATTGACTTCATCTGGTCTGTTAAGCATTCCGGTATGTCAACTTCGTCAACACATTCCTCTTTTGATGGGGAATTATATACTGATTATACAAAGACTCATTGAAGTGGTTCGAAAATGAGCTCCAACAACTACAAGAAAACCCCGCTGTCAATCTGCACATCCATGTCTCAAGAGACGATGTATCCTCGGGGGATGATTCCTCGAGTCTCGAATTAGCACAAACGACAATCGACGTGGAGAAAGGAACCGAAAAGAACGAATGTCAAACAATTTCCGTTGCTGCTCGACGAAAAGGCAGGCCCGACATTGCCAATCTGCTCGCCAGTTGCATCTCACAATGTGGTCCCGAGGCAAGAATTGGGGTGGCGGCGTGTGGTCCGAGTCAAATGACCAAGGCAACCCGGGCTGCGGTCTATCAGCGTACATTTGATGTTGGTCCGTCAATCACTTTATACACCGAGGTATGTATTTCATTTTTCCCTTGTGGTGCGGTACTATTACAGTTTTTGTCTTCATGCTAATTCAATGATGCAGGAATTCGGTTGGTGAGAGCGATAGGAATGAGTGTTTTGTAATGAGTTTTGATGTCATTGAACGTGAAATGAGAAGGTTTATATATCTTCGTTCAGAAAGTACCAGCATCATATTGGATTATTTGGGTATCTAAGAAAGGCCAACAAGCCTTCCATCCCAGACCGGATAGCAGCATCCGCTAGACCTCCGCATTGAGCGCAAACCATACGAGACCCCAACACTTAGTAGACATATCTGAAGTTCAAATTCTCCTGATCAGTCTTGTCCTCAAAGGCGTGCTCCAGATTCGGATCTGCAGAGTTCACATCTGCAGCAGCAAGAAATTCGTCTTTGCGTTTATTTTGACGCATGAGATAGAAGCGCAGAAATATTACGGCAACGGTCAAGCATGCGTAGCACGCCAAGTGGACACTCCAGGCGATGTGGTATCGTGGAGCGTCCCAGTCAAGGAATACCTGGGGGCCTAGGGAAATCCGTCAGTCGATGGAGAAAACGTTGATGTGATGAGAAAGAACTTACCAATGGCATTTCCTGCGGACCAGGATATAAAGGTCATGGCGACGATGGTGGCCTTCTTGGTTTGACCGGCGATGTTGCGGGACACCATTGATAGACAAAGGGTCTGGGCTGACCAGAATGACAGTGTGATATAGTAGGCAATCAGAAGCCCGACTTTGGTTGCAAGGGTGGTATTCTCAACCGTCATGAGGACGATTGTACCAATGTATGATCTGTTGACTGATCAGTAATCTATATTCAATGTTTTTATGTTTGTTTGACGAGTCAGGAGATTAGACTCACGGGACAATAAAGCCCAACATTACCAACAAGTTTTGGTTCCACTTCTTCACAAGCCAGGCTGAACTGAGCAGAATGATAATAATATAGAACCCCAGCACCATGGCGAGAAGTTGACTTTGTAGGGTGGTAAAGTTGAATCCCTTCATGATGATTCCCGCAAAGGCCCCCAAGCCACTGGTTGGAAGAGTGGTGAACACCTGAATACAACAGTAGCACCAAGTCTGAGGGTCCCGTAGTGCTTCCCACACCTGATATACCCGAAATTGTCGGTTTTGGATACCGGTCTGGTTGGAGCGAAGACGCTCGACCATCTTATGCTTGTCGTCCTCGGTGAAACATTTGGCTCGCATGGGCGAATCCGGCATGTACCACATGACGAACGCGCCCCATAGAACAGACAGACAGCCGTAGGAGAGAAAAAGAGCTTGCCAGGACTTGAGAACTTTGTCATGTCCAATCAAGGTGAAGCAATAGGCCAAAAGGCCGCCGACAATCTGTTGGGCGCCGTTCATCATATACCAATAGGTCACCGTGGCAGCCTGTTCCTCGCGCTTGTACCACATGGACGATAGCAACACAAAAGTAGGCTGACAGCATGCTTCGAAGATACCGAGCAACGTACGGCATATCACCAAGCCAGTGAAGTTTTTGCATACCGAATGGAGGGCTAGTACTGTACCCCAGCAGCAAATGTTGAAGCCGAGGTATTTGGCGATGGGCACACGCTGGATGATCCAGTTGGTAGGGTACTCAACCACCAGAACAGCGATGTAAATACAGGTAGTGAGCCAGGAATACTATGCCTGTGTCAGCCCGTTGCTCTTATCCAGGGACTTTTGGTTAGGTGATCACGGATTGAAGAAGACGCACCTTCTGTCCGTCCTCAAGATGAGCGTCGGTTTTGATTCCCATGATGGAGGCAAAACTCATGGTACCCTTGTCGAGGGCTTGAAGGAAATATGTAAGGATCATAATGACCAAGATGCGGCGATCGATTAACTTCTTGAGTCGCTTGCTATCTTCCTCGCTAACCACAACCCTCGAAGTGGAGTACATTTGAACCTGCCCAGAGTTCACTGATCAGTTTGGATGTTTCTAGCACTTTTTTTTCGAACAAGGGCCCGGAATCTTGTGAGGCTTACTTCCTTGTCCACTCGTGACTTATCCATGTGATCCTTTTTCAAGTCGTCGTCTGGAGACATGACACGCTCCATGTGAGAGATATCATTGTCCTTCTTGGTCCCCATTTCAACAGACGGGTGAGCTGTCTCTGACTGAATACCCGTCTCGGGGTGATGCTTGTCGTCGGCCATCTTGAATGACTTGGTAGCAACTGGAGAAGAAAATGGGGTACAAGCTCGAGGAAGAAAGAACCGGCACAAGCCTCCAGATACTCTTGCGAGACTTATAAGCACAAGAGACGACCAAAAGACCTATCCCGAGCCTGTGGAAACGAGAAAAGGCCGACGGGAGGAGGATAAGCAGGAGTCAAGCACGAACTCTCGACAGAGTCTTGGCTCAAGTCTCTGAATCAGCCCTTTCAGCAAATCACAGGCACTGTCCCCTATTATAAACGAATGCCGTCCATAAGCCATGAGCTTCACCCCTGCCTCAAGCTTGCCGGTGTGAAAGCTTCTCCGCCGTAGTTTTGACCTTCTCGGTCTGAATCTCGCCGGATGATCAGTTGTGCTCGACATCTGATCTACCTTCAACCTAACAAAGTCAATCAAACCATCGATCAACCAGTACACAATATTTTCCATGTGCCAACAATCCAGTGAGTTTGCTAAGCGCAACACAGTAACACACTATGCAAGCCTGCTTCCCACAGACCATGTACTCCTCCTTCCCGCGGCCGCGAGGCCATCTGCATCGTTTAGCCCCCACGCGGTCGAATTCCTGGTCATTTTAGAATCCGGGGAAGTAATCTACCGAGCGGGGGCTGCACTGACTCGATGCCAAGTCGCCACCGATGCAGTCCAGTCCACCAGCTACTGTGTGAACGGTGGAATCGAGCAGGGATCTTCACAGAGTCCCAATCACTTATAGCGGATGGGCTGTTGCTTTTGGGTGGCTCAAGGAAAGGGCTGTTCACAGGTCGGTGTCTGATAGACCGAATGAAGTGCTTGGCGTGTTCACAACTGCGGGGGGTGAGATGTGGAGATTCGTGGGCTGTGGAGGGTTTCTTGAATTCTTCCGCAAATCAGCCGTAAATTGAGGAAGCTGGACTGCCGCTCGGGCTGGTGGGAACGGAGCTGTAGCAGACTCAACTTGTCAGTCGTATGGGGATCAGTGACTCTTCCACCCGAGATTAGCGACGAGCCGAGCTACTGCAACGCATCGAGTGACCGAGCACAAAAGAAGTGGGATCGACAACGTCGACGGAGCGTGAGGAGTGCGAGTACAGCCGAGTACGATCGGCCAGGGCCGGCAGGGTTGCTGTCTGACGATCTGCACAACAAACCACTTGTCACAGCGTAGGAGGCTAAATAAACAAACTTGTCGCATCCTCTCATTTCGGCTTGCTGAACTTCTCTCCACAAATCGTCACGTTCCAACATTGCTTCACAAAATGGCGTGCACAATATCCTCCACACGACCCTCAGCCCCCGAGGTCCACACAACCGTCAACTTGCTCATCAATAATCTCGTCAACATCAAAGATGAGAGTGGTGAATTCCTTCTCCATCTCGCGGACGGGCGTATCATCGACACCAAATCCTGGCAAGGGTGGGAGTGGACGCATGGAATCGGCTTGTACGGTCTCTGGAAATACTACGAATTGACCGGGGACGAGCGTCTCATCAAGATCATGGAAGATTGGTTCTCTGCTCGGTTTGCAGAGGGTGGCACAACGAAGAATATCAACACGATGGCTGTGTTTCTGACGCTCGCCTATCTCTACGAAAAGACTGGCAACCCGACATATCTCCCGTGGCTGGACGCATGGGCGGAATGGGCCATGTATGAATTGCCTCGCACTCGCTATGGTGGCATGCAGCACATCACATATAATCGCGAGAACTATCAGCAGCTCTGGGACGACACGCTGATGATGACTGTGATGCCCTTGGCCAAGATTGGAAAGCTGCTAAACCGTCCCGAGTACATCGCAGAAGCGAAACGACAATTTCTCGTGCACGTCAAGTATCTTTTCGACAGCAAGACCGGCTTCTTCTTCCATGGATGGACCTTCGAAGAAGGGGGGCAATTTCGCCGACGCTCGTTGGGCGCGGGGAAATAGCTGGGTGACCATTGTGATCCCCGAGATCATTGAGCTCCTCGAGCTGGACATCAACGACCCGATCCGATTGCACTTGATTGATACCCTGGATGGGCAGTGTCGCGCTCTCCAACGCGTGCAGTCTGAGTCGGGCTCTTGGCACACCCTTCTGGATCACCCAGATTCCTACCTTGAAGCCTCCGCCACTGCCGGCTTCGCTTATGGAATTCTCAAGGCAGTGCGCAAACGCTATGTCAGCCCAGAGTTCCGCCCTGTGGCGGAAAAGGCCATTGCCGCGGTCATGAAGGATGTGGACCCTCAAGGAGAGCTCCTCAACACGAGTTTTGGGACCGGGATGGGTGATAATCTGCAGTTCTATAAGGACATCCCCTTGACCTCGATGCCATACGGGCATGCGATGGCTATTATGGCGCTTGGTGAATATCTGCGCACCTATCTCTGAGATGGTGTCTATAGGTAGACGTCTCTCCCTATGAGTGATAATGGGTCGTCAGGCAAATGATGGAATGGGTGTTTGATCATAAGTATCGTGTAGATTTCCGTGACAGGTTGAATACGAATACTACTAGTACTTCACTACTTCTTGTAGCACCTACCTAGAGTTCCGTGTACTACCACATAGAGGCGAAGATCTGCGACTGTCGACTGAAAGCAGATCGGCCCGCTAAAAAGGATCGAAGCGACCATACCATACCAGCCAAGCTAGGAATTTGGACGATGTGTCAATGGGACAAAGGGTTCATTGATGGTGGCTTGGGCTGCATACATCGTGTGTCTTATCGCCCGAGCATCTCTCAAGTGGGCGTCGCCGACTTCCGTGAGAGCGGGTGGGTTGGCGGGAGGATCATCGGTGACCGGGAGGGGGGGGGGGGGGGGGGGGCCTCTGGTCCACACTATATTTCAACGCAGTTTTCGGACCTTGTCCACGTTCAACGAACGATCAAACTTGACCTCCTGCACAATATCCGTTAATTAACTACCCACGAACACCAAGGGGGCCGCCTACAGATCAAAGCCCCGAATTACTGTGACCGCCGCACACCCTACTGCTTCGGTGTACCAAATGCCCAGCATGCTTTACACTCACGCTACCATCATTACGGTGGATAGCACCCGTCGGATCATTGAAGATGGAGCCATCCGCGTGCAAGACAATCTGATCACTGACCTCGGAAAGTCCGCTGTGCTGAAGGGTCGGCACCCAGACGAGGATGAAGTCGATCTGTCCGGTCGCATCATCATTCCTGGCTTAATCTCCACCCACATGCACACGGCTCAGACCCTGCTGCGCGGCACGGCGGATGATCTGGAGCTGGTATCGTGGTTGTGCGAGCGGATCTGGGTGCTGCAGGGCAACTTCACCGAGGCAGACGGGTATGCGGCGGCACGGCTCAGTATTGGAGAGATGCTGAAATCAGGCACGACCTGTTTTCTGGAGAGCATGGTAAGTATCAATCACCCCCGCCATAAAAATCCACATCCAACTCGCTGACCCTGAGAAAGTTTGCCGATCGCTATGGCTTCGACGGCCTGGCTCGTGCTGTTGAAGAGTCCGGCATCCGGGGCTGTCTGGGCAAAATTGTCATGGACATTGGCGGATATGCCAAAAAGGGTGCATGGGCCATGCATCCTGGTCTTGTGGAGGACCGCGAGACCTCCCTGGGTGGAACGATGAGGATGTGGGAGAAGTGGAACGGCGCTGCCAATGATCGCATTCGCGTGTGGTTCGGGGCACGAACTCCTGGCGGGTGAGTCGAAGCCAGATGACACCTGTTTTTTTTGTGGCCCTCGGCATACCATCTCTTGAATCATAATCGCACGCTGACACCTGTCCAAGGGTATCCGATGGCTTGTACCGCGAGATGACTTCCTTGTCTCGGGAATGGGATATCCCAATCACCATGCACTGCGCCGAAGTCAAGGCTGATCGGGACTTCTTCCACTCCAAGTCGCACACGCCGATGTCCTACTGCAACTCGGTCGACTTACTCGGCCCCTCGACCGTGCTGGTCCACATGGTGCATCTGGACGATTCCGACATCCAGGCCCTCGCAGCCTCCGGCACGCATGTGGCGCATTGCCCGACTTCCAACGCCAAGCTGGCCTCGGGAATTTGCCGTGTTCCTGACTTGCAGCACGCTGGTGTCAACATTGGCCTGGGCACCGACGGAGCTCCCTGCAACAATACCTGCGATCTGTTGCAGGAGATGAAGCTGGCGGCCATCATCCACAAGAGCATCTCCTATGATCCGACTGCGGTCCCGGCCGAGTCTGTCCTCGAGATGGCAACCATCAACGGTGCCAAGGCGTTGGGCTTGGCAGACAGCATTGGGAGCTTGGAGATCGGCAAGAAGGCCGACTTTGTGGCTCTCGATGTGCGTGGAATCCACAACCAGCCCTGGCACAACCCTGTGAGCGCCGTCGTCTACACTGCGACTGGTCGGGACGTTGATGTGGTGGTGGTCGACGGTAAGATCCTTGTTCAGAACGGTGAACTTTTGACCATGAACGAGCAGGAGGTTGTCAAGGAGGCCCAGCAACGCAGTCGTGAGGTGGTCGAGCGCGCGGGCCTCTCCCACAAAGTGAAGAGTCGCTGGCCTGTTGAATGAGGTGGCAGTGACTGCCCCTACACCCTTACGAGTCAGGCGTTGATCTGTGTACACAGCGCACAGCAGCCTGTCTTCGCTTTTGCTTTGATTGATTGCATTCATTTCGAGGAGCCATTGGCGAGCACATAGCCGATCCTTTCTGTATTCCTAAGATTTCTTTTTTTTTCTAACATCGCAATGGCATGATACCCTCGTCGTTTTCTACAGATGATGTGCTATACTCACACAGCTTCATTCCCTGTAGAATGATTTTGCTAATCACCTGGATCAAGGCGCCGGTCACCTACCGATAGTTGTATTTGGTGGCCTCCGACCCTATCGCAAGCCACATCCTGGGCTTGTCTGTCGCAGGCGGCGGTTGATCGCGCCTGGTGGTCATAGCTCAGTGAACGCTGCCACATCGTTGGACCAGGTTCCAGACGCGGCCTCATCTCGCAGACCAGGATGTGTGACATCATTGTCTGCTACGAGGTACTCGCGAAGTGTGTCACATCCTCAGCGCACATTCATCTGTACTGCCTCTAGCGCCTACTGACATCTATCCTCGAGGGTTTCCTACCTATTAATAGGGAGGCGAACCACTCTGGCAGTACTGGACCACCCCCTCCGCCTCTCAGTGTCTCCATTCGCAATCATAGCAGTCAGCTACCCATGGACAGGACGTTACGGGATGGACGGACAGGACTATTCGACCCGTGATGTCAGCATAATTGAGGAGGTCCTCAATATTGACCTGGGAGGCTGATCCCTCGTCAGTACAGAGTAGAATTACACACCTACACTACTGAACTGTCATCCTCGAATCACAACATTGCCAAGCAGACGAGAGTCCATGCGCCTGACGTCGGGAGTCACCAGTGTTGCTCGTTGAGCCACATTTTAATTAAGCATGTGTGTTATCAAAAAGTCTGACATGACGTGACCCACTCAAGCAGTCACCGAATCACCTCAAGGAGAGTAAGGCTTGCGGACAGGGTCGGTCCTGGGTGGTTTGAGGGTGTTGAATTAGGGGCGATTGTGGCTGAAGAGGCCGTCCGCTGAGTGGACCGAGGTGGAATTGATAGCCCGTCGATCGTTCCACACATGACGTCCCGGGCGTTACTTTTTGCCTGCGCTTGGGTCACTTTGTCTCTTTTACGCCACTCCGTCCCCTTGCTCTTCTGTTCCTGTGGGCAACTCTCGGCTTGGCGCACGTTGGTGGTGTCCGGGAAGGGCAGAGAAAGATTCAGAGAGGACGTATGGGGATGATGTACGCAAGGGTGGCATCTCCTACCAGTATCTACCACCTACTGCTAGCCAGCTGGCAGCTAGTAGCTGGAGGATGATCATACTCGAGTGAGTCGCTCGGGCTATATAACACCACCGAGAGCCATCACTGGATGCAATCTGACCTCTTCACAATTACATCCTCCAAGCAAAGCAAACCACTAGTCTCTTCGCCGATTATCCAATACTCTTCCAATCAATCTTGCTCTCTTCTCTCGTAACTACACATCAAACCCGTCAACATGCTGCGTCGCTCCCACCGCCCAACTACCACCACCACCCGCGAAACCAAGCCCTCGCTCATGACTCGCCTCAAGGGCCCCGGTGCTCGCACCCAAACCACCAAGACCAAGACCACCACCACTCGGCACGGCCACGGCCACGGCCATGCCACAACTACAGGCAGCGGCCACCGCACCTCCAAGCGCCACGTCGGTACCACTCAGACTGCTCACCACCACAAGCGCAAGGTCACCATGGGTGACAAGGTCTCGGGCGCCATGACCAAGTTGAAGGGAACTTTGACCGGCCGACCGGGTGTCAAGGTGAGTTTGCGTTTGCAATGACCCTTCCACGGATGGACTGTGGAAGCGTCAAAGAAAAGAAGTCGAAGATCCCAAAGTTAATGATGATGCTCATTTAGGCTGCTGGTACTCGCCGCATGCACGGCACCGACGGTCGCGGAAGCCACCACCGCACTGCCTATTAGAAGCGCGAAGTTTTGATGTGTGATACCCCCTCTGGAGTTGCTTAATGACCCGTGTACGATAGGATTTTGTGTATGAATCAGCGTCTTGTATGATTACAAGCGTGATTATAAGCGATGAATTCCATTTGATGACTTTTCCATTTGCAACACATTTACCTATAACTCACTACATAATCATGCATACTTCTCCATGGATCCAATTTACCTTCCATGGCCGCCCAGAAACACCAAAGCTTCAGCCCGAGTGTCCTGAGTCTGATTAGGTATCTCGCCAGATGATCAGGCTCGTCTTGGATGACATTTCTAGCTTCTTGCAACTCAAATCTTTTTCGACAGACGAGGGTGAAGCATCACGGGCCACTATTTTGGACTTCGCGAAAGCTTGCAACCTGAATGATGGGGAGTAAGATGAACCAAAGCTGAAGGCTTCCCTTAGGTCGTGCAGGCAACGTTGAGATGCTGCCGTTTCCAATTGCGTGCTGCGAGCACAAGCAGGCCGTGGTTGCTTCGCGGAAGGGTGCATTACCGTGTCACGCGCCCATCTTCGACCCCTTGCATATGTATCTCATTAAGTAGGGTAGGAAGCCAAATTTCAGGATATGTCGCGCGAATTTCAAGCACATCCTCGCGAATATAGCGACTATAGCGACTATGTCGTTCGTCATAAAGTCAATTGCGGTAGCCGGTTTCTTGGGTGGTCTTGCGGCCGCCTGGTCATACCTTCTCCACGCCAGCGATTCCTCCGTCATCCACTCGCCGGTCGTGGATCTCGGGTATGCCCGATATCAGGGCATTGCACTCAGTAACGGCATCGATGAGTATCTGGGGATGCGATACGCCCAGCCTCCAGTCAAAGACCTGAGATTTCGAGGCCCTCAGGATCCAGAGTCAGTGGAGGAGGTACAGGATGCGACCGCGGTAAGTTGTTTCAGATCGTGTCTTCAAAGACATGGAGGGGATGTACTTTGAAATGCGCTCACTCACCGTTGACAGTTTGGACCAGTCTGTGTCGGAGTCGGTCAACGTACCTCGAATGCGCTGGGGGAAGACTGTCTCTTCGTCAACGTGTGGCGCCCAGCAAATGCGACCGCCGAGTCCAATCTGCCCGTGTGGCTCTTCATCCAAGGCGGCGGATATGCAGATGACTCGAACAATAACTTCAATGGCAGCCAAGTCGTCAAGCAGTCCGGGGACAACATTGTCTTTGTCAACTTCAACTATCGGGTCGGGGTTCTGGGGTTCTTAGCCAGTGAGAATGTCCGTCGAGATGGAGATTTGAACGCTGGTCTACTCGACCAGCGCAAATTGCTGGCTTGGGTGCAACAGCATATTCAACAATTCGGTGGAGATCCTCACCACGTTGTCATTCACGGCGACTCGGCCGGCGCAGGCTCTGTGGCCTTTCATCTTGCAGCTAACGGTGGAAAAAACCTGGGTCTCTTTGTTGGCGCAATTGCCGAGTCGCCATTCTGGCCGACTTTACGCACGGTAGCGGAGATGGAGTTTCAGTACGAGCGATTTGTGGAGGACGTGGAATGTGGTACGGTCAATGATACGCTTGCCTGTCTTCGCAGCGTCGACATCTCCAAGATCATGAATTACGACGTTGACATGCCGTTCCCGGGCGGAAGCGACTCACCAAAGCCACTGTGGTACTTTTTGCCGGTGGTGGATGGTGTCTTGATTGTCGATCGACTCTACAACCTTTACGAAGAGGATAAATTCATCCACGTGCCTTTGATGGTGACGGATGATACAAATGAGGGCACAAGCTTTGCTTACAATGCTTCAAGTCCGCAGGAAATCGCCCAGTTCTTGAAGAACAATTATCCAGGCCTCAACGCCAGCCAACTAGAAGAGATCAACCAAGCCTATCCGCTCATGGATCCTCTCCCGAAGCATGCTACATACTTCCCTTCGGCCGCTCAAGCGTACGGTGAAGCGACATTCACCTGTCCAGGTAATCACATGGCCTCTAGCATGGCTTACTACTTCTCCCCCAGCCAGGTCTGGAACTATCGCTTCAATGTTCTAGACCCCGAGCAGGTAGCAAATGGCTTGGGTGTTCCTCATGTATTCGAGCTTCCTGCCATCTTTGGACTAGGTAATGCGGGAGGGTCTCCTGGGGCGTATGCCAACATTAATGCCGAGATTGTCCCTCTCACAATGGACTACACCATCAGTTTTGTGAGGGCACTGGACCCGAACGTCTACCGATACTCGAGTGCGCCCCTTTGGCAGAGTTGGGGCGATGGCCAGGGACGACGGTTGAAGATTCAGACCGGGTCAACCGAGATGGAACCTGTGCCTCAAGATCAAGTGGACCGGTGTGCGCTCTGGAAAAAGTTGGCTCCGTCTTCTGAACAGTGAGCCCTCTTCGGGGGGTTTCTCGGCATTTCATCGCGATGAATGAGACCGCGTCCACGTAGGGTATAAGTTTTATCTGGGGTCTTGGTGATAGATCCGCGGATGCCCCGGAAGAGCACCCTACGAATGACCTCGTATCGCATGTTAATCCACTCTTGTGGCTATGAGTAAGAAACAACCATTCACTACTATCCTGGGCGCGAGGCTGCTTTTGCTGGAATTGTCTCATCTCATCAGAAAGCCTTGATGATTCTCGGGGAGTAGTAAAAAGAATATGACAGCAGGTACTGGATTTGCGAGTGTACAGTACTCAAGATTTCAAGGCGAGTGTCCCTTCAAAGTCACGAGCGGACAACCTTTCACGTGAGGCCGGCACAAAAAGCCGGATTCTCAAGGCCGCATCCGAGTACCCTCAGTGCGAGTGCAGAGGTACCTTTGTATACAAGTTTGTCCACGAAGTCGAAGCAATGGATTCCACACAACAGGCCATCAACCCTCAAAAAGTACCCTAAGCACAGTATTGTTTGTATGACATGTGATCCTGCCACTCACCACAGTCCATGGCTTAGGTAGAATCTCTCCCCCACAGCAATCGCACTCTCCATCCCTCTCACACATCGATACTGCTGCCCCTACCGTAGCCGTATCTCATCAAGTATGTCACACACTGACACGCTGAAGTGGTTGTACTGTACATGGGTGAAATGCATGCTTTGAGACACTGCTACTATATTATAATGATTATTGCAGTACGATGTATCCACCTCTCGACTGCGGTACTGGACCTAATCAACTTGGCTGCATCTGTCCGGTCACTCCGCTTGGCGCGTAACCTTCAAGTTGGCCACCGTGCGGGGGTCGATTGTCCCCTCGTCCAGTCGGAAGCTGAACACAAAGTCAACCAGCAGCACTCGCAGATGCGAATCTTGCGCCAAAATCCGGGGACCAGCTCTATAGCCCCACTCACCTGACATGCTGCTTTGTTCTCGTGTGCGAGGAGACGGTCTCTTAGCGTACCCTCCGGCACACCCAGAAGACACTTCAGAAGTTCAGATCTCCACCTCCAGGGTCACGGTCCATAATGTGAAAGAAAGCAAATAGGTTCATTCTAGATTCTTGACTGACTCGGATTCATTTGCGCATGTCGACGACGGTCAAGATGGATCCCGATGCGCACCATTCCGCTTCATTGTTTCCCTCTATTGCGGTCGAGATCGTAGAGCTGATTACAACGTACGTCGACAACGACGGTTTACTCGACCTCCGCTTGACCTGTCGCGACTTGCAAGAGAAGACATTTGTGCAATTCTCACGTCGATTCTTTTCCTCTATCAGGACAGACCTGTCCGTAGATAGTCTGGGTCGAATCGAAGCACTCTCTCGCCATCGCGCCCTTTGTCCCCAAGTCCGAGGTCTGGCGTTCATGCTCCAGAATGGCGTCGGGGAAGGCTTGATCTGGGATCGACACCCTTGGGGACCGCTATCTGCGCCTCTGGAGATTCCCGAAATTGCACGGCTGCGGGACAGTCTGGTTGACCGATTTACGAATTGTCGGTCATTTTTCATTTTCTGTCGATATCCCGAGGGGCATCCAGACATGAGTCGCGTGACAGTTTCCGACACTGTAGCGGTATTTTTTGCTCTGGTTGTGGATGCTCAGGTCCCAGTCACTTCTTTTCATCTCGTCTATGCCAACAAATACTCCCGCACCCTTGTCATGGATATGCGTCGCATGCCGAAACTGCTCCATCGCCAGCCCCAGTTCAAGGCCATATGGTCAAATTTGGAAAAACTGTCCTTGGAGCAGTACCTCACTCTCGACAACTTTGTTTTGCTCCTCGAACTGGTGCTCAACGCTCCGAATCTTCGAACACTCCTTCTCAACCTGGGCTCGCACGATCTGGCCAGTGAATTCATGCATGAAATTTCCGAGCTTGCTGCTTTCCCACACCTTGAGGAGTTGGCGCTGTTCAGAACCGCGGTTCAGGTCCCAGATCTGAAGAAGATATTGCATGGTCTTCGAGGAAGTTTGACCACCTTGACGCTGTACCACGTCTCGCTCACGCCAGACGAAAACTGGATCTCCGTACTTGAAGAGCTAAGCTCAAACTTTGAGTCACTGCAAAGCATCTCGTTATACTACCTGTGGGCCACGGCTCCGACGAAAGAGTTGCTCTCCTTTCCCGATATACATAAAGCTCCGGAGTTGCGAGATACACCCAAGGAACAGCTCCATATGCTATATTCAGAGAGTCTCCAGACGCCGTCTGTCCTGGGCATCGAGTACTCGGGGTCAAAGATGCCCCACGTTCTGAGACTTCTTCAGGCTACAACCTGATTTGTGGCCCGAGCCATTTGCCTATGTCAATTTTTTACATGGCGCTCTAAGTCCAAGATAGTTCTCTTTCCTTCCCACCCCCACTGCTCTTATGAAGAATCTCAGTACAATCATCATTGATAGGTCTGTTGTCTTGCGAGCCAATACATAGTGATACGACCTTATCCCTTTGAATTAGCGATTATGCGCATGATTTTCTGCGTCTGAGTATGAATCAATGTCAGATATGAATTGTCCGAATCAAATAACTATCTCTTCGAGTCAGTTGCTTCCGCCGAGGCACGTGAACTGTGCTTTCTGAACATTCCGACCAGACAGCTCAAATACTGCCCCATCCAAGTCCCCTTCGAACAGCACTGAGACACTCACGCTTTCTTTCGGCCAAAGCGTTACATAGTTATCTGACCAGAACACAGGGGCAATCGCTGTCTGGTCTGATGAATTGATCACGGTCAATCTCAGGAACACAGCTGGACGGTCGGATACGTTCTCCAGTTGAATGTCAACATTCGCGTGGCCGTGAGGACCCTTGACCTTTGCTTTATGCGCCGTGGCTTTCACTATTGCGTTGGGAACGCTCTGCAGCGGTTGAAAATTCGAATATTTGGTGACTAGCGTGGTGTACCATGCCGAGTTGTCCCAGTCAAGCACGTCACTTTGGGATGTGAGCCAGTATACATTTCGACTAAGGTCTTGGCTCGTGTTGGTGTCACGAAGTGTCAGTCGCAAAAATGCAAGATCTTGGATTTGATCAATGCCGCCTGGACGTCCCACCCCTTTTGATGAGCTGGGAGAAGTTTCTGTCTTGAATACGATACTTGAAATATCCGTTCCGTTGATATCGATGAGATCGATCATGAGTTGCCTCTCGCCTTTCGATTCCAAAGAGTGATTGATCAACCACACTGTTTCTTTCTCATGATCATAGGCGACGTGTTCCATCCGATTGCCCACTTTGGCACCAAAGTAAGCTCCCATTGGAATCAGATAGTAATCAAACAGCTGCCAGTGAAGGTTTGGCCATGCGCTATTCAGCATCCAGTAGATTGATCCTGTGGCAGATCGTGATGCATTCTGCTTGGCAGAGTAGGCCTCGAACTGCGCGCGAGTTGCTTCATAGTCGGCCATTTGACATTTCAGGAGGTAATCTTCCAGATCAACGGGCTCCCCGTATCGCGCAAAAAGAGCAGAATTGTAAATTGAGCGGTCGTAGAATTGGGAGTCGTACCGGGACATATGGAACTGCGTCGCTTTTGGTTGTCTCCAGAGGATCTCGAGTTCCTCGTTCGACAGGAATCTCTTGAGGCTGCTCAACTCGGGTGTTCCTACGCCTGCTCCGAGCTCCGAGCCGAATCCAAATGCAGCCCCTTCTCGGTCGCCATACCAATAGTTGGGAGGTACCCAGTCATATGGACCATCCATCTTCATCCCCGAAGGTCCCAGGGCCTCTGGATAGTCGCGCTGGCTGGCAGATGCTATGACAGGGTTGTCCCAATTCATTTGTCTCAGTGCTTCCAGGTAAATCTGTGTGGCCTGATCGTTGGGCCAATAGTCAGAACCGATCAGAAACCCGAGCATTGATGGATGAGTTTGCATCATCTCTGCTTCGTGAAGCATTGCAGCCTGGGCAATCGGGTAGTCCGACTCCATCCACTTGACGCCGTTGGCATCATCATTATACTATGATCTGAGTCAGTATTGATCCCACCGAGCTGGGACACTTCTTCTAGAGTAATGTCTCTCTCACCTCCCAGCCTTCCCACTTGTCGCAGCACTCCCAACCAGCAAGTATCATGATGCCCATCTGGTCCGCCAGCTCGTAGAGCTCGGGATGCTCCTGCTTACCTTCCAAGCGCAGAGTGTTAAGCCCGATGTCGAGCATGTATTCGAATATCTTGAGTATGCGAGTCTTCTCAAATCGCAAGAACATATCGGGTCCGTAGCCTCCACCCATCACTTGAAACGGTCGGTCATTGACAAAGAAGGCCGTGTCGTTGTGTTCGTTCACCCTCGAAAATACCTTCCGTATCCCGAACTGTTGCGGGCGTGACCTGTCGGACACTGTCTTCTTTGAATCCTCGATGATCACTTTTCCTTGCACAGTATAGAGTCGCTGATCACCCCATCGGGCCGGCCACCAGATTGCCGCATTTTCAATGGTCGCTGGGATTGATATGGTCTTTCTCTCTTCGGGGCCCAGATGAATCGACCGAGCGACGGGGCTAGCTGTAGATCCCAGTGGAGAAATGATGGTTCCCTTTACGGTCACTTGAATTTTTCTCTGGCTTTGGTTGACCAAGTCGGTGAATAGCGTAAGTTGGACCTTTTTGGTATCTGCCAAACTCTTTAACTCGGTCACCACGCGGAAGGGCGACATCGAGACGGGCCCTGACTGCTTAATCTCAACATTACGCCAAACGCCGGTGCCGTTGTCTGGCGGATACGGATTCCAGTCCACAAACCCCATGGCAAAATCACGAAGATAGTCGGTTTGATAGGCTTCAATGAGTAAACAGTTCGTCCCGTGCCGAATACTTCCGGTCACATTGTATTGACGACCTCCATATGAGCCCTGTTGCTCATCGCTCCCAACGATCATCGCACCATTGAGATAAAGGTCCGCTTTGGAAGTGATCCCGTGCGTATACAGTGTGAAGTACTGGTCCTGGTCTGGTGTCATGGCGAACTCTTCTCTATAAATCCATGGGCAGCGAAAGGACAAATTGGTGGCCAAGCTATTCAAATTGTCTACGAAGAACAGCTGCTCATCGCTGTATACGCCGCTCTCGATCAGGCCGGCCAGAACGGTTCCGCGTGGGCCGACCCGATGCCAATCAGAGGCATCAACCCCAGGTTGAGATAAATGGGAGCTGTTTGTCGATACATAGAGGCTAGATCGCAGGTTCCAGCCAGGAATGATCGCGATATCGCCAGCCGCTGAGACGAGTGAGTTGGAGCTGTGGCTAGCAGCCTTGGCCTTAGTCAAGCCCACCAGCAGGGCGTTTAGAGCCTGGATGAACTTCATGGGAAACCAAATCTCTGTGGTGCAAGCTCGAAGTAGGGATAAATTTCAAAACATCCATACCTGTTCGAGGAGGATTGGAGCCCTTTTTATGGTCGGTAAACAGTAGTGGTCCAAACGATCTGCATCCTAGATTGCCATTCAATCAACCCTTGTCCTGTTATCTTCACACTCCGACGAAGAAGCCAGTAGTGCGCCGCGCCGATTGACTTCGGAAACCTCCTCGTCTCGCTTGGTGATCGTCGGTTGTTCCTGGAGCAGTCAGATCCAGCATGAGCAAAAAGCGACTCGACCATTCAGTAGCGATCGGACTTTTCTCTGTGTCCGGACCAGTCAAGTTAATTCACCCGACGTGTTCCATTTGATGTAATGAGACGAATTGGTTATGCATGAATGGGTAGTTGAGACGCTTTATCCTCCGGTGAGCTTTGGATCTGAGCATTGATCAAGTACGACCCTGCAGGCTCCCGCCTATTGACAACCTCGGAAACGCTTGCATATTATGTGATAACAATGCTAAGCTCCACCCGACACAGTACATTCATTGTAAACTGTACAGGGTAGAATGTACTAATGTAGTGATGTGCAGAAACTCGCTCAATTGCCCACGCCGTCAATCATATCAAGAGCTGGGTGCCATCTGCACCCTCGTCAACGGGTAAAGGCACCGGTGAAAGCCTCGGCTGTGACCCCGGCCAAATCACCGGCAAAGTCTTAATGACCATCTGCACACGATACCTTTTCGTATGGGCAATTGTGCATCATTGCTTGTTTCTGAACGGCGAAGCTACCGGGTCCGAGAGCGACGTCGTATTTAGTTAGCACTTGGGGTTCAAGTTGTCATGCGCGCCGTTTCGCGATAAGATCTGACGACACCCTTTCTTTCTCCTTGACAGACAAAATGCAGCAGGTAGTCCACGACAATGAATGTGGCTTCTCCGCTGTTCCTGTTGGATCTCAGGACTCTGTATATATCAAGCAACGAAAGAGGAGGTCAAACAACAAAAAAGTTGCCCTCGTCCAGGTTCGAACTGGAGACCTTCGGATTACCACCCTGTTACAGCAGGGTCGTCATAACATCCTTATGAGACCGACGTCATAACCAACTAGACCACGAAGGCGTGGTGGAAAGGGCCAAAAGTTGCTCTATGAATAGCCAATTCGTACGGAGAGGAAGCGCAGAACTTGGCAACAGCCGACCCCTTCTCAGCCCTGGCATGGACTGCAGCTGACGGAGGTTCGGACTTACCTAAGCCATGTGCTGGCCTGAGGCATGAGACCCGTGTCTTGTTGCCTGAGTGCCTTGTTAACCTCTTCGCGCTTTCCTGCCTCGATTCTTGGGTCTACATGCTGTCTTTCACAAATTCAATGTTCAGTTTTTCGACTCCTCAAAATCACTACTTGTACCATAGCTATGACAGATTATTTCTTTCCAGACAGTGGCCGCGAGCTTGATCTTACCCCAATCGCAGACCATGCGCGCTTACCCGGGTTGAGTGGTTTTCCTTCAGTACTTGGATGATCCGAGGTAATCAAGGTTGACCATTTGTCTTGGCACTTTTTTGGGATGGCACCTGAGGCTGTAGAAAAGATCATACAGGAAGATCTCCCAGAATTTAGGTCTCCTCCAAGGATCATACACTGAGTGCACAGACGGCACCGGCGGTAAATCCAAGCCCTTCCCGCTCGATGAACCCACGAGGTCCAACCCAGACTGCTCTCACCCTACCGGAAAGGGATGTCCAGGACGAACACGGGAACGTGCCCATCCTTGAGTCATGGAGACTTGCCACTACTCTTATCACGCTCTTGGTTGCTTTCGGTCACGTTCTGGTGGACACACGGGAGGATGCAGGCCATCGTCTATGAGCAATCTATAGCAATTATTGGCGAATTGATCGCCTGTATCCTCTTATCCACCGCGTCGTGACCATTGATAGCTTGTTGCCCGCATTCCAGCTGGATCCGCATCGTGGAGTGACAACCCATCGGACCCATGGATCTTTGCAACACAATGTCAGCTCCAGCGTTGCAGTTCTCACTTGACGGTCCCTCATCCGGGCCAAACTGCACAATTGGCATTGACATGCCCCCTCGTTTCAGAGGAGCCGAAGCTCGAGGGTGCATTGCTCCTTGGGAAGGGTCTCGAACGTGACTCGAGGGATGAATTTGACTGTCACCATTCCAACCCTTCTCCAGATCACTGGAATGTCAACTTTCAGCGCACGTCTGGGCCTTTCTCCTTTCGCAACTTTCTCTTTCCTCAGTGGTGACAGAGGACACTGGGCTTACTCCCAGATACTCCAGATACTAACCTATTCTTGGGATCTTGGCTTGTCTTGCAAGTGGAGAGTTGTGCACTGACGCTGAGACGCCCGAGATCTGCCATTCGATTGCACCACAGTCTGCCCTGTGAGGTGCTTTGCAGCGATAATTGAAACATCAAGCGCACTGTGCGGTTCTGCTCTCAACGACCATTCACCGAATCTGAAACTCAGAATGAAAGTGGCCGGCCACTCATTTCGACCCTCATGGGCGGTTCTCTTGACACTCGGCCTTGCCGGACTCGAGTCTGTCGATGCAGTGGAATTGAATGTGAACAATGCAGGTGAGGCGCAATGGACCCAATTCTCGTAAAACGAAAAGCTCACGCATTGTTAGATTCCATTAAGAGTGCTGCGAAAGACATTGCTACGAATATGATGACATACTACACCGGAATGAATCCAGGCGATAATCCAGGCAATCTACCAGATCCCTACTACTGGTGGGAGGCTGGTGCAATGTTCAATTCACTGATCAATTATTGGTATTACACGGGGGACGAGACTTGGAACGACATTACGACCCAAGCCATGCTCTGGCAAGCCGGCGACAACGCAGCCTTTATGCCCGCCAATCAATCCAAAACTGAGGGAAACGACGACCAAGTCTTTTGGGGTTTCGCAGCCATGTCAGCGGCAGAACGGAATTTCCCTAACCCTCCCAGTGACCAGCCTCAGTGGCTGGAGATGGCCCAAGCCGTCTTTAACACGCAGGCGGCTCGGTGGGACCCTGCAACTTGTGGTGGCGGATTGCGATGGCAGATATTCACGTGGAACAACGGTTACAACTACAAGAACACCATCTCAACCGGTGGGTTCTTTCAGCTTGCGGCCCGACTTGCTCGCTACACCGGAAATCAAACGTACTCGGACTGGGCCGACAAAGCTTGGGACTGGATCACCGAGGTCGGCTTCCGAAGTAATGAATACAACTTCTGGGACGGAGCCAGTGACCTCAGTGACTGCAAGGACATCAACAAGATCGAATGGACCTACAACAATGGAGTCTTTTTGCTGGGAGCCGCCAGTATGTATAATGTGGTACGTCCCGCTTAATATCTCCCCTTCTGAACCTCTCTCCTGCGGCTTGCGAAGAGTGGAATTCAGCACAGTTACTGACCTCATTAGACTGAGGACCCTAAGTGGAAGGATCGAGTCCAGAAGATCCTCAATGCCGGAGAAATCTTCTTTGTCCAGGAGCCACCCAACGTCATGTACGAGCGAGCTTGCGAGACCGTCAACACATGCATGGTTGACCAGCGGTCCTTCAAGGGTTATCTGGCTCGCTGGATGGCGGACACCATTCATATGGCTCCCTTCACTCACGATCAGATCATGCCCAAACTCAGGGCTACCGGGCAAGCCGCTGCCAAAACTTGCACGGGCGGCGAGCAAGGTACGACTTGTGGTATGCGATGGACCTCACAGAAATGGGATCATACCAAAGATTTCGGTCAACAGATGTCCGTTCTGGAAGTTGTGCAAGCGAACTTGATCGACTATGTGGCCCCTCCCGTCACGAAAGATCATGGCGGTACCAGCAAGGGCAATCCCAACGCTGGAGGAAAGCCTGTCAATCCTACGCCTGACGCTCTTTCGTATCCCATCACCACCGCGGATAGGGCCGGTGCAGGTATCCTGACCGCGCTGATGATGATTACCCTTGGCGGGTCCTGTGGCTGGTTGATATGGGATTGATATGCTCACCTGCATTGTAGAAGTGAAGTGTGGGATCAGGGCCCTTCATTTTGAGCACTTTTGTTGTGGTTTACCTTGGCGTCGAGGGAGTTCCAGCCCATATTTGGGTGCCAAGTCGGCAACACACTGCATGATGATGTGACATCAATATTATTTCTAATTCTTCTCCTCATCTATCTAAACAAAATATTCACCTTTTCTTTGTTGACGGTTCCGCCGAGGTTAAAGCTGAGACCTAATCACTGAGGCGAGTTGTTGGGATCTATCAGACATTCTAGCTTCGAGGGGGCGCCATCTCTGCTGCAGCCAAAGAGCGGGGGATCGCCGCTCACAGCTTGTAATTCCAATCCTGCATTTCAATCTCTTGGCCATAATACGATCTCGAGTCTACACCACCGCAGGCGTAGAAAGAGGAGAAAGAGGGACAGAAGCCAACTTCAAAGGCGGGGGAATTCCGCTAATGCCTCGTTCCTCGGTCTCTTGATCCACAGCCCTCGACGCGTAAATAGCTGACCAGGGTGAGGAAATTGATGCTAGCGACTCCATTCACTCACGTCTCCTCAAGAACTCTTATTGAGGCGCAGGATTCGCTGACAATGGACTCCACGGAAGAAGCAACACAATTCGAAATCCCCACGCACTGCAAAGCGGGTGTTGTCGTGAATGAGGGCCCTGGCTTTCATGTCGAAGTGCAAGACGTGCCGGTTCCTGAACCTGGTAAACTATCTTCCGTCTTCCGCTGAAGGTGCCGCATCTCTTTCGAATGCGACAAGGCTGACAGCCAAGCAGGACCCGACGATATCTTGGTCCGATTGAACTTCACCGGCCTTTGCTATACCGACATTCATACTGCGAAGGGCTTCCCTCCAGAAGACTCGTATCGTCCGAAAGAGCCACCGTCTGAGCTAACATTGCCATGAGCCAGGCACTCCCCCGCACGATATGCATCGCCAATTCCAGACGGTGTTCCCGACGAGATCGCCGCACCCATTATGTGTAGTGCGAGCACGATTTATCGATCAATGATAGAGTCCAATCGCAAAGCTGGCGCGTGGGTCGTCTTCTCCGGAGGCGGAGGTGGAGTCGGCATTCAAGGCGTTCAGCTCGCGAAAGCCATGGGGATGCATCCGATCGTCGTTGACACGGGGTCAGAGAAGCGTGAACTCTGCACAAAGATTGGCGCTGAGGCCTTTGTGGATTTCAAAAAAGAGCAAGATCCATCTACAGCAGTCATCAAGATTGCGGATGGCATTGCGGCCCACGGAGTCTTTGTCACGGCCCCGGCCGCCTACAAGACGGCGATCTCCTTTGTGGGCGAGCGTATCGGTGCCATTGTGATGTGCGTGGGACTGCCTCCAGCGGGAACGACAGTGCTGGGTACTGATCGTTGCCAGTTCGTTTCCCAAAATCTTAGCATCAAGGGTACATTGGTGGGTAGTCGCAAGGATACTGCGATGGCTTTGGATTTCGCTCGGCGGGGGATGCTTCATCAGATTAGCGAAGCCTTGCCGTTAAACAAATTCCCTGGGGCAGTGGAGAAGCTTCGTGAAGGCCAGGTGGCGGGTTGTATCGTTATTGGTTTCAATCGCGAAGAATAAGCGCATCGTTGGCTCTGGGTAAAGTGGAATATCTACATATCGATCAGTCCAATCGCATGAAGGTCCTCTTCCCGCCAACACATGTCTGCAATTCCTAAGTCTTCAATGACAAAAGCTCTGGAATTAGAACGTTGTCATTTGGGAGCCACGGCGAGTACGAGTAACTACTAGTAGCTAATGGGTGAACAGAATTGAACAGTGTCTTCCAGAGCTGTGTCCGTTCTTGACTTATTCAATAATGAACACAGTGGATAAACTGCCTATAACCATCTTCCACCTGTAACCCGCTGAATCGTAGCCATAAAAGACATATTCGGACCATGATAGTTCGATTGCATCTGAAACTATCCTGAGGGGGTTTTTGGACCGAATCCGGCCGCTTCAAATGCGTGAATAAAACGTAGGCTGTTGTGAACTTGTGATATGGATATGAGTCCTCAACTGTTTAAAGACTGGCTACTGAGGTAAGGTAGGTGGGCCGAGGCCTGGTCCGCGGAGGTCATGCCCACAGTATCACACAGTGTAAGGTAGATCATAGACCTCAAAAGCTGCATCATGAACGCATACGACATTGACCAATTTCTAATCTCGAGACTTGTGTTCTTTTGCCATTAGCCAGCAGCGCCCTCAAGAACAAAAAACAACCTGCTTGTGTTTCGTCCGCATTTTGCCGCCTCGATGAACAGTTGAGACAGCGGGGACTGTGTTTAAGTCTATCACGTGATACGCGCATACGCCGATCTCATCAATAATCGGCATTTACTATTTTCTGACTTTTACATCCTCTCTAGTCATCCCTCGTTCACCTCGAAGATCCGTCTGCGTTTGTTACTTCAATCGCATTTCCTCGGTCTTCGCGATTATGGTCGAATTCTTCTCATTGCCACTACGCCCTCCCACCGACAAAGATGAACGCCCCGACACCCTCCCCGTCGAGATCGCCCAGATCAACAACCAATGGGGTTCATTCCGCGAGGTGAACGAGGACGTCCTCCGTGCTGGGATTACCAAACAGAAGAAACCGGATGCGACGCCATTGGAGGAAGCCGAAGAGGAGCCCACAGAGCTTGATGCCACAGAGCGTCGCGAGCAGCTGTACAAGCGTCGCCTCGAGATCACCCAATTCGCAGTGTCAGTCAAGCTTTCTTCCCACGCAACTGGCAGTCAAGAATCTCTGTGTTAACCCGATCGAATACAGAAAAGCACATCAAGAGACCATGCTCGCACTTGACTTCATCTCCTTGCTCTTATCGAAACACTCGCCGCGCCAAGCAGAGACCTCCATGTCACCTCTACTAAAACAGCTTGCGCCTCTCGGTTCTCTCGGCTCGGATCTCGTCAATGCGCCACCAAGAACCGAGGCAACCCTCAAAGATATCGCAACCGTGTCCCGCGGATGGCGCATGCAGAGCTTCAATGCCGTTTCAAATAAGTTACTGAATGCTGCCACGCGGCTTAACCGTGAAATTGACTCGGAGACCAAGTACTGGAATGAAGTGATTGCCGTGAAGGATAAAGGATGGAAAGTTTGCAGACATCCGCGAGTCAGGCAAGCATTGGCTGTGCGATACGGCTTTATAGAAGGTACGACGGGCACATGTCTGCAGCTGCAGCTAACATGTCGTATCTACTGCTAATTCACAAATTATTAGCGACTCCGGCTTTTCGCGATCGAGGGCTCGCATCCCTTCAGCGATCAAACGACGGGAGTCTTGTGCTGGATCAAGGACTCATGCCCACGAGTGCCCGCTACGTCCGCGTTCAAGTCAAACAAGGGCAGCAAAAGTGGGCGAGCTCCAAACCGACGGGAACGATAGCCAATGAATCAGATCCTATCGAAGCTCGAATTCTTCAGGCGCGAGACTCGGTCTTTGAGGAGGAGCTGTTTCATGAACTGGTCCGAGAAGCAAGAGCGCTGGCATCATGTGGCGTCACTACCCGCGAGAATTTGATCAGCATACCAGTCGCTGACGAGACGGAGATCATGCTGGATCTTGTGGACGTAGACGGCCATGATTCTCACTCTCAAGAGGCATTTTTGCGAGAGAATGACTCGATCGCGGACGGCTTTGCTCATGGAATTCGGGTCATGCTGTGTTTCGCCCACCGGCAAAACCTGCGCCGCCGGACACAGATTCCGCGTCCACTGACCACAGCAAGACCGCCGATTCCCGAATATCACCTCCTTCGGCCCGCCCTGGCATACCTTCAGCATATGACATTGGTCCGGTCGCTAGAAGCCTACTTCTCTGACATTTACACTGTGCTGCGCTCCGCTGGCTTGGATCTGCCTCCGTGGAATCTGCAGACGTGCGTGGGCTGGCCCGTAGGATCCGTAGGCAACTCAACCCAAAGTCTTGAGGCGCTCGTTGGGAAGTTCCTGCGTCCAGTAGAATCGGTGTTCAGCGGGGACCTGCTCACCCCGCATGGTTCATTTTCGGTCACCATTCGGACCAACTTCTCAGCTGTGCCACTCGGAAGCATATATGAAGTCTCCTTCCAGCTGCCAACAGTCTCGCATCTCAAGACCCCGAATCGCGTTGGCTTGAGAGAAGAAGCCGAAGCAGCCATCACTCATGTCCTGCTCCTGGATGTGGTTTCCGCCATCGCATCAGGTCCGATTTCTGCTGCTCCAGGGAAAACAGAGCAGCAGAACTGGGTCCCCATTTACCCTCATCTTGGCGAGCTCCTGCTACCTCACTCCCATCCCGAAAGGCACAAAAAGATGAAGGTCACTCTCACTCGACATGACATGGCTGTCACCACGTATCTTGTCAATAGCATCGATGGGGTCGGACGTGGTGTCCAGGAGCTGCGCATGCAAGATGCCGGAGCCCACGTCTGCAAGTTCCCTCGATCTTCCTCGGAGTCAAGTTTAGATCAGGGATCGGAGGCTTTGATGGACTTTGTTGCTGAGGAGGCCAGGCAGCAGTCGCGAATGTGAGCGATAGAAGATCAAGCAATACCTGCTCCTCGGCCTTGACTTTTCTTGAGCTGCTTCCTCATTATGCTTCTGATATTTTGATTAAGATACCCCATTTTGCGTGCAATTTGTCCCGAACCCTTGTATTGTTGTAATGAATCCGGCCATCTTTCTTGCGTCCCAAGTATATAGATTATACACTATTAAATCGCTAGCGGCTGCAGCACCTGTATCCATGGTCTTTACCTACTCGACAACTCCAACGGCGAATCAAAGACATGAGATACGACCAGAATCTTGTCATAGTACTTGTAACAAAACAGGTGTATAAACCTGCTTGTTTGTTTAATGTAGAGCCATCGATAAATAAAACGCGGCTGGAGACCCCAAATACAACCTTAAAAAATCAATGGACTCACGGGGAATTGAACCCCGGACCACTCCCAATCTTCGATGATCCCAATTGAAACCAGCTGCGAAGGGAGTATCATACCCCTAGACCATAAGCCCTTGTTGGAAAAATAACCCTAATTTTGCAATTATAGACAACATCGTACTGTACATAACAGGAAATCAGCTTCCCCTACATTCAATTGAACTGGAGGTTCAACCCCGGCTCCAATTTCTTCTAGCTCGATTTTGCAGACTCAGGCTAATCCAGGTCATGCACCTTTGTATTAGCTAGTGTGTCTCGTTGTGTAAATCATAATCTCGTCGTCGTTCCATTCGTTCAAAGCGCAAAATTTGGCGTATCCGCGCCCGACGGTGGAAGAGGTATATTTTTGTACCTTCGTCTGAAGGCTTCAATGGTGTCACATGTAGCACCACCTCCCTGACGGGCTTCGATGATGTCTAGATTATCCCCACATTCCTATCACAGTCAACCTTGAAACCTAGTGTCTACTGTCTACTGGTAGGTTTTCCGGACAGGAACCTAACAACTTTCAATGACAGTATTCATGCAGTGTGTCCACTGAAGCCGCAGTAATAATGCACTTGGCAGATCATCCATCATATCATTAAATTCATTATCTCGAGCTCAGGTCGGCGACAGGATTCTAACAAAATCCATAAAGGAGGGTAGGTCTCACCATAGAAGGGACTGGATCAGGCACTCCATCTCTAATAGAACCAACGGAAATCATCACTCGCCGGACCCTCGTTCAAATTTTCCGAGGGAATATCCTTCGCCTTGACACAGACTCCTTGCCTCTGATCTCTCTTCTTATTGTCAAACATCATCCACAGACCCAGGGCCAAGGTAAGAAGGATGCCTGTCCCGCCGAAGGCAGCGGTCGTGATCAAAGCAGGGAAGTACTTGGGAGCATCTTGGTTACGGAAGATGTTGGAGGCAACGACTCCCATGAGATTGGCGACAGGTACTGCGATACTTGTGAGGACCACTCGTCTGCCCTCGTTTGCGATGTTGTTGTTGTACCATGAGTCGAGGAGGACTGATGGTGCCGATGTACCCCTGCAGAACGGACGCCTTGTGTCAGTGTACAGGTAGATAATGAACGAGCGTAATGAGATGATGTGGGAAAATGTGAGTAGAAAGTAAACAGACTCACCATGTCATCATGAACGTTGCAAAATAGGCGACATTCAGATCCCGTTCAACGTCAATGGCGGCGTAGATGATGAAACCAATGAAAGTGAACAAAAAGCCCAACGCGATGAATGGAAAGCGCCATCGGGTCCAGTCACTGCAGAATGCGAGAATCAGAAGCACCGCCGCGCCGGAGATATTGGGCGCCACGGTGTAAAGGTTCGTCTTGACGGTATCGTAACCGAGACGGTTGATGATCACTGGGAGGAACAATTGAACTCCCTGCAAGGGTACTCCGAGACAGACTTGGATGGCGAGAATTGCCCAGCTGGTCCAGTGCTTGAAAATGCGGAAAGCGTCACGGATATTGAGCTTTTCGTTGACCACCGAAGAGCTGTCGATTTGAAGACGCAGATACGCCAATTCCTTCTCTTGGGGAGTCAGGAACGTCGCCTCGGCAGCTGACCGGGGCAAGTACCAGAGTGCGAAGAATGCAAAGAGCACAGTTCCGCAGCCTTCGATGAGGAACAGGTAGCGCCACGAAGCCAAGGGACCCGTGTGAATCCGAAACACACCGAAGGCCAGTAGGCCGGAAAAGGCTGAGGCAATGCTTTGAGCGGCGTAGAAGATGGCCAGTCGGCGAGCCAACTCACCGCGACGATAGAAGCTGCTCTCGAGCATTAGTCGTCTTGTGTGTTTTTCTTCTTCTTTTGGGGTTTCAGGCTTGCGGAACAAAGCCTGTTCGGTCTGGACTCACGTTGTCTGATAGTAAATCACGAGAGGGAAGAACGCGCTTTCCGACATGCCCAAAAACCAGCGGATCGCAAACAGTCCGCTAAAGTTGTACGCCGTGACCACCAGGATGGTGCAAACCCCAAAAGTGAGCATCATACAAGGCAGCACAATGTTGGGTCCGAACTTTTTGCCGAGCAAGCCCAAAAAGGGAGCTGTGAGGACATAAGGGACGAAAAAGATACTGAGGATCATGTTATATTGGTTTCCTTCGAGGTGCAGGGTTTCTGGTAGCGGTAGAAGAAGCGAAGTCAGCCAATGCTCTCGCGAGAGACCCGAACCCGTCGATGATGGTCAATCGGCTTACTATCCAGGCCAGCTGTCTTTGCATTTCCCAGGTTCGACTTGTCAAGACTGTTGAAGAGATACATCACCGCGAGTACGGGTAACAGGCGAAGATCAAACTTCCAGACCAGAGCCCGCTCTGCCCGTGGATCGATCTCGACACTCTCTATCGTCTCAATCGCCGGCGGCTTAGACGGTGGTGTTGTCTTTGAGTCTTTCATGATTGCACAAATCCAGGTAATATGCAAGATGGTTTCAATGGTGCGACTTCATTCAGGCAACTTTGGAGGAACGGGGCCATGATATATCTATTATTACGAGTCTACTTGGTAGACTGTAGACACTGGGCAGATAGGACTGGAGTCCATTCGGAACGTTATCACGGATGCCCGTTGCTTAGGCGAGATACCTGTACGACATGCATTGGGTAATCAAGTGTAGCCCCATACTCACGATAAGCCCCGACTAGCAGAGGAACTTACGCGGGGGCAAAGTGCATCTCCAACAAAGTTAAGATAAGCAAGCGCCAATCGGGTGATGCTGGGAGAAACGGAGTCTTAAGGAGGTTATGGATCCTCATCTCTACCAGTCAAGCTTGGAAGACATCGTCGTTTGGTGGAGTCTGCCGGTTAATCTCCGGCACCGGAACTGTAACCTGAGGGTTTCAAGAAGGGGATTACAGTCCTGCCACTAGAGGTTTCAACCGATGATCACCCGCCTTTCCTAGCGGCTCGGTCGAGAACTATGGCGGCAGGACTGTACACTGTACAATGTAGTATGTACATTGTATGATTGTACATAGTTCAGGAAATATGATTTCCTCGAATCGCGTAATGGAGGAGCACGTATGGTAGGTAAAGCCAAGGAGGTAAAGCCAGGCAAATAAAGGTTCTTCTACCGTTGGGACTAATTTGCGACCGCAGAATGATCGCCCAACTCATTGAAACCGTACACGATTTCTTGGAGTAGAACCGTACTTCTACGGTTCCCGAAGAGAATACCAGTCGGCCCTCACACCAGTAGTGGTGCCCGATATCGGGGTCTCTCGTCCATCGGAAGGAATCAGAGGACTAGTAGATCCTGCAGGCTCAAGGACAAGTTTGTGTTGATCGAACAGTTTATTCATCCGCGTAAGTACCTACGCGTAAGTACCTAGCAGCGTGTGCGATAGGAAAGTGAACAGAACATTGGAACAAATTAAACAATAGGCATAAGCTGTGTGCTTGACTGAAAGCTCAAAGCATGTGATGAATCCGGAGTCACTCGATGAACGTCGCAGTTTCTCATTGAGAGATGGTTTCAGCTGTGGCAATCAGAGTTAGAGAGACCGACATTTGATCCATATTATTTAACTATGGTCAACAGACAAGGAGAAGGCTTACCCATCGCACTTGTGACTGCCCTCGGTTGCCGGGTTCTTGCACTCGCTGGTGCAAAGCACCGCATGGCCCACATCACCGGGGTTCTTGCAGTGGAACAGAACATTCTTCAAGTCCGCATTTTCGAGGTCGGTTCCCTTTAAAACCGCCTTGAGATCGGCCTCGGTGAAGCCTTATAAGGGGATTAGTACACCACGGTCCAGCGGTTGTCGGTCGCTTCGTGACCCCTCGATCTATATCTCACCTTTCGATTGGATCAAGTAGTCGGAGCAGTAATCAAAGCTCGGGGTACAAGACTTTTCGGCCAATCCGGTGGCGACCAGGCCAAATAAGGTGATAAGAACAGAGGATGCTCGCATTGTGATTCTTAAGGTGTAGAAGAGACAAGATTCAGTATTGTTAGAGGGTGATATCCTTCCCACCGGAAGAGTTCCTTCTTTTATAGTCAAAGTGACAAAGGTTTTGAACTGTCCCTTCGCTCTAGTCTCCGCCAACTATGCGCACATTCAAGAGTAAGACAACCCCTGTTGCCTGCGTAGTTGAATGCCAACTGTGAAAGCTTGCCTCCACATGGACCGTGCTGTGGAATGCGGCATGCCAAAGCTCGCCAACAGGTCCGGGGGATGTCAGTTTCGAGACTGGCTGTCAGAATCGAGAGCTTGATTCGAGAGTGATGACGATGCAAGAAATGACAATCACAGAAAGTCCTGATCGTGAGGTCTGGATTTGTCGTTCAGACCGTTCTCGGCTTCTATCATGATCCTTGACGTATATCACTAGAGTCGATGGCCCACACGTGAATCAACAGACTCAAGGGGCTCTGGCGGACTGGTATCCATTGAAGAACGTCATGTTGCTCGGGAATCCGACGCTCTGGTCGATCATCAGGTCACCTCGAGCTTGGTACTTGCTATCAGCACGTATGAGAGGCATCATCCTGAATCCTGACCTCGCTCTTGAGTGCTCACCACTATTTGAACTGTAATTTGCATTCCTGCAGCTATTCTCCAGTGTTAGCACACTTTGATGTATCCCTGGCTCCATTGATATTGATAGAGTAGTGCATGAGGACGGCGTATCAGCTCTCAATCGGGCAAAGTTACCCGCAATCATCGTCCTGACCGAGCTTCCAGAACCCCGCATGACTGGGCCCCGAAATACTCTGAAATCCCATGTTCAAGAGTCTCAAGGTTGACCCAAGCTCAGCTATTCCGTCCGGTGCTCATATAAAAGTGCTCGGTGCGGCTCAGCAGCCATAATCATTGCATTCAATGCCACCCGTCACGACATCCGACAATCCGGAGGAGCTTGGTAGGACCTGACCACCCCGATGATTCCAGGAACCCTCCCACATCGTCATAGCACACACTGCACAGAAAGCAGGTGAAAGTGATGATGTGAATCTCAGCGTCTGGAATGTGAGAGAGTCACGCTGACATCTATCGTCCCCGGCTACCTAGCGAGGTTGATGACCGCGGACCCAGGTCTTCCTCGCTCCAACCCCACACCAGCGTACTGGCAACACATCCCACATCCCCTGGCAAACGCTCGGTCAGAACGCTTCCACTCACGAAGAAATTATGCCATCATCGGGTCTGGTGTCACTGGTCTTTCGGTTGCAAAGACCGTGCTTGAGAATCATCCCACTGCGACCGTCTCGGTTCTGGAGGCGCGGTCGCTTTGTTCTGGGGCCACGGGTCGAAATGGTGGCCAGATGGCTGCGAATGCCGGGGAGGAGTATATGCATCTGGCCGAGGTATTTGGGTCAGAGATGGCTGGGAAAATTGCCAATTTTACGCTGAGAAACCTGAACGCGATGCACGCTTTAGTTGAGGAATTTGACGCCGTTGAGACGAGTGAGGTACAGCGGTTGAAGAAGTTGCGAGTCTTTATGACGGAGGCCAAGTTCGAGGATTTCAGGAGGAGTCTTGCTCGTCTAGAGGCAGATCATCCCACTTTAAAAGGAATGTATACTTTGGTGGACGCCAACACTTTACTCGAGGTAAATGGAAGCTCTCTCTCCCTGATAGTCCTGTGGCGACCCATCTCAACACCAGCTAACATCATCCCAATTGTTTCGTTTTCGCGCGTTGAGCAGACCTACAGCATTCACGGAGCATGCGGTGGCGCTTTACTATCTGCTGGCACCGTGTGGCCATATCGCTTAGTGACCAAGGTGTTTGACACCCTGTTGAAGAGATATCCCGGTCGTTTCGCTATCGAAACCCACACTCCTGTTCTCGCTGTTGAGGTTGACCACATATCCTCGTCCACCTCGCCTGCAGCCTGTTCATACTCAGTGCACACCGCGCGTGGTTCAATCACCGTTGAACATGTCATCTACTGCACAAATGGATACAGTGGCCATCTTCTACCGGCCCTGCGAGGTCCCATCTATCCGTTCAAGGGGACCATGACAGTACAGGATGCGGGGACCTCGATACGTAATCAAGGGAATTCCGTGGCGTGGGGGTTTCACTCCCCGCCATCCTTCGATCCGGTCACGAAACGCCATGGATATGGGCTGTACTATCTCGGCCAGAGCGCGAAATCGGGCTACCTTTACTTTGGAGGCGAGAACAAGCGTATCGACGACGCCGTCTCTGCGGATGATAGCTTTGTTGCAACTTCTTCAGTGGAACACCTGCAGTCCAGTTTACCTCGTTTCTTCGCAAAGACGGAAGAGGTATCACCGCCATGGAAGTTGGTCAGTTCGTGGAGTGGAATCATGGGCTTTACCTCCGATGGACTGCCGATGGTAGGGCAACTACCATCCAGCTTGACCGGCCGCAAGGGAGGGGGAGAGTGGATTGCTGCGGGTTTCAATGGCTACGGAATGGCGAATTGCTTCTTGTGTAGAGAGGCATTGGCACTGATGATGTTGGGGAAGCCAAGGCCCGATTGGTTGCCCGAGGCTTATCAAATTAGCGAAGAGAGAGTTGCGGCACACTTCGTTTCAAAGGAGGCCACCCCTGCCACAGGCTCCAAGCTATAAACATAGGGCGACATGATGGTCGAACCCGTCGACGGTGAAGGGATGGCTAATCCAGATTGTCGCTCGTGTCACGCGCGCCATCGGCAGTTTGCAGTGCCCAAATGAATGCAACAAAATTGAGGTGAAGTTGACTGCGATGGCTCTTTCTTGTGGCATCCACGTGGCTGTGAAATCCGGCAACTCAGTAGGCGTAGAGCAAAATGTTGGTCTCTTTCTTCGAGTCTCCGACCGAGAGCGACCTTCTGTCAGGTCGGATGATCTTTGAGCAGCTACAAAGGAGTAGTGGGATCCCATGACACCATCTCATCATTGAGGGTAAAGTTTGTAAGTGGAGATTGTATAAACGAAAGGTAATTACATTAGCATAGATGCACAAGCAACGTCGATGGCATTGATAGGAATTTTGAAGGAGGATGAAGGCAGATTAATATTAGCATACGACCATCTCGAACCGTGTGCTTCGTAGCGGGTCATTTATAGGAGCCGCGATGTGGAGCACACGGCGTCAAAGCCCACTTATGCCATGGGACTTTCAAACTCTCTCGACAGGAAAGGCTTGTTCTCCCTGCATAGGGATGTTCTCCACGTCATGCACGGGCTCGGCAGAGTGAATACCGTTCGTTGCAAATCCAGCGCGATTGTCATGAGTATAAGACCAGCTGTCGGTTCCCACTGAGCTGGGGAATCCCATACCACGAACGAAAGCACGTCGCGGACTGCGTGGGCCCCATGTCCATCCAGCGCCCCGTTGGAGAGGCAGATGATACATGCGGATACCAATCCAAGCGAAGAAGATGCCGATGACCGAACCGGCGACGATGTCCCAACCATGGTGTCGATAGTCGAACCAGCGCGAGGCCGCAATGAAAAATGCCACGCATGCGGGGAAGAAGACGATGATCATTGACAGAACAGGAGGTGCGGCACCACGGTTACGAATAGAAGCGCGGTCGTTGCTGTAGTCGTCGCCTTCCACAGGGAAGTGAGGTAGATACGGGAACACGACCGAGCATTTGGCTGCAAGCCACAGAGTCAGGTAGCCTAGTCCGGCAAATGAAACTGATCATGGAGACATTCAAGTTAGCGGTGCGTCACTAGGCGCGATCTATTTCGCCAGTTCAAACAAGATTTATGACTTCTTACAGGACGAATGGCCACTAGGGAAGCTGGAGAACCCATCGACACGCACGGTACGGTCTTGGTTGCGGCAAATTTTCCAATCGACCAGAGTAGGAGCTCCCGAAACTTTCCCGCCGAGTCCGCTCACGACATACTTCGCGATTTGAGTCAAGTCTGGGTCGCAGCGGCCCAGGAAGTCGGGTCGTGGTCTGCCTAAGAGGGTCTTCAGTCCTTGTGTAGCTGTCCAGGCACTGGCTAGCGCGAGACCCAGCCCGAGCCAGCCTGCATTCCACTCCCACAGCTTGCGAAGTAGCAGCTGTGACGTCGAGGGCCTCTGTCCTCCGACTGCAGCAGTGCCGGGCACGAATATCGCCCCCACAAACACGACGACGGCAGGCCCCAGCACGGAGGCCAGAATCAACGCGGCGGTCGAGACGGTCTCCTTTTCCTTATAGGGGTAAGAAATGCTGGGATCAGTGAGATAGAATGCATGATGATTAGGATCCTGTTTGTAAAAACCGTAGCCGATCAAGGCAATTCCACTGTGCACGATGGATTAGATGATGGGTTTCCGTCTAGAGCTGACGTCAGAGAGAACGGGGTTGGGAAATTTACATGATGAACACCCAGTCGATAATATAGGACAAGACCAGCACTTTAGAGACGTGCGCCATCACGCTCTTCGGAGATAAGGGGCCCATGTTGGTGGTTGATCTATGCCCGTTGCCTCGACAGTACTTCTCTTGGGTTTGCAAGTGTCGCGATGTCTTTGTATATGTCTGCACGCGTCTTCGACTCGATCTTCTCCGTCTTTAGCTTCGCTTCAGACGAATCGTGACGAGCGCTTCACGAGTAAATGGACAATGGACGCCGAGGATCTCATGAACACAGCTTAGGCTGCAATATTCTTGAAAGACTCTCTGCAAAAGCTATGTCGCCAAGCTTCTCGGCTGCACGGCAATCAGTTCGACCTGCACACCCAGCCCGAGGGAACTATTTTTCGGGTGTCGCTTGGCGATGAATTTTCCAGCTGTGTTGACCAGAGTGCGACCGGGTTGTGCTGAGGGGATGAAGTGCTTGAAGAATGGGAAGGCACGGCTCAGGGATGCAGCGAGTACCTGAATGACGTGAGCCGGGAAATGGAACGTTGGTATTGAGCCACAAATCTCAAATTCTTTCTCCAAGGGGGGGGTGGGGGGGGGGGAGGCATCTGGCATAAGCGCCCCATCGAAACATTCCCAGGAGGGCAAAGAGTCCCGAGGTGGTTTAAGGTTCCATCCAAGCCACCACCATGAACGCATGCTGCACATGATCTCCGGGGGGGTCGAAGCGCAGTCGATCATCATTTTAAGCCCATTTGTCTACCCTTCTGCTGTTTGACAGGCCTATATATTTTAATAGTAAATCGAGGCGATGTTGAAGCACGTGAGGGGGACTAACCGGACTTGGCTGAAAGATCGGGTTTGATTACCTCGTTGAGCGGGTCTCTTTAACCCGATCGGGACTAGTCCGTGCCTTCTTGTTTGCTCGGAATTTAGAGCAGCTCGGCGAGGGATAACCCCGACATGGCTGGCCTGACACGTGAGGACTGAGGACTCACTCTGCTGTTGTGGAACTTGTGTCCCTCTCAGTCAGGAACATGCTTCTCCTGGCACACGTGTCGTAGTGAGTGTCACGAACTTTTGTGGAGCGTAATCACAATGAATGGCTATAATTCCCTGTCATGGCTTGAGATTCCCCGACTGTGAGGCGCTAACTCCACTGCGGCTCCCTTCGATCTCGGCACGATCATGAGCCTCGTGTACCAAGCCTCGCACCCACTACTACTAACTTACTAAGTAATAAGTATTAGTTAAGGACTGGGTATCCACTGGCCATACAGTCAGCCCTTGATGCTTACATGAGTAGATGGCCCTGGAAAATGCAAGGCCTCCCGTGGTGTAGATCGTGTAAATTGGTCCAAGATATTGATGTCCAACACTTCGCCCGAGCCGAGGTCAGCTCGAGTTAGCTGAACCATGTTCCATCGCCCGTAGACGAGACTTGCCGGATCGTCCATTCAAAGTGATGGCGTTCAGCATACCTACCTAGGACCTACCTAGGACCTACCTAGTACCTACCCAGGTAGCTCAGCTGGAGGTAAGAGCAAGTGAGGTCGGTAATGTTTATATCTTTTAGTGTTTTGGCCCGTGACACCTCCAGCATGTGTCCAAACTCCACAGGGTCCAGAGGAACCTTGCTTCCGTTGAAATCATTAATGCCGCAAAAGGTATCGATCGATATTTATACAATGACATGGGTCAGTCTACGGATACTATCGAATGAAGATGTCTCTGGTAAGCCCGCTGGGATTCATGACTGGAAGAACAATGTACTAGGTCAACATCCCTTGATGCAGCCCTACCTAATTGATGTGATGTTTTCCATTCAGCTGAAGAATGTCAATTGAAGAGTATTTCAATTAGGTTCATAAACATAAATTGAGCTTTCTTTTCAACAAGACGGGCTTGTGGTTTAGTGGTATAATACTCCCTTAGCATGGGAGTGGTCCGGGGTTCGATTCCCCGCGAGTCCAATCTTTTTGCTGGCTATGGAACCTTGACGCATTGTACTTTGCCAATTCTTTTTTGGAAGCCATTGATAGATCATGTTCTTCGGGGCGGGACGATGGAACAGAAGTGTAAGGCTGTGAGCTCCTCAAGGTTCTCATCAACTCGTTTGCTCACGTGCTCCCCGGGATGGGGTCTGACTCGTAGCTGCCCCTCGTCCAGGAATGACACGTTGAGTCACATGATCGGGCACCACCCCGCCCTAACCCCCAAAGAGACTAGCGGCCGCAGCGTGTGACATCAGCGATGACCCCGAGTCCCGCGTGCCCGTCACGGAATCCACCTCAAACCCTCCCAAGACAAAAAAAAACCCGAAGCTAGCGTGAAATTTGTGTAGTTGAGGACGATCGCCAAACGTCAGAACAACATCGCTGGGCTCACCTCCCACGAATCCAACCGGCTTGACTCCGTCACTTGACTCCACTCGCTACGCCTGCCCTCTTCCTGCTCCTCAACTTTCTACGGCGTCGAGCGACCATCATACAGTTTCCTGCAAAGCCGGTCTATCACAGGCCAACGGATCTGTGACGAAATTCATTTGCTCCTCCCCACTTCTGCTTTGTCTCACCGGAATTGGGTTCAAACCCCCCTCCCTCCCCCCCCAGTCTGCCCACTGCTCATCATTAGCTTTCCACCGTGCAGTGCTTTATCTCGAAAGCGTCTTTGATCTCCAGCGGAACACTCAACTTACTCCCTATCTAACCCGTCTCAACCCTCCCGTGAAGCCACCACCGATTCAAACTTGTCTTGGGAAGAGGTCGCTCCTCCATCCATCAATCTCCAATATGGACCCCAACCCCAAACCTGCCGTTCCCCCCAAGAAGCGCCGCATTGGCGTGCTCACTTCGGGTGGTGATGCTCCCGGTATGAACGGCGCCGTGCGGGCCGTTGTCCGTATGGCCCTGCACTCGGATTGCGAGGCCTACGCGGTCTACGAAGGATACGAAGGCCTGGTCAACGGCGGCAACATGATCCGTCAGATGCACTGGGAGGACGTCCGTGGCTGGCTGTCGCGCGGTGGTACGCTCATCGGGTCCGCTCGTTGTATGAGTTTCCGCGAGCGCGCCGGTCGTCTGCGCGCGGCCAAGAACATGGTGCTCCGCGGAATTGATGCTCTCGTCGTCTGTGGTGGTGATGGTAGTTTGACTGGTGCGGATGTCTTCCGTGCCGAGTGGTCCGGTCTGTTGCAGGAGCTGGTGTCTGCTGGTGAATTGACCGAAGAGCAGATCAAGCCCTACTCCGTCCTCAACATTGTCGGACTGGTAGGCTCCATTGACAACGACATGTCCGGGACGGATGCCACCATTGGCTGCTACTCATCTTTGACTCGCATTTGTGACGCCGTCGATGATGTGTTCGATACCGCCTACTCTCACCAGCGAGGCTTCGTCATTGAGGTGATGGGCCGTCACTGTGGTTGGTTGGCGCTGATGTCCGCCATCAGCACCGGTGCCGATTGGTTGTTCATCCCCGAGATTCCTCCTCGCGATGGCTGGGAGGACGATATGTGCGCGAGCATCACCAAGGTATGATCTCACGCCTCTCGTCCGGACATAGTGTTACACTGACCCGTTCCGTTTTCCATCACATACAGAACCGCAAGGAGCGTGGCAAGCGTCGCACCATTGTCATTGTGGCCGAAGGTGCTCAGGATCGCCAGCTGAACAAGATTTCTAGTTCGACCATCAAGGACATTCTCACACAACGATTGGGCTTGGATACCCGTACCACCGTCCTCGGACACACCCAGCGTGGTGGTGCGGCTTGCGCTTATGACCGCTGGCTTTCTACCTTGCAAGGTGTGGAAGCCGTGCGTGCCGTCCTCGACATGACTCCCACATCGCCCTCCCCCGTTATCACGATCCGGGAGAACAAGATTATGCGTACTCCTTTGATGGAGGCAGTTCAAGCTACCAAGGACGTCACTGCCAAGATCCATGCCAAGGACTTCCAGGCCGCCATGACCCTTCGCGATCCCGAGTTCAAGGAGACCTACCGCGCTTATTTGAACACAGCTACCCCAGATCACCCCAAGATGATGGTCTCTCAGGAGAAGGTAATGTTTGACAACACTGTCTTTGTGACAGAACCCCTCCAAGACCGCCCACTTTGACTGTCATGGGAAACCGTAAGGCTAATCCCGGTCTCTTTTTACCTCTTGTAGAAAATGCGTATCGCCATCATTCACGTTGGTGCCCCGGCCGGAGGTATGAACCAGGCCACCCGTGCTGCTGTAGCCTACTGTTTGACACGTGGACACACTGCACTTGCGATTCACAACGGTTTCCCCGGTCTCATCCGTCACCACGCCGACAAGCCTATCAGCTCGGTCCGCGAGGTTCAGTGGCTGGAGTCCGACAGCTGGGTGAACGAGGGTGGTTCCGACATTGGTACCAACCGTGGTCTGCCCTCCGAGGATATGGAAGGCGCCGCAAAGGCCTTCGAGCTCCACAAGTTCGATGCGCTATTTGTGGTTGGTGGCTTCGAGGCCTTCACGGCCGTGAGCCAGCTGCGCAAGGCTCGTGCGCAATACGATGCCTTCAAGATCCCCATTGTCGTGTTGCCCGCCACCATTTCCAACAACGTCCCCGGTACCGAATACTCGCTGGGAAGCGACACATGTCTCAACACACTGATTGAATTCTGCGATGCCATTCGCCAGTCTGCATCATCATCTCGCCGCCGTGTCTTCGTTATCGAGACTCAAGGTGGCCAGTCAGGTTACATTGCCACCACGGCCGGTCTTGCCGTTGGTGCCGTAGCCGTTTACATCCCCGAGGAGGGTATCGATATCAAGATGCTCTCCCGCGATATTGATTTCCTGCGCGACAACTTCGTTCGCGACAAGGGTGCTAACCGTGCGGGCAAGATTATCCTTCGCAACGAATGTGCTTCGAAGACCTACAGCACCCAAGTGATTGCTGACATGATCAAGGAGGAAGCCCATGGACGCTTCGAGTCTCGTGCAGCCGTCCCTGGTCACTTCCAGCAAGGTGGCAAGCCTTCTCCCATGGATCGTGTTCGTGCGCTTCGTATGTCGATCAAGTGCATGCAGCATCTCGAGAGCTATGCCGGCAAGAGCCGTGAGCAAATCGCTGCCGATGACATGTCGGCTACCGTCATCGGTGTCAAGGGCTCCCAGGTTCTTTTCTCCCCAATGGGCGGAGAGACCGGATTGGAGGCCACTGAGACTGACTGGGAGCGCCGTCGCCCCAAGTCCGAGTTCTGGCTTGAGCTTCAAGATGTTGTCAATGTTCTCTCTGGACGTACCGGCAACCGGGCTGTGGACACCTCCGTGATTTACGACAGTATGTAAAACCCTGACTTCCCGGACTCCCTGGCCCTTGTGTCTCTTTCCCTTTCTCGAAACCTTGGCAATTCTCCCGAAACCCATTGGATCGTTTTTTCCTGCGCTCCTGGCCATTTCTCCCACCCCCCCCCTGGGTGGCCTTGTGGATCCCGCCATGACAACTTCCTCGGAGGCTCCCATCTCAAAGTTTCAACTTTCTTTTACCGGATATTAATATTTTCTTTTTTCTTCTTTCTTCATCAGATCCCGACACAGTCCACAGCATCCCCAATGTTCCTACCGCTGCTTGAAGGATACTCTCCGATGAGTGGTAATACGAACCTTCTGACCGGATTTCAACTCGACCAAAAATTCTATGTAGACCCATTCCGTCACCATTTCGAGCTTATCCGATCCGTCCTTTGAGGTCTCTCTTCCCACGCAGATCCGTGAGACTGGATTGCCGCTATCAAAGACGATAGATCTAGCCTTCTATTTGAAGAACCGTCATTTTCATGGATTCTCGTTCACGCCTCTCACGATGACATGCCCCCTCCCTTTTTTCTTCACCTTTCGCTGCTGATCCGACGTTTGGGGGTCTCAACATCTTTCCGGGCTTTCAATTCTGAGACGCTTGGCCTTTTGAAACCAGCTGGTTTGGTTTTTTTGCCAGCCACTGGAGGGTTTTCTCTCGATTCTTCTCTAGCTTCTAATGCACAGACGGCTATTGAGTCTAGGTTATTTACATATCATTACAATACAAGCATATTTTTACACATACCAAGTTGCATTGTCCTGGCACGCGTGAGATAATCAAATAGACTGCGAGAGCTTGAGCGGTCATTGGTAGTTATTTATTCATTGGAGTGTGCCCCCTCCACCGAAGAGCATGATCAGTGAAACTTCTCGATACTTGCTCTGGACTCAACATATCTCCCAGAGAGAAGATTCCACCAACGATATACACTTCCACAGGACACAGGTATATTGCGCGTCTACTCGGCCGGATTGACCGCACCTTCCAGTTCGTCAAGAAGATCCATCGTCTCGGCGGGACTCGCAATCCAAGCCGTTGTAGAAGCCAACCGAGCCTGGAGAAAAAAAAGATGGAGAGTTAGCTCAGCGCTGATACAGGCACTTTCATTTTCTCTTTCCCCCCACCTCCGCGCGCCGCGGATAGAACGGGTCTAGATTCACCTTGAAATCATTTGCGCCCGCAGAGAGGAATTGATCGCCAATGTGAAGGGTCTTGGATGGATCGATACCGCCAAAGTATCGCTGACAAGCCCGGACACCCCACGATTTGTCGCCAATGTCGACAAAGACGTCATTTCCGCCTATCAAAACATGACGAGATTAGCAAAGCCTGTCATTTCTTTGGGTCCCGGTTGCGCGAAGACCGAAGGCCAAGATGTAGCACAAATTGGGGGGACAGAAGCCTTACCGTTGAATGCGCAGAATGGGAGTCGCGCACCGACTGCCGATCTCTCCACGGTGTTTTGAACGACCAGGACGGTTTCTTCGAGCTGTTCACGATTAATCCGAACTCCATTCACGGGATAGACACCGACAGCCCGATCCTTGCGCAGCACGGCCGCAGGAAGACTCAGATTCGTGGCGCAGGCCCGCAGAGCCGATTCCGCCAGATCCAGAAGCTCCTTGATGTCGTCGTCGTTCCACGAGCGCATTTCGTCGAGAAGCCATTCTTCGCGGGGCACGTAGGTCAACCGGGCTTCGGAGTCTGGATCGAAGCGGAAGAGGAAATTACTCTCGCCGCCCATGACGATGATCCCCTGTTTCTGGGCGGGAGTGAGGGTGATCGATTGGTGGATCGCGTCGAGTAAGCCGTGTAGGCGGCCATAATACTTGGGCGCTTCTTCGTAGCCGGCCGCCGTGACGATGCCGACTTTGCGGCCTTGCTCGAGTAGACGCAGGATGCGGGGGATGACGGGACTATCGGGCGTCAGGCAGGCGCCGTCGTCGTATAGGGTGACGTCTCCGTCGAAGGTGACGAGCTGGACCTCGCTGGATTGGACGAGGCCTAATAACTGGGCGGAATTGAGGATGAGTCGGATGTCGTTAAATGAGGGGGCGACGAATCGGCGGCGACTGATGAATCGTCGCCTGTCTTGATACTTGAAGGCTTCTTCCAGATGCAGGCGGGTGAAAAAGTTGCCGACTGTAGGCACCAGTAGCTTCAACTTGGATTTGCCGGGTGCGTCGCGTTCATGATGATCGACTGTCAAGGAGGTGTTAGGCATTCATTTTTCATTGCCCGGCCCAGATGGTTCCTGTGAGCCGCAGGGGACCAACGACAAGGATCGTATCAAAAAGAATAAGAAAAAAAATGGTACGTGGGCAATCCAGCTCGTGCCCGAGATATCAAGTGGTACACATGAAAAGATGTTGCCTGCAGAGACAGCACAAGCTTTTCTTTTCTTTTCTTTTTTCTTTTTTCGAACGGGACGCCTGACTTACTGTGATCGAGGATCAAGTTTTCGACATCGCGCATGATCTCCGCATAGCGCTGGTGTGTATCGGCGGCGACCGAGTTGAGCCGCTCGCTCGATTCTTGCGTGAGCGCAATTGGGTGCGAGTGTAGTACAAATGGTACAGCCAGGAGTCCCTACCAGAATGTGAGCCGGAATTCATTTCACGGGATCCTGTGGTTTATCTCTGGCATCGACATGCTCTGGCCGGGATTGTGGTGTCTGTGGGTATACGCACCTTGATCCATTCAATCTATGACACTCGATTCGAGTGTGAGCGGTTGCTCTGTTCTAAGTTCCGAGTGCATGGCTAAGGAATACAGACCAATTGATCTCGGCGATGTGTCTATCTCGATCAGAGTTAGCGGGGAAGGGGCCGCGTGTTCATCGTCCCCGTGGAGGAGGCCCGGTGGGAAGTGTGTATATACCTTGAGCGCATCTAGATGATTGGATGGGGATCAGCAGGCAGATACAACGGCCGCAGGCTGCTGACTTGCGAGAGACGGAGAGATCGAGGAGTTCAAGAACGTACATTCCACACGGTAGCGAGTAGTCATGATTAACTTACGTGGTTGGGCTGTGGTGGTCACTGCTAGGGGGGAATGAAAGAAGATGATGGATTGTGGTTTACTTGGTTATTTGGTCTTTCGTTCTGGTTGATCAGGCGAAATGACCGAGCGGAGAAGAAGAGTCGGTGGAGAAGGAGTTGGCGGAGGGGATGAGTTGACCTCAACCCGGCCGCACGTCCCTCCGACATCCGGGCCAGATTGATATGGTCATGTGGTGGGAGAGAGAGAAGTCCATCAGTTGGCAAGAGAGTGGAAGGTTTACAAAGAATCACGAGGCGGTTGACGCCCCACATACAGATCTAATATACAGATCTATGAGACACAATCTTTGCCGAAGAGAGGCAAGGGGTTGAGAGATACACAGACTCTTTGATCACCGATATGGAGATAGGTGATGGACTGTAAGTTACTTGAGATGAGCCAACTGGTCAATTTGGACCAACCCGCCAGTTGACGAACGAAATGAAAGTCACGGTCGGACTCACCCAGGAGTACCCGATGTCAACAGTCGTCGAGACTGGCCCCGATCACTCTTCTGACATAATGACACAGGAACTAGGTCCTGTGAGGGTACTCAAAGCCTATTTAACCTCACCAAGCTTAAACCAAAGAAAGACAATGGTCTTTAAAGGCCAAACAAATCAAGATTCTGCAATAAACATTTACCACAAATGACAGTGCCTTGGTCTACCTAACCCCATCTGGTCTCGTGATTGGATCGACAAGTCCACTGGAACCCTGACTAGCGTCGTGACTCGGACGTGAATCGCCATGACTCACGCTGCCTCACGCTCGACTCACCAGCAGTCTTTTCAACGCCGGCAACTCCACTTTTCCGTCGTTCGACCTTGACTCGATGGCTGTTCGAAGCCTTGTACTCCACACGGCTTCAAAGGGCCATTCCATCTATACACTTGTCCTTGACCTGATTGGCCTCTGAGCGACCTTTTACCGTCTCAAAATCCAAATCTATCAGTGGCTGTAGTCACCCTATGACACTTCCTGGATCTTCAAGCACAGACACTCCACCAGTCGTCCAGGCCGACCGAAGTGTATGCACTACGTAGACCAAAGATTCCAAGTGAGTTACTGTAGATTGCATTCATGATTCTCGTGGCTGAGCGAGTTAGTCACATCGATTCACCCTGACATGACGCTACCCCCTCTCGTCTAGCATAGGTCTAGCACCTCACTCGACTCGCTACACTCGCTACACTCGACAGTGCGAGATTGGTCTACTGCCGTCTCCGGATGAGTGAGCTCCATCGAACTTTGCGGCAGTTCCGTCGACCCGCCCCGATGAGGCTCGTGGGAACGGACCTGGTCACCTCCGTGATTGGCGGTGGGAACTCACTCGTCCGTGCGATCACGGCAGAGATGGAGATGGAGGTGCCTGACCACCTGGATCGAGGACTAAGCGTGCGAGGTTTTTTCAGGTCCAAGTATGACGCGGGTTGTTGCGAGTCAACGGGGAGTAAAAGAAGATCAAAATAAAAAGGGGAAATAATTCCATCAAGGAGCCGAACTATACTCCAATTCGGGATAGGATCAAGAGAGTATAAAGTAGGGCTCATGGAAGCCGGATTTGCCTGAGAAAACATCAACCATCAGCAAAATACCTGCAGTTCAATACACAAGAACAGCCCTGAGACTTGATTTTTTTTTCAGTCCTCACGAAACTACATAGGTATCTCTACCGAATACCGTGCCATTTCAATTGAGATTCCATTGCCGGGCATCCATCCTCACGCAACGGCAATCTCCCAATCTCCATCTGCCTCCGTTTCCCGTCGCCCGAATCAAAAACATACTGCACATCTCGATCTCATCCGATCCAGTATATATTTCACTCTCGCACAATGCTCAACGCACAACGATACACCCTACACTCGCCCTTTACCACCATGGACACGCCAGCCCGAGACGCAGAAACCCACCACTCATTTGAGGCGCCTCCTCCCTACTACAATCCCACCACCACAGACAACACCACCACCACCTCATCCTCCTCCTCCATATACCCCCTCGACGAAAAAGATCTTCTCCTGACCCCGGGCTCCCACGAGCCCGGCCTCGCAACATCCGCAGTCCTAACACGAGGCCTGCAAATCCCAACCCGCACCGGCACCACCACCTCGGGCTTCCCTTACCCAGCAGAATTGGCCCACTTCGGGATCTCCCAACACCACTGGCAACAATTCACAGAGCTCATCTGTGAAGAGGCCAAGTTGTCGCGCCAGCAATGGTCGACCGTCATCGGCAAGGGTCTGGGCACACTTGCGCTGGGCGGGTTGATGATCGGGGCGTTGAGTGCGATCCCCGCGATCTGGATGACCCGCCATGTGAGGAGGCGTCAGGAGCAGCGGAACTTCATCGCGGCGATGGCTGGCGCGAGAGGCGAGAGACTGGCTACGCATATCTCCGAGTGGAATGAGACGTTTTTCAGGCCGAGAGGGGTGATGATTCGGGTGGATTTGCCGGATGAGTATATCAATGAGATGGATCAGATGGATGTGTATCGCAAGGATGGGAAGTATATGCGGTCAGTGGAGGAAGCGCGGGATAAGGCTGCACTCAAAGCACGCATCGTGATTATTCCCGTGGATGTGCATGTGGATGTGCCGGAGTCGAGTCAGTCCTCGATTCAGCAATGATCACGATTGAAATGGCAGATCAAACTGCACGTGGAAAAAAAAAAGACAAAAGTGAACGGTATACTGAATTAGCGCGATGAGACTCTTTAATTACATCTGATTTTGAAACTAGATTCTACTCACCTCCAGATGACTGTCGGATTCATCTCATCGAGCATAATTGCTTCTTGAACTGCCCGTCGGTATGTGCTACCGAGAGTACCAAGCCAAGCTATTCTTAATGTAGGAGATGACTATTTGAAACAGGGAGCCTTAAGAACCGAGCCTACGCTATGAGAACATGAAAAATTAAAAAAAATTGCGTGGGCTGCATTATTCATGGCTCGAAAAGTCGTCGTGGAGCCAGCCAAGCAGAATGACTGCCATCCTCCAGGACCATCTGTAAGCGACTAAACCTTTGTCGAAATATCACTTCGCTCCACATGCTGCGCAGTCCCATGTTGACCAGTCATAGCCTCCATCTTCTCATCAATCACTTTATCCCGCTCCTCCGCATCCTGGTTACCGTACCGACCGATCTTGTACCAAGGCAGCTCGAAGAGGCGATCCATGCTCTCGAGGGACCGACCCGCTGTCTCGGGAATACTGAACCACACCCAGAGACCGCCGATGATAGTAATGACCGCAAAGCACCAGAAGGTCCCCTTGGGACTGATACCTCCCTCCGCGACGGGGAGCAGCATGTTGGGCACGGCACGCGAATTCCCGTACTGGTTGGCAAAGTGCAGCGTCATGGCTAGCGAGGTACAGAGCGCACGGATACGCAGCGGGAACAGTTCGGCCGTGAGCAGATACTGCATCGAGTTCCAGCCTAGAGCCCAGCCGAATCCTGAAATGTAGATCATGGCAATGGCCCCCTCACTGGCGCCCTTCTTGCTGGCGGGAAGTTTGAAGTTCTTGACCACGCCCATTTCGGGGACCGCGGTCAGGAATCCGGCAATGTAGACCATTGCGATGGCTTGCAGCGCGATTCCGATCAAGAGGGCGCGCTTGCGACCGATGACATCGACCAAGAACAATGCGCAAGCAATGGCGGCGACGAGCTTGATGATACCAAAGATAGCCGTCACAAGCAAGGTCTCGTTGCTGCCAGCGACACCCAGCAACTTGAACAGATCAGGCGCATAGAGGGTAATTGAACCGGCACCAGACCATTGCGACAGAATCTGTGCCATCAGAGCAAGGTAGACACGGTAGAAGTTGGAGGGAATCAGGAAGGTCTCCTTGAGCATGCCCATAAACCCAGTGCCGCGTGTGGCTTCCATTTCAATCTCGTGGGACGTCTGAATCGCGGTAATCTCGCGGACGAGGTACTCGTGATCAGGCGGTAGATGACGGATGCGGGAGAGATTGAAAATGGCCTCTTCGACCTTGCCACACTTGATCAAGTAGCGAGGGGATTCGTATTGGAAGAAAGACAGACAGAAGATCAAGCCAGCGAAGATGATGTGTAGACTGGTGGGGACTTCCTGCTGGGAGTTAGATCGATGTTCTCACATAAACGACAATCAGATGCCTTTGCGTCGAGTCGTTGCGATTCTTGTTTGACGTACCCATCGCTTATGAGTGTAATCGCCCATGTTAAGTTGGCAACCATAGTTTGTAAAGTAAGCCAGCACAATTCCTAAACAAAAAAATTTGATGTCAGTATGAGATCTTTGACGTCTGCAAAAGAGATGGGTCTCCGGGTGAAGAGCAATCACACTTGGAGCAGAACCAAAGCGCAGCGAAAAACAGCTTACCAAGATACACAAATCCGGTAAAGACACAGGTGCAAAGACCACGGATCGCCGCCGGAGCCTACATGATTATTAGCCAGTGAATTCCAGGAGCTGTTTCTGTTCATCGCCGATACTCACAATCTCTGCAAGATATACTGGAGCCACAACCACTGTCTGTCCGACACCGAGACCGGCAATGAAACGACCCGCATAAATTGCGCCAAGGTGTCCGTTGTTCGCCATGAAGATGGCAATTCCGATCATCCAGATGACGCATAGCTGCCGAGTTGCCCAAATACGACCGATACGATCACACACCAAGAACGCACTGGGAAGAGCAACATCATGGTCAGCACTGAGAGTTTTCAACTTTTCATTTGCGGTTGACTTTCCGGCTCGTTCTTGGTGAGCAGCCTTTCCAAGAAGGGTTCACTTACAAGAGAGCACCGCCCACAGAGCCAATCTGGACCATGGCAGAGACATTGGCTTTGATATTGGTCTGCTCCACCTTGGAATAAGAACTGTAGTGGATATAACGCTGGAAGTCCTTGGAATTGAAGGCGCCTGAGATGAGACCCTCATCGATACCTCGAGCCGCACCCATCAGTCCAAAGGACACGACGGCGAACCATAGTCGCCAGTTGAAGACCTCTTTGGGTTCCCCGAGGTTCTTCAACCGGAAAATGTTGACTGGCTTCTTGGCTCCGCCTGCCATGATGAGCTTTGTTGGGAGTGAAGTGTGATAGCTCGGGTTGTATCTCCCGGTTAACCTCACGATGTGTTTCTTTGTCTGGCGCAGTAGTCAAGCGTACAGGTAGAGGGCGAAAGGGAAAACAGAAATCTTGAAGGATAGAGGACAAGACAAGGGCTGCACAACCGACGATGGCTCTCGAAAGATCAAAGTAGAGTCACGGAAAAGCTCGACTCTTTAAACGCCCATGACACTTTCAGCTCTCTCCTCCAAAGAGAGACCCCCCACGACAAGAACAGGACATGCGACTGCGGGGTCAAATACTGGGGCAAACCGAAATCTCCCGCGGGGCCCCAGGTGATGCGCGGGTTCTGGACATATTCGGCAGGTCTCACATGGACTGTTCAATCATACCCATGGACATGGCGCTTGATGGCCCCAACCTGACACCGTCAGTCTGATTCGCATCTCATCCATCATGAAGAGTGCACAGGCGAGACTCGATACTGACTGGCTCCCTCGGCGAATTAGTGGAAACTTGGATCGACTCCGCTCATGGGGGTCGGGGGATCCACGAGGTCGCAGTACCCCAGAATTCTTTTTCGGGGATCATTTACCCAGCAGGAAGTTGGTTCACCGGCCGGAAGAGGTACCACGACAGCCTCCATATGCCGTCTGGGGGATTGTGCAGCCGATGGTCGGGGGAAACAAGCGACCTTCCTCCAGTCCCGCGAGTCCAGTCAAGGTGCTTTGACGTTAGACTCGACCCGTCCACAGCCACGAATGGCAAGCTGCATGCCAACCTGCCAAGTCCTGGGAAATTTTCGGTTCGAGGGAGCTTGAATGACACGGCAGGATGAGATGCGAGCCGAGTACGACACCCTGAGCGGGAGCTCCAACGGTGATGGATCGTCATTCGACAATATCGCCGACCTCATTGGATCCTTCGGTCCAATTCCACCCCGGGACAGCCCTGGCGTCGCGGACAGGGATGTATAGACGTGCAGCGGAGGTGCCGGGGGGGGGGGAGTCACGCGCTGATCACGCTGGGGAGAGGAGTAAGAAGAAGGGCCGATTTGAGGACTGACCATCTTTTCGGATGGTCGTTGTCTTCCCATGCACGGCCCGAGCTTGCAGGTGCTCTTAAACTCGCGCTCGCGATGCGACGAGTTGCAACTTGCCGGTGTCTTTGAGTGCTTATGGAAAGCCGAATTGCACAGGGGTGGTGGGCCTGACGTGAGCGTTGCAGGGTTCCTGCTGGGAACCTCTCCGGGCTCATTGAGTGCATGCTGGATACTGGCGCAGTGCTGGCTGCTGCATGTCGTGTGTTGACTGTGTAGTGTGTAGTGTGTACAGGTAGTGACTAGTTAGTGGTAGACTGTAGTCAGTAGTGTGTACTTCTAAACGACAATCAGAGCGCCACGGAAGAATAGCGTCTAGCCGACGGTGCCGAAAAGGGAAATCCGTACCCGGCTGAGTGAGACAGCAGTGGACCGAACCGCGTGGTCGAGTATGGATGCCGTCCAGATGCGACGATTTCAGCCAGAGGAGGCCGGAAGAAGGTCCATTACCCAGATAGAGAGTTCCTTTGGCTTTGAGGCTCGGTGAACTTCCGAGGGAATGTTTTCAGTGGGGGATGGCACCCCCCACGGCTGGAAACACTCGGGGTGAACTGGGAGGGTTGACCACAGAGCACAACCTCGCGGGATCCGTGGCTGACCAGGCCAAGAAGTGCAGAGACTTGGCTTGAGTTGGGGGGGTGGGACCTCTAGACACTCTCATCCCCCAGAATCCAGACTCCAACCGGAGAATCACTTCACGAATGAAGGGTGTCGGTCGGAAGCTTGAACCCGTCCTCGGGCCTCGTGGATCGACACTCCGCCGAGGCGGCTGGCCGCGCTCGCCGAAAGAGGCAATGTCTCCGGGTACATCATCCTATGATCCTACTGTAGTCTATCCTCCACAGTCCAGGATGTGTCAAGACAGCCAGGAGTGGACACTGGAGGGGATGATGTTCCATCCCGACGATACCATATTCGAAATACGGCTTGTCCGCGGCATATCCAAGACTGTGAGCGCTACAAGTAACCGTCGAAGGTGAGGGGTCCAGAGCGAATATCTCGGTGAGAGTCAGAGCCTCTGCGTAGAATCCTCGAGTGTTGGCCGAATCTTCGGTCAACGCGTCCAGCTATGAAGCCGGGGAATCACTTGCCGGGTGATGCTGGAGCATCTTCGGAGGAGCAGTAGTGTCAGACTGCTCCGTGCTCCACAGGACCGGCGAATGAAGCAATGCGCATGGAGCAGTCGTCCATCACAGTCTCTTTGGGTGCATCATTGACCGGCAAGTTCAAATTGATAGATCCACGATGGTATCATCAAATCAGATCCATCACTGTACGAACTCACACAAAGCACCTGCATCTTGTGGCCAGTTCCCCGGTTTCCTCGCAGATACCCTTGGCAAAGTCTGATTGCGAGGAAGCTGGAGCTGGAGCCGGGGATTTGAGTTTGAGAGGGGCGGCCGACTTGGCGTGGCGTGGGCGTGGAAGATATACTTTTCACGGCTCACCATCCATCGAAATGGATGGACTCAGCTTACTTAGTCGTGGACCGCTGGACACTTTCATCTTCAGCTGAGTACTGCCGATAAAAGGCGATACAGGCTCAAGCTGAGATTGGGTCCTGGGTCCGATGATCGGATGGAAACAAAGCTAAGGTTGTATGCGGTTAATAATTGCCTCGAGTTACTACTAAAGGTACTAGGTAAGGTACCTTCCATAGTTACCGCCCCCAAGACCCTGTCACATGTAGTATGTCTGTGGAAGTTCCCTGCTATGTGACTATGTCCCTTCTGAATGAGTGAGAAAGCTAAGAATGGAAAAATCCCACCTAGACCTGTACTGTACTCGGAATGGAGGTGAGAGAGGAATGGAAGATCATTCCACCATATACCTCTATCATCCTTTGATTTCAATCAATCGGGGAAGTTCGTCGAATGGACATTGGAGGTAAGAGAAAGATTAAGGTAGTAAGCTCGAGAATTAGAAAGCTAAACATTTGGTTTCCTCTATCGACAACGCTCAACACGCTCACCACAGTGACCATTTGCACAGATCGCCCCCAGTGTAGAAAACTTCGGAGAACGTCCCCGCCAAATGTGAGGAATCAACTTCATGATTCTACTACTGCCTGAGAAATTTTCAAGTATGTAGGATCAAAGAATATACCACCGACGGTCCGTAGGCCTAAGTAGTTCCAAAATCCAATCCCTCATGCTCCACAGAGTCCATACACCATGGTCATTTTGTGTCGACATCACGTCTGGTCCCACTCACAAATCAACTAGAAGTGGCGTGTCAAAATGCCCAAACCCCTTCACCACACTCATCTCGTCAATATCCGCAAACTTGGTTTTGAACGTCCAGCCACCCACTTCGTTGGAGAGCATTTGAATCCGATGATCGGACTCTTCGGACGCCTGGGCATCTGCGGTCTTCGCAGACTGCCAAAGACAACATCCGAAAATTCCAAGCTCAGAGACGGTCTCGCCGCTGTCCAAGACGGCAGGTCCCATGAGGAGATTGCTTTGAAGCGGTGGGTGGATCCGCTCCATGAGAATGTATGAGCTCCACTGCGCCTCGGGGGTGAGGGATAGGTAAGGCGGAATATCGCTTCCGTAGACATTGTGCCCGCCGCCCTCTAGCGAGGGTTTAAGGATATAGTTCATCGATTGAACGAGATCGCAGGCGAGCTTTCGCGCGTGGAGACCCTGCTCCGATTCATCCATTAGATACATGGGCATGAAGGTTTCCCGGATCATGCTCGCCTCGTGTCCGGGAAGAAATGCCTCGAGCGTGCCGGGCGCGGAAAGCGCTTGTTGGACCTTCTTAAAGGTCGTGATGTGCGACAAGACCGATGGACATTTGATGGCCGTTGACTGTTCAAGCTGGATTCGCGCCTTGATGCCCACATCGTCGTACTCATGGGCCTCGTATCCTGCGCGCATGTACACCACGGAGATTTCTAGTCCCGACTCGAGCCACGGTGGCTGGAAAAGCAATTCGCGGTCTTGTCCTAGAGATGTGTATTGCAGGACGTCGGCTCCAAACTCGAGCCGATAGGTAGGCACCGGGACTTGCCGATCCCAAAGCTCATACTCGATTGGGCGCTCGTCCGCGATGTTGAACTGTGTAGATTTAGCTGAGCATCTAGACATGAGTTCTCGCTCCTATTCTGAACAAGCACGTACATTATTCGGCTGCACTATCATTAGTACAGCCGTTGCTTTGACCCCTTTAGATCTTGCGTGTCCATAGGTCTCGTGAGCAAGGGCAAGAGAGGATCCAATGGACTTGATGTTTCTGTTGGTAGCAAGTGACGTAGAATCAAAGGCCACGCCGCTGGTCTCGTACATCCCAGTGCGGGCAAGATAGTGATGCATGACTTGAACCTTGTCTGCATGGGAGCCGCCGGACGCGGAGAAAGTGTTCATCTCGACTTGCTTGAGGCTCGCATCGGAAAGTTCATCTTCGTCGTCGGACTCCATCTCCTTGTCATGATCGAGATGAAGCATGTAGTCTGAACGGAAAAGGCCTAAAGAGATGGACTGGACATAGCCGTCTTTCTTGACTGCCTCATGGACACTCCATAGTGCCTTGGCTAGAGAATCAGTCGGAATGATGTCTCGGATCACATTGTAGAGCCATTGATCGTCTTCGGCGACAGCGCAATACAGACGATTGAACACAGTCTGAAGTTTGATCGCTTGGTCGAATCTAGAGCGAGGAACCGCTGTCGGGAAGCACTGTGGTATGTCTTCCATCAGCTGCCCGGCAACATGTACTGTCTCACGATGGGACAGTTTGGTGACCTACAGCGACGCCGACCGGATACGAAGAGACGGTGTTCTCCGTTTGCGACCGCACGCTTTTCAGCAGAGAGCCGTGGTTGACTTTATTGGCATCTCAGCATTTTGGGTTCCCCTCTTCGGTTTGTGTCGTCGAGAAAAGTGACATACTCTGTAGTGTCGGCTCAGTAGTTGATGAGGGACGAACGTCATACGGCGTGGGGCAGGATGGACTCCCACGAAGAGACCCGACTTACCTGCCAATCTTTGATCTGATCGACCAAGTGAAGGATTCGATCCTCACTCAGATCTTCCATCTTAAGAGGCGCCATGTTTGAAGCCTGTCGGCCAAGTTGGGACGGGGTAGAAAGATCGAAAAGCGATGTCCGAGGACAGAGAATTGCCCCATGCCCGAGACATGACAGTCGCTGCAGGTCAAGTTGCATTCGCACCACCCAAGGTCGATGGTGGGGGGGGGGGCCTGAGTCCTTTCCAGGACGGCTCAGAACGCATCGCTCGTGTCCTGCATAACTAGCGCGGGGACAAGCCGCTCACCAGAGGCTTAGCATTCTTAGGGATCCGGTCGCGCAAGGCATTGAGCCGGAAGCCGCTGTCATGAAAATCCTACGGAATCTGAAGCAGTCCCGACATGATAATTGCTCGTTCATCACATCTACTGAAAAATCTGGCCAGATCAAGAGCACCGCGCCAGAGTCATGAAAGGGACTATGGACCAAATGATCTGCATCTTGATAAAAAAGTCCTCAGCTTCAAAGGGAGTCACGCAGGCTTTTAGCATTAGCAGCGGTCAAGGATATTATCACATGAGACTGGGTTGGCATCAAGCCATCTAAACACTGAAAAACATTAAGTCGCGATCGTCACTAATCAACCTTCCGTATTCCAGCATGAGTCGCCACCAGACCAGTTTCATATCTTCGTTACGCAGCACCCGACGAGACCAGTCATAACTGTTTTGAGCCACGCGTTTCCCCAATTCTTAACCTTCGGGCTCTTGTGTCAGATATCGTACAATCTCAGGAAAGTCACGCAGATCCATACTAATCGGTATATAATAAACCCACGGAATTAACCAGTCGTTATACTACTCTTAGTAAAGCGTTTGCTTAAGGACTACCGATTTCGATATTAAGAGACGGTAAAAGCGACTACTAAGACCGTTACTATCCAGATCGAGGTTATAGCGAGACTTATATCCCTCGGAGATATCGTCTCGTTAGTCCTCCTTGATATAGAACTTATCTACTTATTCCTTATATACGGGATCGTTATATTAGACGGCTACTATTATTTATATACGGGTAAAGTTAGATAGAGCCGCTATAGTTAACTTTATCTAGACCTAGTCGGAGTCGTATAGAGCTATTCGCTTATACTAACTTAGTAGATTAACTAATAAGCTTTCGTTTAAAGTTATAAGAACTAAGCGTTAGCGCTAGAAGTCTCGCTAGTTATCAGAGATCGATTAACCTCCCGTATTAGATCTAGCCTAATAGACGATATTCTATTTCTATTCCTAATTAATATCTAAGTCTTTATTATAATTACCTATTCGTATTCTCTCGGTATAGAAAGGGCTCGGGTAAAGAAGATCGTTAAAATAGGATAGTTTAGATTACGAAAAAACTAGGACTAAGAAGTATATAATAGTTATCGAGGCGGGATAGCGTAGCCCGGTATAAATACTATAGAGTTCGGGAAACTAGCAGACCTCTTTACTAAGTATAATATTTTCTAGGAATCCTATCTCCGTAAGAACTAGAGAGCCTATAGCGGACAGAGAGAGATCCCGTACTAGCGTATTAGGCGGGTAAGATACAGAAAGTATATCCTAGGTATTTTATTTACTAATATCTAGTAGGTCGATATACTAAGTAAGACTAGGTCGGTTAGAGGGTAGTAGTAGATTAGTATATAGAACCTAAGCCACCCTTAAGATACGGGATAGTATATTATAGGGAACAATAATCTTCGCTTTATCTATAGTATTTATCGCTAGCGTTATATTAGGTAGAGTCTATAACACCTCGGCATTAAGCCAGGAGGCTAAGGTAAGACTTATCTAATAGTTAGGGTTAAGTAGTATAGCCTAATCGCTATAGGATATAGTAAAAGTATATAGTTTGTTTCCTAGATATATAGTAGTAAGATTCTTTACGCGCGCTCGAATATCCGAGGGAGCTATACCCTATAGCGGCTATATAGCTACTATTATAGTATTAAACTTATCGATTAATAGGAAACCTCGTTACTTTACCGTATAGAACTATTTATCAAAATTTACAGGCGGTTTTCGTCTGTATTTTCTCTCGTACTTTTTATAGTAGGCCTCTAAAGTCCGAGATTAGTTCTTAATCATCGAATTAAAATTATCCTCTACTTTTACAGCAAGATAGTAGATAGGATAAGTAGATAGCTTAAACTTAACTAGCGGCTATAACTATAAGGACTCGCTCTACTAGGAGTCTAAGACTAACGACGAGAGAATAGTATTACTTAGAATTAAGAATTAGCCTAGGAAAGCGAATAAAGGCAGCAGGAGTAGATATATAAGTTTCCGACGTAATATAGATAGGGATAGATCGTTAAGCCCGATCTTTAATAATAGGGCTAAGAGTAGCGGCGAGATAAGGCTATCATATAGTTTCTATTCTTTTAATAGCCTATTTAGGGCAGTCGCCGAGTAAGATTCGATAGTTAAGGCTAACAGAGTATAACTAGTTATAACCTATAGGGAATAATTATTAGTTAATTATCTTAGGTAATTTAGATAGGAAGAGCATCGTTATTATATAAACTAGATAGATAGTACCGGCTAATTCTGCGGAATAAAAAAAGGCCTATAGGACTACCTACCACGGGATTACTATAGAGGAAGGCCAGATAAACAGTACGATTATAAGGTATAGTAGGACTCGAAGAACAAGGGTTTCTGCTACTTTAATATATAATAGCTATTCGACGTGATCGCGATAACTATAGAGTAAGAAAAACCCTAATAATTTCGTTAGTATAAAATACACGAGCATTACGCTATAGAGTAAAAAAAAATCATTAAGTTTCCTCGGAAGAAGAAATAACAAGTATAGCGCGAGTAAGCCCTAGATAACAGATTATATCGTTAATTATAGTTTCGGGTATTATCGAGGTAGCCGTTAGTGATCTACTAGACTCGGGAGCGTAGGTAAGTTTTGTTTACGATATAAGATTATGAACAAGCTAAATAATAAGGTCTAAGGCTATATAGATTAAAAAAAAAAAATAAGCGTTTCGGGTTTAATAGGCTTTTAGGGTAGACGCAAGAAGACTTAATAGCTCACCGTAGCCGTAGTACTATTATAGCTTATATCGATGAGTCGGCTAAACGCTACCAAAAGCGAAGCTCCCTATAGAATCGTATTAACCTTAGGAGGGATCTCTCTCGAAGAAGATCCCTCTTTAGCGATAAGAACTAGGAGTCTTAGTAGCGTTTTCTATCTTAGCGCGAAAAGTAAGATCGCCCAAGAAATATATTCGACGCGGATATCGTGACCTAAAGACCACAACCCGTTCGTATATTCGTTAAAAGCCGCGCTGCTAGTAGCCACGAGGTACGCGATGCTTCCTTCCATACTAAGGGTTTACTTGATTTATATAGCGAAAGGGCCAGCAGAAGGAATTTCCTCTGGTTTTGGGAAGAGGGTCCAGATAGAATACGGTCAGTTGGTTAGCGGTCTCTATCCTCCTCTGGACTGCTTCAGCGGCCCCAAAATTCACCAACGGTGTCGATACACGTAGTTTGAGATGCGGACGAGCAATATGTCAAACACTGCGAGATGGGTCTCTGCGCCTGGAATTTTTAAGGGGAAGAAATACGAGGTCGCGTAGTAGAGGCCGCGGCAGTGGCTGTGATCCATAATGACCCCCGGTTTCTGTCAGCGCTGATTTCTACTATCTCCTGGCCCCCTTTGGCGTGACTGTTTGTGCGCAAGTATTGACAAGGAACTTGAGATTGTGGAGGCGGTGCAAGCGCCACGCAAATTGTTTTATCTTAACTGCTGAGCCCACAGTAAAAGTAGCAGACATGTCCGTTATTGCGGATCGAAGCGACGCTATAATCATTTATAATGGCGCCAAATTTCACCTCCGTCGGGAATTCCACGATCTGATTGGCTACATTCTGTGTGGTCATCTTCGGGTAAAACCACCTGACCTGGGTCACGTGTCTTTTATTTTAAAACGCCTCTTAACTATGTCCCCAGGGGCTGAATTTCACCTCCGGCTGGATCTTCGGCCGCTGATTGGCTCCTTCCTGGGTAAAATCATGTGACTTGGTAAACCACGTGATTGGGCTTACTCTCCAGTCTCCACTCTCCAGTATCCACTCCATACCTTCCTGCTGCCCGCTATTAATACAGTCGGCGCAGAATATGAAGGAATACGCTGGCAGTCAACGAATTAATTATAGCAGTTGCTTCACTCCGCAGTTCCTTCCGAGGGGGAGGAAGTCTAGCCCTAGGAATACTCGTACCCAACAATTTGCATGAATTAACGATGCCCTCTATTGAGACCAAAGGAAAACAACGGTTACTCCCTGACAGCGCTTAGCGTGGATCGCTACTCCCCCAAACGGCGGCAAAACAACCCTACTAACCTTAAGAACCCTGCGGCGACCTATTTAGCTGAGTGATCGCTTTCAGCTCTTCAAAATTACTCAGACGTCCCAAGACGACTGTGAGCGCGTATAAGTCCAGCCGAGTAGTTACCAAACGGCAAGGGGCCTCTTTGGGGGACTATGCTGTTTACCGATAAGTTCTCTCCTGTGTAGTCACACAGTAATTATTCCATGGGTAGGTAAGGTGTAGAACTGTATAAGTTAGTGTATACTGAAAGAACTTGAGTAAACATAGCCCAATAAGCGGGAGACCCATCAACTTTCCAGTGCTAAAAGACTCATTTCCTCGTCAGTAAAACCTATCAATACGTGCGCTAAATTCATGGATTTATACTGGAGTCATTCGCCATGCTACCCTGGATCTCCCTTCTCCCATACTTCAAAAACTCTAGAGACGGCGATTGTGAGCGCACGGATCCAGCGATTGGGAAGGGTCACTTTTCGATCATGGTAGGAGGCTTCTGAGATTGTCCATCACAAGGCGCATTTTAATAAGGTACCAGAGTCTGCAAAGTACTCCGCTTTGCTCGTCGCAGACGATACTCAACATAGGGCCCCTTGAGGGGTTGCTCATTGAATATATTCTTTGGAATGTTTGGCGAGGTTCTTGCTTTGAGCAATCTTTGACACGACGGTGACCAAGTAGGCCAGAACTTGTGAAATGTCTGGAGTGATGTTCATGACAAACCGTGGCTGCAGGCGCACTCGCGGCACTTCCAATTTCGATTTCAACATACGTGTCTGGAGTGCGGAAGACATTTAGAAGCATGTTAACGTGGCCCCGGCACTTGAAGGTAACGTGACCACCGGTCTATGCTGCGACAGATGTCCCTTCCCTTTTGAATCATGGAGATCCTCGTCAAAGCACCCCTCCCAGCATCGAATGCGGGGTACGGGTCATGAACGTGTCTCTGCTGGAGGACTGCTGCAGATCTGATCCGATTCAAATTGTTAGAGACCGCAGTGGAGACGGACATTTCCCCATTTGATTCTGCAAACGATGTGTTGATTTGCTCCACATTTTCCGGGGTTTCTTCAGCCTAATATAGGATAGCGGTCCCCCCTTACGGTACGTGCCAACACCACCATGACTACCTACTAGTTACCGAGCACTTCATCATTGACCTGATGTTTGGTGAAAGAGGCTGAGCTTGATATTCCTCAGTGAGGATAATCTTGAATAACACGAGTCAGAATTGCACGCTGGATGAAGATGTTGAACATTCATTTCTCGTCAAGTCGCAAAAACTGTCAGCCGGAAGCGTCAAGTGCGACAGCCCCTCAAAGTACATCCGGCCAGGCTAGATCTCTACCGACCTATGATGCCACTCATGGTGTCGGCAAGCACTATGATGAGTTCCGGGGACAACTGGAGAAATCGTCCACGATCCAACAACAGGAATCAAATATTCCGACCTATCGGTTGCTTCTTTCAAAACTAGACATGTCTCAATCCTGGTTTGAAGCTTGCCAAGTCAGCTTCGATCCACATGTCGGTTTCGAGCAGTCTGCTTGACAGGGATAATGGCTTACCTCGACACGGAGCCACCGTCTGGGGTACAACTCCTCAGCGCGTGATCCTGAAACGTGAAAAAACCGAATCCCGTCATGTGCGCGTGTGGCCTACACGCCAATGCCATCCGAGTCTTACAGCATGCACACCCTTCACAAAAGGCCAAGGCAGGCTCAGAATCCCTCTCCTCGTCCTCGCAACTCCGGCGGAGATGAGAAGAATTTGGTTAGTACGACAAGATTTATCGCAGACCTGAGCGCAAGCCGCTCAACAGATATAAAATCTGCCGTCTTTGCTCATCCTCATCTACGACATATACTATGAAGTAGCCTCGATCAGTGCCCCGAGTCAAACATAGTAGCGGCAATTTCATTTCAGCATGTACAAAGCTCTGGCAATATTAATGTTGGCCGACCTGGTTGTCGGTCACGGCCACATCTCTAATATCGTGGTTAATGGAGTGTCCTATCAGGGCTGGGATATTGGTTCTTTTCCCTACTTATCCAATCCTCCAGTTGTTGCTGTATGGGGAACTCCTAATACCGGCAATGGATTTATTAGTCCGTGTAAGTCTTGTTTTCTATCCCACAGGTGCTCGACATGAATAAGCTATTAAGATGGGTTCACTTTTACTATCCGGGCACCATCCCACGCACAAACGATTCTTATATATGATTCTTTGCTGTGTTAGATATGAAACTGATGCTTTGTGAGCCAGCCTCATATGATTCATCGGACATCATTTACCACATGGATGCTACAAACGCCAAGGGTCATATTGTCGTTGCCGCTGGGGATAAAATCAATCTTCAGTGGACCACCTGGCCGGACACTCATCACGGACCTGTGATCACTTACCTCGCAGATTGCGGTGCTTCATGCGAGACGGTCGATAAAACGACGTTGAAGTTCTTCAAGATTGACGCCGTGGGTCTCGTCGACGAGAGCACCCCTCCAGGTACCTGGGCCGACGACCAGTTGATTGCCAACGGGAATAGTTGGATGGTCGAGATCCCACCCAAGCTGGCACCTGGCAATTACGTCCTGCGCAATGAGATCATCGCCCTGCACAGTGCAAACAATGCGGATGGGGCTCAAAACTATCCACAATGCTTCAACTTGCAAGTCACTGGATCTGGGTCGGACAAACCTTCGGGTGTTTTGGGTACGGATCTGTATAGCCCAACTGATCCCGGCATCTTGGTCAACATCTACCAGTCTCTGGCGAGCTACACTATCCCCGGACCTGCTCCATACACCGGTGCTGTCTCCATCGCTCAAGCCACCTCAGCCATCACGGCCTCTGGAACGCCCATCACGGGATCCGGTGCGGTCCCTACCACAACCACGGCTGGGTCTGGACCGTCGACTACTAAGACATCAACGACTACACTGGTCACCAAGACAACCACAACGAAAGTCCCTACTACGACCGGATCTGGGTCCGGGTCTGCTTCCACTCAAACAGTCTATGGTCAATGCGGTGGGCTCAGTTGGAATGGTCCTACCGCATGTGCGGCGAAAGCGACATGCGCTTCTTACAATCCTTACTACTCTCAATGTGTTCCCTCAAGCAACTAGATCTATCTTGGCCTAGTCCTGCCTTGGGGTAGATTGACCTATCATGAATATATTGGCATAAACATTCTCAGTTTGATATCACTGTATCCAGGTGCTAATTTACTCCAGTGTACAGGAGGGTACAGTTAACCTCCCGAAATGCATACCAATGCGTGCAAAGGAACATGAAAACTCCTGCTCCCCTCACCCGCCATTTAATCCAAGGGACTTCCCATAGAATGACACTTGTTTCGACCTCGAATAAAGTGTATCAAAGGCTGAGAGTATAATGAGATATCAAGGCATTTCGTGTTCAAAGTCTATCGTTGGCAAGGCCCGGCTTGAATCGGTAAATCCACGTCGAGATGTCCAGATCAAGACACCACATCTGCCAGGGTCAGCGCGCGCGGGGCCGCTAAGAGGACAGTATCTGACCTTCACAACTACTATGTTCGAGAACAGATGCTGGATCTCGCACATGTCCATTATCCATGACCCAAGTAACCGGCACTCAAGAAGACGATCGACTGAAGTGAGACCAAGTCTTGTCACAAATGTAAGCTTCTTGCATACAAGCCGACCGTCCCCACACAATCTCCAACGACGAGAAGCACAGAATCGAGGTCTCGCATGCAGCCCGTCTAACACACATAGTTCAACAGTTGACACGGGACAAAAATGACGCTCAAGAACTTCATCCCTCTCATTGCCCTGCTGCTTTTGTCATCGTGCGCTAGAGCGATCAATATCATTTCTTCCAACGACGATGGCTGGGCGGAAGTCAACATTCGCAGCCTCTTCGATAGCCTCTCCACCGCCGGCCATTCCGTCGTAGTGGTCGCTCCGGCGGAGAATCAAAGTGGAACAGGTGAGTTCGCCCGATCGGATTGACTCTATTCACAACATGTGGGTTCCAAGCTGAAAGTGAAACACGCAGGTTCTTCGCAAAAGCGTCCTACACCTCTCGCTGAGCCCTGTCAGTTTTCAAGTTGTCCAGCAGGCAGTCCAGCCATCGGACACAATGCATCACAACCTCGGTTAAATTATGTCAACTCGTTTCCCGTCACAGCGATGAAGTATGGAATTCACTCGATTGGCCCTCGCTTCCACGCTGGCTCTCCCGACCTTGCGGTTGCTGGCCCGAATGTAAGTCCACCTAGGGAGACTGACTGATGGTCTCCCCCAAGACAAGCTCTCAGCCATCTAAGTTGCTTGCATCCAACTAACTCAGTCGCGCAGGTGGGGAACAATATCGGTCTGACTGTTCTCCTCTCTGGCACTGTCGGAGCAGCTGCTTATGCAGCCCACGATGCAGGCATCCCCGCCATCGCTTTCTCCGGCGCTAGCGGATCCCAAACTGCGTGGAACGCTACACCCAGCTATCCGCACTACAGCGAACTGTACGCTCAACTCGCGACCATGCTGGTCAACCAGGCCACTCGTTCTGGAAAGCCGTATTTACCCCAAGATGTGAGTAAATTCAAGGGGCTTATCAAGTAGGCTTGAGACTCACGTCACGTACAGGTCTGGCTCAATGTCAACTTTCCAGCCGTGTCCAATAAGTGTAATACCACGAGTGATTTTTCATTCGTGCTGTCCCGTATACACGTTGCCATCCCGTTCATCACACCGGCAGATGTGGTAAGCTGTGGGAAGTCAAGGCTGCCGAACGAAATTGCGGTCTCTCTAGCCTCGGGGTGTTACGTGAGCGTCTCGGTCGGGATGGCGGGCACTAAAGATGATGCTGACGCCGTCCTGCAAGGGATCGTCAGGAAGAACCTCATGCCGCTTCTCAGCTGCTTGCCGTGATCGGTGGAACAATATTGTCCACTGTGCAACTAGCTCGACTCCCAATCATAGCTAGATAAGCTTCGAATGTTAGAAGCATTCTCGGCTACAGCGTACTCAACGTCGAATCTAGGAGACTGGTCGGACATCGGTCCTCCTAGCATGTTTCTCGTGCAGATGAATCATTCAGGACCTGCCGATCTTCTACGGTCGCGAATCATGCACGGTGAACATGGAGTCTATCCCGTTGGATCAAGGACCACGCAGAGTCATCCACAGACGAATCATCCTGATCGTGCTTACCACGAGTAGCAGGGACGCGGGGATCCTTCGTTCAAGTGGGGTACTTCCCTGTCAGGCGCCAGACCAGTTTGGGGTTGAAGTCCGCTATCTCGTTGAACTATCTCGGAATGAACGCGATTCTGCACTATACTCCAAGGAAGGTCGAGCATCTCGGATTCATGTTTTGTGCCGTATGTTGCAGACGGTGCTTGGGAGAAAAGATATAAGAAGGCTCGGGTCCTTCCACAATGAGATGGGGATCTAGGGCAAGCCTTCAGAGCATTTGAAATCATGATCTTCTCTCGTCTGTACGGCCCACTGGCCCTTTGTTCCTGGGCAGCGGCAAGCCCCAGCCCAAAGCTTGTCAATCGTGGAACAATAGCGCACGACCAGCTTGGTAGGTCGCAATTCCCGTCATGATTGTTTGCAGGGTTGGACAGTATAGCCTGAACCTGGAGCTGTTATTATCAAGTGCGTTCGCTCGCTAATTGTATTCACCCTCAAGTTGGGTTTCCCCAAACCGTCCCATCTGGTGTTACTGGCCAAGTATATCTTGCCTACCAGCCAACTCTGGACGTAGTCAATGGCTGTGTACCATTCCCTGCCGTGGATGCCAATGGTAACACCAAGTAAGTCACCCCTCTGATTATGAAGTTCCCTTCAACGGGATCCGAGTTAGTTGCAGAAACTTATCAATCATAAAACTAGCGCTGGCCTGAAGCCCTCCGGTGCACCTAGCGGCGATTGCAGCAGCAGCACCGGCCAGATCTACGTTCGTGGTGGAAGCCATGGAAACTACTACGGACTGATGTACTCGTGGTACATGCCCAAAGACGAGCCATCCGACGGATTGGGTCATCGTCATGACTGGGAGGGTGTCATTGTCTGGCTGTCCCAGTCTACCAGCACCTCGGCTAGTAATGTTGTCGCAGTTTGTCCTTCGGCCCATGGTGGCTGGGATTGCTCTACGGATGGATTCACACTCAGTGGCACAACCCCCTTGATCAAGTACTACAGCCCCATCTGGCCCATAGACCACCAATGTGGTTTGACAAGCACCAAAGGAGGATTTCAGCCGTTGATCGCATGGGAGTCTCTGCCTGCTGCCGCTCAAAATGCGCTGGAAACCACGGACTTTGGCAAGGCGGATGTGCCATTCAACGATGCCCGTTTCAACAACAACCTCGCTAGCGCCACTTTCTGAACATAGCTCTAGCATAGGCTCTCGAATTTTGATGGAATTTGCAAACATTGAGCTCATTGAATAGGGTGTGCCGGAGTGTTATAAACCGCGACTGAGAAGGCATGTTCTTTGAAACCTGTTATCAGCATGTGATCTTATCGGTCCAGATGTATGAATGCACAACATGAAGGCTTTATAATTGGTTCAGGTCTATCGCAAAAGTATTCTACACCTTCACCCCACACCTCTTGCATCTATTCGGACCGAGCACTTTTTGTTTTTTTGCTTCGCAATTTCATCATGAGGAAGACAAGCGCGTAGGATGAGATACAAAAGAGCGCAGTGATCGCAGTCTGTAGTCAAGTTGTCAGTCTTTTTCTTGGTCGTTTTGAAGACAGGGGAGCGAGATTTCGTCATACATCTCTCCAAGAATAATACTTAGCCTGAAGGTTGAATGTCTTGGCATACTCGGCACCAGACGAGTACTGGCAGAACGAGCAGCTGGTGGAGTTGGGGTCAAGTAAATAGCCAGGCCGGGAGGACAAAAAGTCCGACATATACTCGCCACAAGTCTGGCCAGAAGGAGCACTGAAAGTGACGTATTCCGAGGGTTCGCACTCAACTTTGACATCCCACAGAATCTCGCCCAACAGACCACCGACAAGGTAGGTAAAGGGATCGAGGTAGTACATCCAGTAGCGCCAGAATGGCTGCATCTGGCTGTATGGTACCACAACACCGCAGAAACTGACCAGGCCTGCGCCGAGTAGAACTGGATTCATGACCGCTGCAAAGTACTCGTTTGGCGCATAGGCTGCGATGGCTTGACCGATAGAAGTGTAGAGGAATTCATAGACTGCACGAGATATTAGTTCCTGCAAAACTTGGGTAACAAGCAAATTGCGATATCTTACAGATCATCTGCAGGTAAAAGTGGCCCGAGATACTGGCTTTGACAGGCAATCCGGCTGTAAAGTAGAAGCACACGAAGTAGAGAGTGGCGCAAACGATGAGATAAGGAATCTCAGCCACCGTTTGAGCACCGATGAAAGCAATCCAGTGGTAAGTTTTGGACTGCAAAAAGAGAGATCAGTCTCATAGGAGCGGAAATTTGGATAGATGCGAATCATCAATCGTGTGCGCGAAATACTAACCTTCTTCTCTCGCGTTTCGAAGATATCCCTGTTTGCTAAGAAGAAAGGCTGCATTTGGTTGATACAGCCTGGCGCAACGAAAATGAAGTTGAACACGGCGAAGAGCCGTAGTTGGAGGGAAAATGTTCCATTCCCAAGCTTCCAGAAAGTGAAGCCGCTGAAAAGGGCGGCAAAGATGTGAAGAATGAATTTATTCCACATATAGTCCTTGTTCGGATGTCAGCCGGGGTTCACATTTGTAGATGCCACGTGGACATACCGGAGATCGCCAGATCTTCAGACTCAGACGCGTAGTGACCATTTTGAACTGGAACCAGTGACTCGTGGCGAATGTGGCAGTATTTTCCTCGTACGCGGTATCTTCCATTCCTGCCTTGTTGAGAGCTTCGAGCTCCGAGAGGGCGGTTTGACGTTCAGATGACTGATTCCAAACCTCGACCCAATCTGTCTTTTGTGACTCGCCGCCTCCTTGCACCACGTCGATGATATGTTCAGCTGGGTTCGCGCCGGGAGGACAAGGTGCGCCATTTCGAGAAAAGTAGTCGAGAATCTTGCCGGACTCGTGGCCAGCTATGATTCGAACAATTAGTGACTCTAAGCGGCCCGTGTTTGATGTGTATAACTTACTTTCTCCGAAATATGTCATGCGTCCCCCTTTTGCCAAGAGCAATAAGCCATCAAAAGCGTCGAATAAAACAGCGGAAGGTTGATGAATGGTGCACTGTTTTGTTTTCTTAGCATCGTAAATCGCTCGTTTTGGGACACGAGTAACTCACCAGAACAGCCTGACCACCATCCACTAGCTTGCGGAGGAACCGCACAATGTTGAATGCACTTTGTCCATCCAGACCAGAAGTGGGTTCATCGAGGAAGAGCAAAGTGGGCTTAGCGACAAGTTCAACACCCAAAGTCACCCTCTTCCGCTGCTCGATGCTTAAACCTGCACCAGGGACTGTGAAGTCTTAGTCTTGTGCCTTTGTATGTCAACGGAACTATTCGGTATATGTCTTACCTCCAATGAGTGCGTCCTCGATGTCTCCCAGTTCCAACAGATTGATGATATGGTCAACATAGGCAAGCTTTTCTTCCCGTGTAATTGAAGCTTGTTGGCGCAGTAGGGCAGAGAAGACGAGAGCCTCTTTGACGGTTGCTGTCGGCTCGTGCACGTCCATTTGCTCACAGTAGCCAGTGGTTCTCTGAAAGCTGATTCCTTGTGGGCGACCGTCAATGAGAATTGAGCCATACACTTCTCCCGAGTCTTTTCGCTGCGCAAGAACATCAAGAAGACTGGCACAAGTTGTTAGCATAACGTCGTCTTGCCAATGAAACTTCAGATTACCTACGTTGTCTTGCCAGCTCCAGAGGCTCCCATCAACGCAACCAAATTGCCAGGCTTCACGTAACCAAAGACTTTGTTCAGAAGCTGCCTCTTCTCTCCCTGGAATGGCACGTGGTAGTCCAGATTTTGCCAAGTGAATGTTGACTGCTTTGGTGAGCGTGCGGGAGCTGAACTGTGGGAAGCCTCCGCCACTGCATCAGATCGAGGCGTAGGCTTCTTCTGATCATTCTTGCTGCCGCGCTTGTACAGAAGGATGGAGGAACCACTCCGGCTGTTCTTGAGCTCGAAGCCCAAGGATGTCAACCCAATAAAGAAGAGCCAGAATCCAATGATGACACCAAAGCTGCGCCAAATATGGTGGGGCGAGTAATTGTACTGCTCATGGATGTATGCAGCACCGTCGATTATCCCTTCTGCATTGCTCCCGACTACCGAGCAAGCTCGGTGTGGGGATGCAGTATCGGGATAGCTGGCGCCATACGGGATGTAATAGGGCTCTTTGCAGACAAGTTGCCTACCGACGAACTCATTGGCCATCAATGCCTCAAATGCATAAGCGCCAGGGTTGAGATAAAAGATCCAGCGGAACCAAACGCGCATCTTGTAGAAAGGTACAAGATAGCCTGCGAATGATCATTAGCATGATTGACATTGGTATTGGGGCACCGTGAAACTCACCTCCATACACAAAGAACACCGTCGAAAGCAGCCCGCAAAGTTCAGATGCGGTACCAAACTTCGAGCACAAAGCGCCCACTGATCGAAACAGCTGAACGAAGCACAGAGTTTGTACAATGACAATGACCCAAAATGTGAAGAACCGCCCAGCGTCCATCTGTAGGGCGGACATGAAGTACAACACCAGCGAGAAACAGCTGACTTGTATCATGATGACGGGAATGTCGGTAATGGCATTGGCGATACAAAAGGCAGTCGGGCGGTAGAACCCAAATCTTTTTTGTCGAGACAGAATTGGACGGCCCATGAAAGAAGCTGTTGTTTCCGACATGGATTCCAAGAGGAAGTAGATAACTGGGAAGAAAACGACACCTGGTCGCGTGAAGATCGAACCACTGTCGTCAGGAAGATTGTAGAAGAGAGATCCGCAAACCAAGGCTTGAATGATCGCCGAGAACACTTTGATGAAGAGTGACAGTTTGTCACCCCACATGATCTGGAACTGTCGCAACGTGCAAGAGCGAACCTGATCCCAGAGTCCTGCGGTATAAACGCTTTGCTTGAGAGGTAGGAGCTTCTTTCGCTTCTCGCTTGCGACGGCGATGCGGAGATCTTCCGTCTCATGGCTCAATTGCTCTGGAGGCACGATCGATACCATTTGTTCTTGGCAAATATCGCTGCCATGATAAATGGCTTCAAATTCCTCTGGGGTGTTGGGGACACGTTCTTCCCAACCAGGGCGGACTATTCTCTCTGTCAACACAGTCACAGACGTGAGATAGTCTGCTATGTTGGCACCTCGCGGACAAGTGAAGCCAAGAGATTCGAAGTATTCCTTTGCTAGGTAGCGAGGGCCGTAGTAGATGACACGGCCTTCAGCCAGTACCAAAACCTTGTCGAAGGCATCATAGATTCCGTTCCCGGCCTGATAGGTCGTCGTGATGATTGTTTTGTGATTCTCATCTGCCTCTCGCCGCAAAAGCCGAGCAAATTCAAGGGCTGCCTTGGAATCGAGACCACGTGTAGGATTGTCCCATAATTGAACTGGACTCTGATCCCGGTCTTGTCAATCAATGCTCAATCTACTCATCTCTGATCAAGCAGCTTACCTGTCCCGCCATAACCTCAGCCAAGGAGACTCGTTTCCGCTCACCGCCAGACACACCCCGGATATACTCATTTCCAACTCTTGTTTTCTTCGTATGAGCAATGCCCAGAGAATCGAGAATGGTGTCGCGTTTCCCCATAATGTAGTCTTGGTGGGAAGCCAACTCAGTAGGCCGCTCGTGAGGAACCTTGTTGCGCAACGCAAATTTCAATGTGCGATTCACGGAAAGTGTAGGGAAGTGTAAGTCGTCTGGAGTATGTCAGTATTACAGCTGATGAGATATTCCCTAAGCTGAAGGTCAGTCATACCTTCATTGTTGAACATGATCTGCTGACGAAAATCCTTTGCAGCTGTGTGATCCATGCTACCGAATCTCAGGTCTCCGTCGACCTCGCTGAATTGCTCCCTGTCATTTGACAAAACCGAGAGAAGGGATGTACATCCTGAACCCGGACGGCCCAGAACTAGAAGCTGAACCGCGTGTCAGTACCGACATACGCAACATGTCGCTTGCTTTAAGATGGTGGACTGACCATCTCTCCAGGTTTCACCTGGCCGGAAATATTGTTCAAAATGGTCTTTTTCTATCAGCGCATGCCTCGAATTTACCCAAAAACAAAGGAAAATTTGAACTAACCCTCTTTTGATCCTCCTTTCGTCTGAATACGTTCCCAAGCTGGCGTGGGTCCATCACAGACCAAAGCGTGCTTCCTAAAGCAGCATCGGGAGCTGTTACACGGACGCTGAGAGCGCGGAACGTCACAGTCAACCTCTTTCGAATATCCTCTCCATGTCCAGCCTTTTCAACATCCACAGGTGTGGCTGTTCCTGAAGAGGAATCATCCATGTTGGCAAGAATGGCAGCCTTCATGCCGTCAGCGTATCTCAAGTTCGAACTTGATAAAGTCGCAATTTGAGAGGTGGCAGATAGGGAAAGGACAATTTTGATGACTTCCAGCTCACTATAACTTCTTCAAAAGATGGATTACACTCCTTTAAACGATCACCTAAAGCCGCTGGCCCACAATGTATAGAGATGATTCCGATCTCCACACATTTGGAACAGCTTCATCCGTAAAGCCGAAAAGTGGAGCCTTGCCGGAAATAAGTCGCCGTCTCGCGCGTGAAACGGATTCTCTTTTTCGGATTTCGTTTGACGGTCGCGCCACGGAAGTACAGTTTCGTACCTGATCTCCGCTCAAGCCGAGAGTTTGTGGCAAGGAGATCGGACATAGTGAGTAGTAGTACCGTCTATATTGACGATCACTACTGCCATCATTTTGCTGCATCCACTCATTTCAATGCTGCTGTCAGCGAACGGCGCAGACCCACTGTCTGGACGTATCTGGTAAACCCGAAGCTTGACCGAGCCATGTCATGGCTGAGCCGAAGGTTGCTTTTGAGGCCATTGTCATCGCTTTACGTCAAGGGGAAATAGCTAGGTATGACCCGCTAGGTGGTTCGGAAGATAGAAGCTCCCCTTGTAAGGCACAGAGAGACTCCTGAACGCATGGACAAGCTTGTCCTTGATACACATCAATGGAGTGAGGTTCTCTTCACAGTTTTTCTTGTGCCCGGCTGGAGAGATGTGCAAATGAAACGAGACTATCCAGGATCCGAGCAGGGCACGGAAAGCACTGAAATGTCGATTCCTTTTTGATGACCAGGGGACTGAGAAAAGCGTTGACCGGGAACTTCGTCCGTTTGAGAGTTCTGGTTGCAGACAAGGCAAGACTCCAAGCGTGCATGCCAAGACAACCTGCCATGGAGCATTTGCCCTTCTGATGGGAGACGTTCTTGCGGTGCGGTGAATTTACGAGACCGCGCAATCGTCGATTTTCATAAATACATAATTGTCTAAAGATTGAACGATTAACCGCTCAGCTGGTCGTAGGTCGAGCAAAATGCCTCTAGGTCCATGGTTGAGAAATCGAAGTTCCAGCCCATGTCAGACTGGGTGAAGTCAAGGAGATCATCTGTCGAGCCACTCGAAGCCCCGGTTTCTGGTCCCTCGAGGTGTTGCAGGTTCCATTGAGGAGCAGAAAGGTCGAAGTTCTGAGTGAATCCAGGTCGTGGAGTAAAGGTTGTGGCTGAAGGGATCCATCCATATGGTTGACTGGCAGTGTTTCCAGCTGGGGAAGACATCGGCACCGAGGCTTTTGTTTTGAGCGAGGTGTACTGATCTGAATACGGGAGGAATTCGTAGGAAGGGTTGATTTTGCGGAGCACAGTTTGAATAGCGGAGATCGTGCTGTCGATTGGATCGCCCGGACGCATCGAACCCAGCGTTTGTAATGTTGTGTAAATCCAGGGCAAGTGTGAAGTGGCCGTGCTTGGATCGTGGAGCAAATCGTAGATCAGGGTGAAAGCTGAGCTGGATAGGAAGTGTCCATGGTACCTCAGTTGCTATAACAAGCTAGAATGAGTATGTAGCAGCCGCAAAAATGGGGTACATGTTATTTACGAACCTTCACAAGGTCATTTCTGCGAGAGGCCTCGGACAGATGGTGAATGGTCTTGCTTGCGGCCGTGATGGCGTGGTTGCAGGCTTCGTTGAGCCATGTAGGAACTTTGAACGAGCGAGGCGGGGCATTTGTATCAGGTGGCTGTGTAGAGGCCTTTAGGCTTCGTTTCCAGTGACCGCGGAAGATCAAGAACGGGCGAAACGTCAACAGAAGAGTGTGATAGTACACTGCGTTTCAATTAGTGAATTGAGTGAATAATCACGAGAGTAGTAGAGATGCCTTACGAGTTATGAAGATAGTCTGGCGAACACCCAGAGATCCAATCTCAATGCTCGCATCGAGATCGAATCCCAACGCCTGCTTCATGTAGACCTCGTGATTTCGAAGATCATGGATGATCGACCGAGCGACCCGCCACATGTGTAATAGCGACTCATGCCGTTGACTATAAATCTCATTACCCGACCGTGAAATCGTTTTGCACAATTCGGTAAGAAGTCGAACAAAGGGATCCTGAGCGTATTCAATGGCGACGTCCTTCAGATAAAGAGAGCTCGGTCTTCCGACATGGAAACAAAACCAGCTACAGCGGCCCGTTAGAAATTTTGCTACATTCGCAGATTGACAGACTTGACGGCTCACGTTTCAAAGTTATACAGGGACCAGAAAGTTACGCGTCTCTCTTCGATCGTTTTCTGCCTTTGTATATCCCCTGGAGGAACATCCTTGTGCAAGCCAGCCGAGATAGCCTTACGTGTAGCGGTACCTAGATGTAGGAATGCCGAGTTTGGCCGACCTTGTTCGTTTTGGTAGTTGCCGTAAGAGCTGCATTCTTGGTTGGTCTCGAGGCAACGTTCACTATGTTTGGGGAGTGACTTATCATAAGAAATGCAATTTGGACTGTCCGAAGATTCACGACGTCATCGTACGGTATCAAAGACTCTTTGACTCGCTCAAACAGGACGTCTCCCCACGCATACTGCTCGGTACCTAGAGATCCAATAGCCATGGACAATAAGAGCATGGCCCGTGTGAGCGTATCTGGATGTTCTGATGGCGATGGATCATATAGTTTCTCCAAACACTGCTTAAAGTAAGCTTTTGGCTGGTGCGGCATCACATGATACAAATGGGCCAGGTATCGGTCGAGGAAAATTTTTGCCAAGTTATAAGGGAGAAACATCATGCCCATGTCGGCTGAGCTGGAAGATTTTCCTGCTTCTTGGGAGTCTGGTGTCCCAAAAAAGATTCGTCTGAAGCTGAAGAGATCCAAGCCCGCGCCAGCTTCTTCTACTTGGCCAGATGAGGCAGCCTCAGAGGATGCATTGGGGACCAGTTCATGATAAACATGTTGGATGAGCGAAAAATGGGAGGTTGGTCCGTAATAGAGCTCCAATTTGCAAGACGGCGACGCCATGTGCGTCGCCGAAACGCTGCTTGGATACTGGACCATCATTGACGGGCCATCAGTTTTGGAGTTCGGCGCGAACGAGGGTGAAACGCGCGGCGCATGTCTGCTATCGCTTTCCGACAGCGGATGATCAGTATCGATCCTCCTTTTGCGCTGTCGTGTCACCTCCCTGTAGATACATGGGGTCTCGCGTTGTTGGCATGTTTTACACCTGCAAATGGCTTATCAGATCCTCACTCAGCCAAGTCAGCACCCAGTAGTGAGCGAAATTCGATCTTACGGATTTAACCCATTGCATCGGATCTTGCGCTTTCGACACTCTTGACAGGCCTTTGGGATCCGCCAGGCGCCCGTGGGCGGCTTTATGGCATCAGCCATATCCGAACAAGTGAGGGAAAGTTGTCACTTGGGATTGGGAAGGACTTGGCGCCCCAGATGGCAGGGCGCGTAGAGACGATCCGAGCACACGTTGCAGCGAGAACCTCTTCACTCAATCATCATGACAACGCTCTCCAAACGCCGTCGTGCATTTGAACAGAATATTTCGATCTGAAGATTTTCACAGCTCTGGAGTTGAGGCGGACTACCAACTGGAATCAGTAGCAGCACGGAGTCCGGTGGGTCGTCGATCCATATCCGCTTATTCCGTCTATATCCGGCCAGGTCACGTGGGCGCAAGAGCGCAATCAAAATGAGACAGCGGCAGACATTATTTAGTTCAAACCAAGGTAATTGCGGACCTCATACCAAAGGCGGTGATGATGTAAATATCATGTCTTCTGATGGTTTCACATATGTCAGGATGCTTTCGATTGTTCCGTGTGGATAGATATATACACCTCAAGGTTGTTCCGACATAGACCTTGCCAAAGCTCGCGAGCTAGCCCGCCCGGACCGCGAGTATCTACGAGCTTTACGCTCGGTAATACAATTACCACGTGACCTAAATTATAATAAATCTCGCGAATATTTTTAAGAAAACCTATACTAATTACAGTATTACTAAGCTTAAAAAATAAATTACGATCTCTTATTACCGATCCGATACAGAAAATATCGGTAATTTATATAGTAAAACTCGCGGGCTAAGAGCGCTCGGCTCGAGAGCCTAAAACTCGCGAGTACGAGCTCACATCTCTAATTTTCGGCTCGTAGCCCGCGAGCTTAGAGCTCGCGGTTTTAAGGCTCGCGGGCACGAGCTCAGATTCTCGGCTCGCACGCGGGCGCGAGCCTAAAAGTCCGGCCCGCTCGGCTCGTTAGTAAGGTCTATTCCGACATAGGTCGCCATGTCACCTCCTACCTCTCATCTGAGGTTGCACTGCCGCTTGCATTTTCCTCCCAGCCTACCGAGTAGTACTTTGCATGCTGAGGTGATGGCTCTCCACTTTAGGAATTCGACAGGTGATCTTCAGGAATGGTGGTTATTTATGAGAATACAGTAGGTAACAGGTAGCTTTACTGCTGTCGTCTGTTCACTTTACTATTCCCCTTTTGCCCTCTAGCTCTAGGTGGTACCTAGGTCGTTCCCAACTTACTTCACTCGTGAGATGATTGAGTTCTACCTACGTTCTAATATCGACAGGATTGACGTCTTGCGCCTGTACCAACTTTTGACTTTTCTGACTAGGTTCCGAGAATTCGACTTCCTGCGCTCATCAAGCATGCTATATAGTCTCAGAATCGGTTGCTGTATAGGCTGGGATCATCGCAAGTTCTGGAGCAACAAAGTGGCACTAGTGCTATCTGGTATAAAGGATTGACATGGAGATGTCCTACGACGACGTTGCATAGGAACTAGAATCTGAAGATATTTTCGATATCGGGCTGTCTATATTTCGTGATATCAACGTCAAGAAACCGATCTTGGAGCTCATCTTGAATCATGGCTTAGGGGACGACTCTGAGTTCACGGATATTAGCAAAGAATCCCTCAACAATCTTCCGCTGCAGGTGGAGTACACGTGGAGCGCCGCCGACATTCGCTCCCGCAAGCCGATGCTAGTTTTTTTCCCGAAGAAAAGGTGAGGAATGAGGTTGGTTAGGTTATCGATGGATATGAATGATCTAGTACGCCTGGGAACCCATCGCGGTCAGAACTCCCACAGCCACAGACCACCTCCGAGACTACGTCATTATAAGTCCAAGCCCTAGCGCGTCTCAACATGCAGCTTTAACGGTACAAGCTTCTTGTAGTTACGAGGGACGTTCAAGGACAGCACAAGAACTCTAGCCGTGACAGACTCCCTTCGGACCAGATGTGGCGAAGCTGGGACAGTGGAAACTTCAGAGTGGTCTACGCAATCTTGCACAATTTTGCGTTCGATGCGATCTGCTGGCTCGAAATTGACCAGCGGGTCTTCGGGCCGATGGAGACAAGCGAGCCTAATGAAGTATGGAGAGAGCATTTGAACTTGCTGAGTGACGATGAGAATCACGAGACGGATGAAAGTATTGTTGAGTCGTTGACAAAGAAGCTAAGCGAGATGGAAGACAGGGTCTTGGCATGGGACCCGAACGAGTTTACCGAGGCATTTCGCCAAGCATTGATGAGACAAGGCGCAACGAAAGTAGTAGCAAGATGTCATTAAATGTTCCCGAGCCCGATTTCGACAAGTTGGCCGATAATAAACATCTCTTATCGTCGACTTCAGGGTCGTTCTTCTGCACACTGAGCGCGCTTGGGCTGTTACTCATGTCCGGAAAGAGGTAGCATCTACGGAGATCTTAATTGTAAGCAGTGAAATTGAACTCAATATGCCACCCTGAAAATAGCCTCCGCGTTTGGAAGAATCAGATTTCAAGATTCAGACAAGACCCGACCGATCTGTCGAGGTGCAACAGTTTACCCCAAAAGATGACTACCTGATGCGGGTATGAATACCGCGGTGTGTCTGACAACCCTTCCGCCCCCGCCAAGTGCGCCTCTCATCCCCGCCGCAGGCACATGGCCTCGGAGAACTTGGCCAGACCATTTCGCCAAGATATTTGGAGTCACGGGACTCGAGGGTCCCAGAGTATGCGGTAGACTATAGACTCTGATTAACTTTCGCCCAGGGGGTGGCCAAGCGTATTCGCTCTTGGCTTCGGCAAATCCGACTCTTTTTGCCCCAAAGCAAGCTGCATAACACGGCTCCTTCACGGTAATTAGGTCTCCGCGACTGAGCACAAGCCCCCCCCCCCCCCCCCCCAGTTTAGGTAAGTAATCGATGTCCTCTCTTCGTTGATGCCATTGGCTATCTGTGTGATTGAGTGCAAACGATCATTGGTCTCGAAGACAATGAACTTCGTTGACCCTAGAGCCGGCTTTTCCACGCGGTAGTTGGGAAGGGCAGCCCAACTGTGTAGGCTGGCTTCTAGACTAAGAGGCTCGGTCGCGTGGGCATTTCCTCGGCAGGACTCAAATCTTATTTCTTCCTTTGACAATGATTTACAGTCAATGGCATTGAATTGTTCTGATTTCTCCGCAAATCGATCGGTTTCCCCACATAGGAGCAAACTTCCCCAGATTTTGCAGATAAGAACCTTATCCGCAGCAACGCAAATTTCTTCAATTTCCTTCAGCACCGTACCATCGTGCGGCGGGATACGAACATTCAAATACAAGGCGTCAACAATTCGCCAAAGCATACCATCCTAGAACATTTCATTTCGAATGCTTCAAATTATCCCATGGCCTCGTCAGTGATTCACCGCGACTATCCTGGGGATGAGAAAGCCGTGTCGGAGTGCAAACAAGGGGCGCTATCCGATGGAACGCGAGATGCCGCAGAGCGTGGCCACCTTGCGACGGACCAATATGGACATGCATTGGTGCAATTTGACCCAGTCGCCGAGTCGCGTCTTCGTTGGAAGATGGATCTGTACATTGTGCCCACGGTGGCAATGATGTACCTTTTTTGTTTCATCGATCGTGCAAACATCGGTATGTGCTTCTTATCGATAAGAGGTCAATCGATTAGTACCTTAGTCTCGTTGCTTACTGACATCATGGGATCTCTGCAGGCAATGCGAAGCTAGCCGGTTTCAGCAAAGATCTTGGACTCAAGGGGTACGACTATAACATTGTGCTTTCCATTTTCTTTGTCGCCTATATCATCTTTGAGATTCCTAGCAATGTAAGCCGCGATTTACGACCCACTCATGTGTCCATACCCAGCCCACCACCAGAGACCAGCCCACTGACAGCTCCTGACTCAGATCGCATGCAAATGGATCGGACCTGGCTGGTTCCTCCCCTCTATTACGCTGGGATTCGGCATTTGCTCCGTCGCAACGGCCTTTGTCCAGAACATTCACGCTGCTTGTGGTGTCCGCTTCTTGCTCGGTATGTTCGAAGCAGGTCTGTTGCCTGGAATCGCATATTACATGAGTCGATGGTATCGCCGCAGTGAAGTACGTAAACAGCCCGCGAGTGAGACTGTCCTGAATATGGGACTCAAAGAATGCTAATGTTTGACAGCTGGCCTTCCGTCTGTCACTGTACATCGTCATGGCGCCCCTAGCCGGCGCTTTTGGCGGACTTTTGGCTTCAGGTATCTTGAAGTTGGACCACTTTGGCAGTCTGAAGACCTGGCGGATGCTCTTTGCCATAGAAGGTCTCGTGACCATTGGAATTGCTCTGATCGCGTTTCTGACCATGACTGATCGGCCCGAGACTGCGCGCTGGCTGTCGCAGGAGGAGAAGGATCTGGCGATTGCCCGTCTCAAGTCGGAGCGCGTCGGCACCACGGAAGTGCTTGATCGACTGGACCTGCCGAAAACTCTTCGTGGCATATTCAGTCCTGTTACACTGATCACCGCGACCATTTTCCTTCTCAACAACATCACCGTTCAAGGACTGGGATTCTTTGCGCCCACTATTGTCCAGACAATCTACCCGAAGGCAACGGTGGTGTCACAGCAGCTTCATACTGTTCCACCTTATGTGGTCGGCGCCTTTTTCACCGTCTTGTTCCCGTTTCTGAGCTGGCGATATGACCAGAGGTCGGTCTTTTTGTTGTGACCCCGCCGCTGGTGATGACCGGGTACATCATGTTTCTTGCGAGCGAAGACCCGATGGTTCGCTATGGAGCGACTTTCATCATTGCATGCGGTGCCTTCTCGTTTGGCGCCCTTTGCAATGCCCACGTGTCTGCCAATGTTATCTCGGACACAGCTCGATCATCTGCGATTGGAACCGTCGTCATGTTCGGCAACATCGGCGGGTTGATTTCAACTTGGTCGTTCCTTCCCTCCGATGCGCCCAATTATCACGTTGGGAACGGACTGAACCTCGCGACCTCTTCGACGACATTGTTGCTTGGTGCAGGGTTGTGGGCTTGGATCGGGTGGGACAACCGACGGCGGGGCCAGATCGATGTCAACGCCGCTTTGACAGGTCTCTCCCAAAAGCAGGTCCAAGACATGGATTGGCGCAATCCTGCATTCCGCTGGCGTCCATGAATTGGAAAGCAAGAAGAGAGTATAGTTACTCGGAAGGAGCCGCCATGTATGGAGTACTCCGTGTGCAACCGAGGGTCATTGAGGATGTGAAAGCGTGAAACACGCTGCTGATCGGCCGGGGTCGAGTGCTCTGAATACTCTTTCGTGTCGTCCGCTATCTAGCACTCGAACATGTCAATTCAGTGATGAAGATGTCCGAAACGAGTCATGGACCGAACCAATAAACCGTTATCCACTCAATACGTAGCCTAGGGTCCCGATGGAAATTCCACAAGGCATTGTCATTGTCTGCGATCCGCTTTCTGATGGCGAACGCTTCAAGTCACCACTGACGACATAGCTCGAGCAAGAATTCGGCTTCGCTTTGCATCATTTCTCTTTAATGACCGCCCGACTGGAACCGATTCTTTACTCAAATGGGTGGTGGCATGGGTTTACACACATGCAAGTCGGATAGCGATGCCTGTTTTGTGGACTGGGTGAGGAGAATTCTGGCTCAAACTCAAGACGAGAAAGACGGAGAATGAACACGCGTGACACTCCAGAGAGTCTCAATTTGGTGAGCGACACATGCTGTTGAACAAGAGCGATTCAGGCATATTCAGGCAGCGAGGCACACTAACCATCTCTGCGCTCGTCTGTTTCCACCTCGCGATCCGCACGGAACTCTCGAGGTAATGAATGATATTTCGGTCTTTTATCGGTTGCGTATCGTGAGCAGCTGCGTAGCTGCGCGATACACACGTACCCAAATCATGACCGAATCTTTCTGGGGCCTTTGATGCAAAGGTATCGACTTGTGTGTAACTGTGAAGTGTGAACATTCGATTGTTCAGAGAGAAAAGGATAGGAGAGAAGGTCGGTATGTTCGCCTGGTTCATGGACCCACTCGAACTTGAGGCCTTCTGTTCTCTGGCTGCGGGCGACCTTGTTTCAAGCGCCCAAAACTTGCGGGTGTAAACCACGTTGTCTCCACCTGGAGCTGTCTTCTTGCGTGAAGGTGGAAACCCGCGCTATCGAGGTAGAGTGGTAGACACGCTAACCCAGCATAATGTTGTCATTCGCAGTCTAGAATCGGAACAAGCCTTTTACGCCCACAATTAGCAGACCTTCGCCGAATCCAAAATGACAAGGTGGAGACGAGTACGCGGCATTTCCGGGTTAGCCGTTTCCCCCGCGAGCTTTAGCCCGTTGGTGTGCCGCTGGAGGCAAACACCCTCTTCGCGTGGAATCCGTGAATTTAGTCTACGTTCCTTCAGCGCTGACGCTATACCAGTGACTGGGCGCACCGAGTATCACGACCCCGAGACAACATCGCAGTCTGGGAATATGCGACGTCCCCGTGCCGCCGCATGGGCTTAACAGGTGCGTATGCACCGTCAACGAAATAGGCCATCGGATGCTCGGGCAAAGCTTAGCAGTCCAGACCGGTATCCACACGACCCTGCCCAAGTGACCAAGCAGAATGGTAGCGTCCCCGGATTACGCGTGCCGATGACGCATGGACGATTCGTGTCTGCCTCGCATCATGCTAAAAAAAGCTACATATGATAAGGCTGTGTGTGAAATTGTTGGCATCGATGCCGATTGCCGGTCACCACCAGTGCCCGGTTCCTGACACAAAAGAAATCCCGATTCATGGCATCTTTTGTATGGAGATACACGCTGGTTCTGCAGTCAGATTGATGAACGGCGGTTTCTTGACCAGACAGCTCTCGATTCAGTAGAGATTGAAGGAGACCATGTACCTACCTGTTGGTCGTATCGTGGCCGGTGGTCTAATCTTCTTGCTCTTTGCCTCTCGAGCGGCAGCAATCGATCTGATTATAGATGATGAACGTACGTGATCACTCTTGTGGCTGTTGTGGGCGGAACATGGGTTAGCTGCACGGGAGAAGTCAAGGCTGATACGTTGTGCACTGTTACCAGAATCTCTTCGAGATGCCGCCAGCACGACGACATTCGCCATGATGACCTACTACCATGGCAATGAGACTGGACAAATCCCCGGCGCATTCCCGAGCAAGTGGTGGGAGGGATCAGCTTTGTTCCTGGCCTTGCTTCACTATTGGCATTTCACTGGAGATACCACATACAATAATGAGCTTCGAGTGGGCTTGGAATGGCAGTCTGGAAAGAACGGTGATTACATGCCGAGTAATTACAGCAGCTACCTGGTGAGTGAAGCTCCCATGAACGTGGCACGGTCAGAGAAAGAAAAAATCAAACTCTAACAATTTTCTTCGCATCATCCAGGGCAATGATGATCAGATGTTTTGGGGATTAGCCGCCATGACCGCGGCTGAGCTGAAGTTCGGTGATGTTGCGGGGGCTTCTCCTGGCTGTCACTCGCCCAGGGAGTTTTCAATACGCAGATCAAACGATGGGACACAACGGCCTGTAATGGCGGCATGCGCTGGCAAATATGGCCTTATCAGTCTGGATACACTTTGAAGAATTCTATCTCCAACGGTGGGTTGTTTCAACTTGCTGCTCGCTTGGCACGCTACACCAACGAGCCCATCTACGCGACTTGGGCGAACAAGATCTGGAACTGGTCGCTCAGCTCGCCACTGCTTAACAGCTCGACATGGAATGTGGCAGACTCGACAAACATGGGAGATAATTGTGCGACCCAAGGAAATACGCAATGGTCTTACAACTATGGCACGTACATGATGGGTGCCGCTTATATGTACAGTTATGTACGTCCCCGAGTCCTTACGTCCCGGCAGTTTTTAAGGTTGCGAACAGGGACATCACCTCCAACTTGACCAAGGGTCCGTCAATGGGGGACGATGCTGATCCGATCATCTACAGACAAACGGTAGCGCTCAGTGGCTCACTGCTGTCGATGGTCTCATGAACAAGCTCTTTGAAGAATTTTTCCCGTCGAGCAACGGTGGCATCTTTGAAGAAGTGACATGCGAGCCGTCGGAACAATGCAACAATAACGAAGTTTTGTTCAAGGGGCTAGTCTCCACTTGGCTATCCTTCACAGCTCTCCTCGTGCCCTCTACCTACGACAAAATCTTGCCCAAGCTGCAGACATCGGCCGTGGCGGCAGCAAAGTCTTGCACGGGCCACAACAACAACACGTGTGGCGTTCGATGGTATCAGTCTCAATATGATGGATGGATCGGCATGGAGGAACAGATCAGTGCCACGGATCTCTTCGTCGCCAACATGATCAGATTCACCGGAAACAGCACCGGTCCGGTAACCGCCACGACTGGTGGCAACAGCACTAGTAACCCGACGGCGGGTGAGAATGATACAAGCACTGCAAGCATTCCTGTGTCGGCTATTACAACGGGGGACCGGGCGGGGGCAGGCATCTTGACTGTATTGTTCACTGCTGGCTGGTTCGGCTTGATGGGCTTTACTGTGCTTGGTGGATAATTATTGTAAAGCACTGTACACGTGTCTGATCGTCTACTTGTGTATTCGACAGCAATGCAATTACTTTGCCCTGAAACTCGCCCCTTGGAAGGAAACGACATCTTTCTATTCACATTGATAGCCAATAGCCCGTCTCGTGAGCTTTGAAGCTCGGCGCAGCCCGCGCCGGCTGCAAGACGTCCCGGGGAAATTGCGTCCTGTCCATCAATACACATCTCAAGCCTGGAGACCCGCCACAAGGCGATCACCAAGATCCTTGATGCTAGCTTCGAAAGTCCAGCGGTCCCCGGCCTGCCAATCAGCACTGCCGCCCGGGACAGCACCGCTGCCAGTGAATCCAATGTAGAGCACATCATCGGGGCCGTGGCCATTGTCGCCGGTGAGACCATCGTTCGGATAGCACATTTGGGCGAGCGCGATAGAGACTTCACCGGTAGAGTCATAGCCGTTGGTATCACCCCAGATGCCGTAAAGCTGACAGGTTCATTAGCCTGGATGTGCTGAAAGTGAACCCGTTACTCAGTGAGTTGAAGAATCTCTTACCAGCTGATTGTTGCAAACCACCGCCATCACACTCAAGGGCTCCATGCCTTATGACTGGGGATCAAAGCCAGCATTTCCAAAGACGACGTACGGGTGCACGTTGGCATTCAAGTCCTGAATCCCATACTGGGGAAGAGAGTCCATGAACGCGGTCTGGCTCTGTCCCGACGGATCATTGGCACAATCACCGCCGTAATTGTTAGCTCCATCGCAATCCACGTCCATATTGTCGTATTGACCGCCGTTGCCGAGGCTGTGAAGGAAAATAGCGCCATTGATATCACCGCAGTATGCGAAAGTTGTGGCACCACCGATGCCATCTGTGAAACCTCCCGCAAGTTTGTTGTTGCATTTGCCATTCTTTTCATGTCAGTCAGGGGTTCCGAAATTTCCATAGGGACCGGGGTTCAATGAAACGTACCTTGTGATTATTGTAGATTTGTTGGAGATTCTTGGGTATGTCATAGGTGGAAGCAATTCCAGCGGAAAAGACCGCGGTCAAGACGAGGATGTTCATTGTGTCTCGAGAAAAGATACTAGACTCTCTGTGTCAAAATGAATGACTCTGACGAAAGAGAAGATGTAACAGGAATGAGGAAAGAGAAGCTTCATGAAGCGCCGCTTAAGTAGTCCATCATGTTGCCAAGCCAGTGTCATCTCCTGAGCGCAAGCCGTCGAGTTGCGGAGCGTGTCCTCGATCTAGAGTCTGCACAGAGGTGTTCTGCATCATGTAGCAGCTTTGGGCAGCGCCGCGATGGCAGAGGGAGCCAATGGCGGAGGACGCGCTCGACTTTGATGGCGATCATGAGCAAGTTCTGGTTAGGCCAGGTGAAGGCCGATTGTTCGCGAACGACCAATTTCCGCTAGAGAGCTTCAATGTAACCCTCGTTGTGCTTGCAGAAGATTTGCAAGCCTTTCGGGCTCGAGTATGGCAACGTGTCTGCGACGATATACTCTTTTGGGATAATGAGAGTGGGACACTGAAGAATGATAATGGGGCAATTGCAGTGAACAAGCGAATTAACAGCCTGTGCTTAGCCACAGCAAAACGATCGGATGGCTGATCGTGCAGTCAGGGGTTGCAAGTCGGGGTTTGTGCAGGAGCTTGATACCAATTCCCCAAACGGGTATGATGGAGAAAACAGGAAAGGCTGTGTGTCGATCAATTGAGGAGCGGACAGCTTGCCTAAGACCTCGCAGTAGTCTGCTGAGGGTTGTGCATTGAAATTCCAGTTGAGACCTCCAGTACAGTTGCAGTTGGATCGTCAGCCACGTCAGTTACAATCTCGATCATGAAATATGTCTAGGTGATCGCGAGTCACGCCGTCGAGATTCTTATCGACCATGCGAGGCTTGACTGCCGCAACCGGGCTTACAAAAGCGAAGGCCAAGGCTTTTGGGGGCTGGAGGCCTATTCCATGCCTCTCACTGTTGGCCACAATCTGAGTCACAAGTTTAGATTGTAGATCGTTTCCTTCAGTTGAGAATGCTGTCGAACATGAGCAAGCCGCCCGGCAGGCAGACGCATCGCTGACTAAGTACAGCCAGCTGCAGTGGGCCCGACCCAACCGAGCTGTCGTGACTCGTTCGACACACTACTGACGAGACTTGAGAGTTATTCAAGTGCTGAGCCAGTACCTCAGTGATAGGGGAAAATAATGAGGGGCGAGCACAGTCTCAGGTACATACAGAGTGCCTTGTGAGTGGTGCTCACGCAGGCTTGGGTACTCTGCACTCTGTGAAGCAGAGAGATGATGTTTCGGCGATTACTAACTTCCAAGATGAGGTTGACCTCATGGAGCTGACAAGCTCGTCTTGTGTGGCCAAGGGCAGATCATAACATGTACCAATGGAGCTGAGCCCACCTCACTATTAGGACCGTTTCATCAAGCTCACCGCAGTGACTTGTTCGCAGCCATCAATGCGGACTAATGCAACCTAACAACTTTGTAATCGACGAAATGGTCGGGAGGCGCCAAGGATTGAGGCTCCCGTCTGCTTGAACAGATCAACGGACATCCTGGAGAACACCGTAGAAGTGTCAGTCTTCCCTTCTTCAAATTCGTCGAGCCACCGCGGAGGGGCATTCATCCAGATGTCCGAGACTCCTATCTCCTACACATCGCACAATGTGTCTTCTCCCAAGGCCACAATTCTTCTGATTCACGGTGGATTCTCCGACGGCCAAGAATGGGACCCAATCTGGCCCCTCCTTGTTGCTGCCGACTATCATGTAATGATTCCTGATCTTCCCGGTCATGGAAATTCGTGCGACGCCGGGCGTGGTTTCGCCGTCGAAGACGCCGCTCGCCGGCTTGCAGACTTGGTACAAGCGCATGCTTTGGACCAGAAAGCTCATGTAGTCGCCATGAGTATCGGGGCGCATGTGGCAGCTGCCATGGCCGCACGGTATCCCGAACAGATCCAAAGTCTCGTCGTCTCGGGCTTCAACATGTTCCCGCCAAGCCTGGTGTCACCTGTGCTACCTTACTTTGTCTACGCTGTGCAACGAACCAGCGGGTTCATCAAGAACCCGACCGTGGAATGGAGGCGGTTCTGCAAGGGACAGGGGACGTTGTCTACCACGTGCGACATCTTCAATATGCTGTTTTCCGCTCGCGCTTTGAAGCCCATCGCCGCCAGATCTCTGGTGGTTGCCGCCACGCGTGCCGGGATTAGTGCTGACAACATTGATCACGCTCGTCGGCTATTCGAGACAATTCAGCCGGACAACGGGAGTCGGCTGGTTCAGCACCGAGGCATGCGCCATCCCTGGAACGCAGATGAGCCCCGGATTTTCACGAACCTGGTGACCTGCTGGGCCGAACGCAAGGATCTGCCAGAAGGATTCGAGTCAGTAGTATAGAGTCACGGCTCGATACATTGGGAGGACAACGATCTCTGGGTGTAGTTACCTACGACCTCTCCGCCGGTGTTTCGTTATCGCTTCGGGATGCTTTTGTGTGTTGTTTTCGCTTGTTCCAGGATGAGATGCCATAGCGGGAGCGCAACGAAGAGTGGCGCATGGTTGAGGTGATAATTTTGATCAATGCCGAACCCCAAGACGGCCTTGTAGCACTAGCCATCACTTTCTCGCTGAATGATGTTGCATGCTTCACATCCTCCGATACAAGTGACGGAACCTGAATCCCAACGATCCGGCGTCGAACCTTCGTACCGTGGTGACCCTACATCTCCGCGCCTGAGAAGGGCATAGTTCCCCTCTTTAGCGTGCCACGCCCGGATGAAATCCAAACAAAACACGAGCGAACCAAGCCTCCCAATTTTACTTCAAAAACCTTCGAAGGTTTCTCGCGTCAGCCCGCGCTGCTTCCACATTTTGCATCTGTTTCTTTCTTTACCCGCACCACAATTTCCAATACCACAGAATTCCTCTCTTCAAAGTCCTGATCCCCAATATCCTCAACATGTCCTCTGCCCCGACCACCGCTGCTGCCGTAGTATCCACCGGCGGCTACTCGGCCGGCGCGCAGATCCCCTTCACCCAGACTTTTGTTCAAACCAACAGCGCAGGCTCCACTTTCACCACGGCGATCGGCTTGGTGGGCCAGGTCCTCGACAATGGTCACACCAACTGGGTCGGGTACAACCAAGGCAGCGCCGACTATCTCTTGCAAACGTCTGCCCCCGGCGCAGAACACACGACACTGGCGAATGGACAGATCTTCTATGTCTCGAGCGGCAAGGCACCGGCGGGTTACCTGGCAACTCCCACGGGACAGTCCAGCGACCACGGGTCGACTGGAACTTCCACTGGGCCAAGTGCGACCGGCTCCTCGAGCGATTCCAGCCAGATGCCCACGGCTAGTGGGACCTCTACAAGCGGCTCTGCGACCGACGGCTCTTCCTCGTCAACGGCCTCGGCGGCGACCACATCGAGCACCAAGCCATCCTCGGGGTACAAATCATCGCCTTCGCTCGTGTTGAGCGTCACTGTGGGCTTGTTGGCTATTCTCGGCATTGGTGCTCTCTACTGATGACGAGGTCCACTGGCACACAAAGAATGGGTAGGCTCTGGGTCCATGCCAAAGAAAGTAGGTAGCATGGAGTGACAGAGGCCAGTGACTTCGCGGCTGGGAGTTCCGACCAATCCGATGGGAACCTTGTGCAACTCAATGCGATATGTTTTTCCTGCATGCAGTCAGTAGCGACATATACGACCTAGTCACTAGTGTCGGTGCCAGTTTTGAAGATCCTCAGTGGATTGTCTTCGCAAGTAAACTACTTGGCGCAGTAGTGTACCGGGTAGAATACAGTCGGGTGAAACGTCGACAATGTGTTAATGATCCAGGATGAAAGTCCCGTAATAATCATAGCTCGGATGCCCAAGATTAAAAGAGCCCATCTTTGCTCTCGGGCAAAGACACTTGGGCAATTGCTCGCATATGGTAACGTTGCCTAGCGTTCATCGCGGCCGAAACCCAGTACAAGTTTTCTATCGCCCGTGTGATCTCTCCGATTGCTCGACTTCAAGTGACATAGTCTGGTGACAAAGAGGATGACTCGGCCAAACGCGAAAATGGAGTTGTCGAGCATGATGCATCCATTCAACCGGTACCAGCGGGAAACAAAATCCCAACTGGGATTGCTGCTCCGAAGAGAGAAGGGTAAGGACAAAGCCCAGATTGAGAAGATCGAGATAATTACAAGTGCAATTCCCTGGGTCCATAGACCCAAAATGCCGAGTGAACCGGGAAAGACCGCTGTTTGAGTGGTTCGAGCTTGAAGGTAGATCGCCCATGCGCCGAGAACTGTAGGACTGAGGAAGATCAGGGTTAAATGTCCCATCCAGAGGGCGGGTGAATATGCATCCTGGACAATATGTTCATGATAACCAGGTAGATATTGACTGGACTAGCATGTCCCAGCGGGGCGAATGATGCACAGAAAGACCGTTCTCTCTGACGTGAGATAATGTGGGACTAATTATTGCTGGATAGTTAGGAGGACGATAAAATTCCAACTTCGCTCCAGATATTTAGGTACTTTGGTGCTCAGACCTTCGGTACTTAGTATGTACCGTAGCACGAGAAGTCAGATTCGCTCTCCAAGCGGGGCTGCTGCATATCTAGCCTAGTATAGACTTCTGCGCCTGCAAATCCGCCTGCCTCAACAGAGCCTCTTGAGCTCCCCACCTTGAAGCTCAGCTTCCGTGGGCTCTGTCTGGGCTCTGAGTCATGACATGCGATTGTCTGTCTGGGGCTAATGTCCTACATTGTGTTCAGTAGTACCAATAGCCAGGTCTATTCACTGTTTTCATGAAAGCCGATTGACTCTGGAAGGTGTAATAGTTGATCAGTTCTCACTGAACCAGTTTTATTGGGAACGAGTCTCACTAGATCGATCTAACTCGGAAGCCTTTGACCAGCTTGAAATGCTTGTCCTTCTGTAGATCAAACGACATGGATGAGAATCACTGTGGCCAGGTAGATCGCTTTACCATTTGAAAACAAGTTGTGGCATAAACAAAACCTCTTCTGCTAGTGACGGCTTCCATTAAAACTCATTAACATAACAATAGGGCATAATTCATCCGTAATGAACATGTTGATCACTGGCACAGGTCGGCAGTAAGATCAACAGGCTGGGGGCATCCATAAACCTTCTTGTGAGCGGGCGTACTGTAGCAGGCAGCGTCATTGGCTGCACAGTCGAATGCTTCACAGCCCTCTCCGGGGCTCAGGGAGTTAGGCTGCGCGGCGAACGGATTGCCGAATTGCGTGCTGAATTCATCTGCATATCACAAGAGTTTGTCAGTACTCGTTCATTCATTCAAAATAATTCCAACTACTTACAATAGGCGTAGTCCGGGTTTGATGAGAAAGAATAGCCAAAGAAGAGGGGAGCCTGAAGCGTCTTCAATTTTCCAATCTTCACGGTCTATGGGTTTAAAGATTGTCAGTCAACACTCTGTTCAGTACATCACGAGAGTCCCCTTGATAATAGCGAAGGAAAAACTCACGGAACCCGATGGTCTGAATTTTTCAGAGAAAGTGCCACCCTTGGGAACAGCCGTGAGAGGTCCGGGGGCGCTGCCATCATATGGGAAAGACTGCACGTAGACAGTGGAATCGCAATGGTTGTTCACGATGGCATTTTGAGCCGCGGCCAGCCCAACAAGCGCACCGAAAGAGATAAGAGTGGCCTTCATGATGGATAAAATTGTTGATGTTGGATACGATTGTGTTTGGTGTTGGTTATGGGAGGATAGATGGAATTCTGGACGAGGTTCGTCTGCCTTTTATAGACCAGCAAGAGCTATTGCATGGGCTCATATAATAAGCATCATCTATACCGTGGTTGGTAGGCATGGGAGGCCTCATGTAATGACGATTCTGATGATGCTAAAGATCCAAGACATGCAGATGATACCCGACTGACCGCCAACCGAGAGAGCCAGTCAACGAACAGGTTGCGGAGAAGACATGCATATCGCTGCTCCTTCGAGCTCCTAATATCAGAGACATTCAAAGACATCTGAAGTGGGAGCGTTGCATCCCCCCGCAGCCAAGAATAGGCAGCTGTACCCCGCCAGAACGAACATGAAGTTGATGTCAAAGCTTCTCCATACTGAACAAGTACAATGACCTCAGGCCAAGAACATAGCCCTCCAAATCAGCACTACGCGGTGGATACAACGATATGGCTCGGTCGGAAATTGGGCATCTCCGTTCGAACGATGGCGGCCAAGTCGGAATCTGCCAACATGCATCCCACTGATCGAAAGATGGCAGTGCAGCTGTGCAGTGCTATGACCTGGTGCCGAGCGTCACGGCACGTCATTCTGGAGCCCATCTGAAGCTCTTCGAAGTATTGGATTGGTATTTGGAGCTTTGAGAACAAGTTCAGACTACACGTTGACCAGTTCATGCTTGACGGGTGTCGTTGAATTCCATCGGTGCAAGCTCCCGTGTGAAGTAGCGAGTATTTATCGATCTTCATGGATGGTCGATATGTGCTTGCTCCAGGATTCACTCTGCAGTTGAATTGAAGTAAATCTTGACGGCGACCTCGGTTCGCGCAGCAGGTATCCCTGGTGGCAAAATGTGAGGAAAGGGCCGTGACCTACTGAAAATGCACTTCCACAAGGTCAGTGATGAGACTCAGCCATAGATTACTAGGTATCTATCAGCTGCAGGACGACCTCTGTCCGGAACCTGATATACCAGCTGACAGCCTTACACTCATACGACAAGTGGGTAAAGACTACTAACTGACCATAGAGTACTTATGAACTGTGCCAGGTCTGACGGAGGACTCTTGGCATTAGTACATGTAGCCTCATCGGCCGAAGTCGTTCACCACCTATGCGAATGTTTTCGGTTCGTGTATGGGTGCCTATGAATGGAACGTGTGAGCCGGGGTTGGTGACCTCCATCGGGGGTTACCTTCCGCCTCCAGCTGTAGCTGTGTTATCACTGGTTTGTCGTTGGATATAGAAATGCAAACCTTTTCCCACCAGTCCATAACTCCATACTTACAACGACCCGTCAGCTGGGTCAGGTGGAGCTGTTGGTATATTACCCGCAATGTTGCCAAACTACAGTGTCGCTCAGTTGTCGTCAAGGCCGTCGCGATACTATCACGGGCATCGGACCGACATTTGGTTCCCAGCACGCCTAAAAGCCGAGGCCGGGGCCGAGGCCGAGGATGATGTTGATTCTGAATCTTCACGGTCCCGAAGAGATGATTTCGATGCAGGATTCTCCTTGCTTCATGTTCGATTCGCCCCAGCCTTGAGCCTTGGTCACGGAGGCTGGTCCCCGCAAACGCTGGCGCCCCGCGCAGTCCTGCGAGTCATGCCGCCTTCGAATTCGAGAGGTGCGCCGCGACCGCAATATTCCGGGTGGTTCCTGCGCCCGTGCGCGGGCAACACTTTGGTCGCGATCGGAGTCGCTCGACGGACCCTACAAGTGAGAGTATTGTTCACCAACAAGTCCATTCGACGGGACAGGAACATTCTGTGAGGGACATTCGGCTTCAATTAGAGTCACGGGAAAATCGACTATCAGCTCCCACCGAAAGCACCGAAGCGCAGCCACACCGTCGACGACGTGGATACAATCTACACGAACCTGGAAAAGAAACGCATTCTACTGAACGTCAGTCTTCAGTTCTAGACCTGGGCTTTTGTGGACGGTCGCAAACCTCCTGACATGACTGTTGACAGGGTCCCAGGGCGCCTGCAAGCAGCATACGGGAAGACCAAGCTCATCGGCCCAACTCACTGGATTTACAAAGTAGACAAGGTAGGCGTGCATGGCCTTCAATTTTGCGATATGCGTCACTGGCTTACTTGTTGCCACAGGCCGCGGGAACTTTGACTGGCCGAGAGCCTGATGCTGCTTCCATGGAATTGAAGTCGGACTTGACTGTTCTGATCAAAGAATGTAGAAGCCTTTGTAACTGTGTCAAGTCTCGAAAGGCTCTCGTTCACGAGGGCCCCATTGTGGACATACACACAACCTGACCATCTCATGAAATGTGTGACGAACTGGTGCGATGTTACGTGCGAACCTTCGAGCCGCTGTTTCGGATCCTTCATATTCCCTCCTTTTGGAAAGATCATCAATCAGACTGGGTAGCGCCTCGAAGTTCTTCCACCTCTTTCATGATGAAATTTAATACTGGTCCTTGCTATTGGCACAAGTCTGCCCGGGCAGTCCTGTCGAGGTAGACGACCATTATGCGCAGCTGATATCGAAATGGATCTACGCGGCACAGTGGTGGCTTGCAGGACTTTCGAATGACACAACGGCGAATCTAGACAATTGACAAGTCCTCTGTCTTTCACTTCTGGCACGCAAAGTTTGTCGATTCGGGATATCCAGCGTGCCTTCCACAAATGCACTGATCGAGACGACAATGCGTTTGGGGATGCACATGAATCCCGGCTTCTTTCCAAGTTCGTTTCCCTTCGATTCTGAGAGACGACGCCGTCTCTGGGCCACAGTCTGTAAATTGACGATACAATCAGCCATGGAATTTGGCCTACCATGCCAGATTCCGTCGGGATGTGATTCACGATCGCCCTTAAACCTCGGTGACCTCGACATTGATATGAATATAACTTCGCATCCTCTGGTGATGCCGCCATCGCAGAGCCGATGCGTCTGTCACTCGATTGCTTTAATCATAGTTGGAGGTACGCCTGAAAGTCGCAAGACTGAATGACACTTCCGGAGAAAAATCCTATCAACAGGCGCTGGGCCTCACAGCAGAACTGCCTCGCATCTACCTGAGTCTTTTTCCTCGGAGCTCAAGCAGCACGGCCTCGTCCTCGGTCAGTGATTTGCGTGACACAGAACTTGCGAACAAATGCCTAGCGGTGAAGCTTCAACGGTACATCCTTACTTTGCACGGGCCCTTTATTGAACAGGCTCGAAGCGATCCCCAATTTTGCTATTCTTGTAAACCCGAGTCGACCATGATTTTCGAATCTTATGCCAACTGCCTCGGTCTGCCAACAGATCCCACAGATGACTACTCTAAGATGATTCTGGACAAGGCGGCAGTTCCAAAGATCCTCTCAGTCTAGATGTTCACTCCATTCTGGGCCTAGAGATCGTCACTCAATGTAGAAGGGCAATCCTCGGAAGTCTCTCTAACACGGGCAATTGATGAAATAGTGAACGCTGCCCGCGCCCCCCTGTTTTCCGTGTTCTTTAACGAATTGTGAACCTGTTGTGCCAAACTATTGGACTGGGGAGCCAGAGTATGAAGTGGTACATCTCTCTCACCGCGATCTTGGTCCAGATTAAAGCCAGGGAAGCGAAGGCATGCGTCAAGCGAAGGGTACATGAAGATCTGAAGGGTGCTTTCCTGGAATGTCACTCGTTGCTGCAGCCTAATGTGGCTAGCGTATCACATCTCACCACTGGCACTGATCTTAGCTTGTCTGCTCCAGAATTTTTTCAAAACGCTCTGCAACACGCGGCAGGTCTTTGGCGTCCTGGATATTTGACCCGCTATAGCAAATCCCGAGAGACTGACAGAGCAAGCAGGACCTCACATTTGATTTGGACTTTTCTAGCTTTTTCTCCTTCAGGACATGAACGATTTTATGACATTACTTTGTGGAGTGTAGCTTATTCGAAACTCGCTGTCACTGTGAAGATTTGACTTCGGGCTAATGCACTTTTCCACACGAGCCATTGGAATCTAATCGAATTGTCTTTGGCACGGATCCTGTCTAGGGGTTTTGGAGCATGACGAATGCAAGAGGGCACGATGAAGCGAGGATCGTAGCAGCCTTTTGACCTGGTGAGGCTTTCTCCACAGATCAGTCCGTCCTAATGGATACCCACTACTCGTGTCAAGATAGTATTGTCCTTCTTGATTAGGAAAGTATTTTGAGTTTATTCCATCCACCCGCCGATTGGGTGGAGCCAAGTGGAGTCCATGACATCCAGGAAAGCCCCCCTTCAAGATGACATCGGTCCAATCAGAGTCACAGGGCCCATTCCGTTCTAGGAACTTGAAGGGAGTGGGGCTCCAGAGTATTCCGAGTCGGTCACTGCAATCGACAACAGAAGGTATTTAAAGCTTTCAGTCGCTTCACCAGTTCCATATCAGTCGCCAAATTCCCTCAACATTCAAACCACCAGTTGAAAGAATGCTATCAAAACATATCGGTCACCCTGCCACAGAGGCTTTGCATGCAGACGATCGCCTTAATCTGGTGCCTGATGTGGCACCACCAATGCACTTGTCGACCACCTTTCGATACTCAAAGGATCCGGATCAGCTAAAGGTCTCGGAAGATCCCGTGGTATGTACTAATTGTCTGACAATCTATAAGAGATACGAGCGATCGACCACGCTAATCCTTACAACAGGCGGAGTTTGACGGGACGAACTACGTGTATTCTCGCGAATTTGCGCCGAATGCCACCCGCTTTGAAGCAGTGCTCTCATCACTCCTCAAAGGTACAGCAGTGTCCTATGCAACCGGACTTGCTGCACTGCATGCGGCCTTGGTGTTGCTCAACCCACGGCACATCTCTGTCGGCGAAGGCTACCATGGTAGTCATGAAGTGATAGCTGTCGTTTCCCGCCTGTCCGGACTCAAAAAGCTCCCGATCGATTGTCCAGCAGAGAACCTGAACCAAAGCGATGTGATTCTTCTCGAAACACCAATCAATCCTTACGGGACCGCTTTCAACATCGAGGAATATGCCAGAAAGGCACACTCTCGGGGTGCGTACCTGATTGTCGACAGCACTTTCGGACCTCCTGGTCTGCAGGATCCGTTCCTCTGGGGCGCGGACATCGTCATGCACTCAGGCTCAAAATTCTTCGGAGGACATAGCGACATGCTCTGCGGTGTTCTTGCAGTTCAAAGGGATGGCTGGGCGAAACGCCTATTTGAGGATCGTATGGCTCTGGGCAGCGTCATTGGCAATTTGGAGGGGTGGCTGGGCACGCGGAGTTTGCGGACTCTCGAGGTTCGCGTGCAGCGTGCCAGTGAAAACGCAGCCAAACTCATCAATTGGCTCGACGATGCCTTGAAAGCTTCTTCGCCTGCGCCGGGCTCAGACCAGCACACTGTTCAGGCCATATTGAAGATGATTTATCATGCCAGTCTTCAGGATGAACCTTGGTTGAAGAACCAGATGCCAAACGGATTTGGCCCAGTATTTTCGGTTATCTTGCAAAACGAGCGATTCGCCCGCACACTTCCGAGCCACCTCAGTTTCTTCCAGCATGCAACAAGTCTGGGTGGGGTGGAATCTTTGATTGAATGGAGAGCCCTGTCCGATAGCCGGGTGGACAAAAAGTTGCTGCGGATCAGTGTTGGTATTGAACATTGGGAAGACCTGCGAGATGATCTGCTGCGGGCATTCCGGTCGTTGTCTGGTGTCTGATTAATGTCAAAAAAAAGTAGACGATGGCTTAGTCGGTGGAAAACCAGGCAATTGTCGTGGGCTGGTCTCGTATTCTATCTATATCCATAACCAATCTCGACCCAGCTGGCCAATGTCAAAGATCCAACGCGATTGTCCAACCCCAGAGGCATCCGCCTGAAACCAGTAGGCCTGCAGAGTTTTAGCGGCATTGACCGCGTTTAGACAACTGGTGGCGTTCCAAAACTTCTCAAGCAAAGTTTGTACGATGTGACGTTCTGTTTGTGTCGAGGACTCCAAACCAGCAACAAAGATTGGCCAGAGAACGCACTTGAACATGGCCCAATCATTCTGTAAATCTTTCAGCACGTCAAGCAGCTCGCTTACCAAAGCAACAAGCTGCGTTGTATATGCCGTCATGGCGTCCAAAATTCGCTTGCCGTATATAATGGTGCCAACTTTGAACGAGCGCGCCAGCAAAGTTAGGCTGCCACGTTCCCTGGCAGAAGAAGACACCTTTTGCAGTTGCGCCACCCAGGCGTAGCAGTCAAATTCTTCGCAAGTCCGTACGAGTTCATGTGTTCTTCTGGCGTGGGTTTCCACCATCAATGGATCAATAGTAGGCGAAAACAAAATATCCCTTTGTATGGAAAGTGAATGCATCACGTGGAGAATATGGTCAGGGCACCCAAGAAAAGAAGTATCAGTGGTCTCTGAGAGGAGGGCCTCCTCGTGCTCTGGGATGACGAAGCCCGAAAGAGTTCGGGGCCGCACGAAGGTCGCACCGAGAGTCCCAATTCTGTTGATGCAATGCAGGTGTGAGCTCATCACGAATTTGCTACTTGAAGGAAAGGGCGAGAAAATACTAACACTTTGATCTGCTTCGCAATAAAAGTCAAAATTCCATGCAAAGTTTGTCCCCGGCCCTGATTGATGCCGGCTTGCGGCTCAGATTGAGGCTGTAATGAGGCCACGAGATTCTTTGCACCTTCCAAATGGAAATTCCATCCATCACTTCCTGATTCTACCAGGTCCAAAAAAACAAGAAGAAACACACTAGCCAAGGTCGAGTCTTGCCTGCTCGATATAGGATCTGCTACCGCGCGAGAAAGTGCCGCGATAGCCTGATGTTTCAAGACAAGCGCACGACGATCTGCGGTGACCTGTTCCGGTGGTATCGGAGATGTCAGCTCGTGGAATGTCTGGCATTGATTGGCACGGTGGCGCGCCGCAAGGGCAAGAAGAGCTTTGCTCAACACCGGGCTGATCAGACTTAGAGCAATAAGCTGTCGGAATGGATTTCGAGTGGTGTCGCGGACAATGAAAAGTTGGCAAATTCGTTCTTTATCTTCAGAGGAGCCCTCAGTACTTGATTAATTCATCGCAGTTGTTGCAGGTCCAAGAACATACAGTAATCAAGATAATATTTGGAGACATCATCCAGACCGGAAAGAGCGGGGTCGGGAATTGCCAGTGTCCTCACAGGGGCCTGGCGTAGAGAATATGGCCCCGAATGATCCCCGAGAATTGTTCCTTTTAAGGCGTGAGCTTAGCACTACCAAGCCCCCCTGCGACGGAAGGCGATCGCGCATGCATTCAGTTGATCGGTGCTTGCAGACTGTAGTCAACATAATGCCAGTTTTCCACTTGCCACTCACCCGAGGATTGCACCTGCCTCAAGGCTCGCCTCTGATGGGCCGAGCCTTGCCTCCCATTTTGCTTTCCTGGCGAGGGATCATCCAAAGTCCCGTAAACGTGCCCTTGAAGCTTGCCACGAATCGCTACTCCTTTCACCCATTTAAGAGGACGTTTGTCAAGGCAAGCTAAACCTGCGCTACGACATTTGCCGCATGGCACACCGGACTGATCGCACTGGATGCGCCGATTACGGCAGGTATAGCATGGGCCGTCGATCACGGAATTCATCGGTGATTGAAGCTCTTCTGAGTCGTGGCCGACTCCACGAGGTCAGTACTTGCTGGAGTATCAGACGAGACCAAGCCAGTCGGGCTAAGACTTTGGAATAGCTGATAGGCGTATTCTTGGACTGAAGGCAAGGTGCACGACAAGCTCGAGGGTCAAGTGTACGATCTGCGATCCGGGCGGACGCCAGACAGGGTTTCGAAAGACAACTTGTGTGACTGTGCGGTGGGTGGCAAAAGGCAATAGCCCACGACAGGCCGCCGGGAGACGGGATGCCAGTGGACCATCCAACCCGCGGGCAGTCGGGTACCTTCAAATATTTGAATCTTAGTCACCACATCGAAGTGCCGGTGGAAGCTCCTGCGCGTGGCAATTGGTGGGCATCCGTGGATTTAACTCGGGAAAAAATCTAGGTGTCCTGAGGAACCTTCAGGCAATAAAAACTGGGGGAGGCAGTCACACAATATCTCGTACCAGTCAGTGACAAGATTTAAATGTACCGCCGATCTTGAAAACCTATTCGATTTTCCAAGTCTCAGATAAAACCCCATCTCATGAGCCAGTCGTAGACTAGCAGTACTGACTGAATGATAGTGGTACGGGCTTAGAGACCATCTAGATATTCTCGGCTACCTACCCTGCCGCCTCCGAGGTCGTCATCAGGGCCCACAAACCTCTCAGCAAACCTAGCCTCTATCGCTCTCTCTGTCTTTCTTTCTCAATCAACCAAGCTACGTTTCATCGCTTTTTCTTTCTTCCTTCCGTAGAATATTTACGAGTAAAGACAGCCTGAATCGCCAAAGTAAAGAGGGTGAAGATTGCAGAGATCACCTTTCGCAAATGGAACCGCATCGCTCGAAACAAACCCAGGTGAGCCCGGGAAACAGATAGGAGGTTGAATTGATCATACTACGACTAAAAGACGAAGATCAAGAACCCAAAGTAAACCGTAAACTGTAAACGGCAATAACACGAACTCATTGTTATCTGCAACATCGCTTGACGATTTTCTCGGCTGCCCTATAAGAACTTGGACGCTAGGAAAGGTCTTTTCTAAGCAAAAGACTTCTTCTTCCTTTTCTGAATCCAACTAACGCATAGGGAGCCGCATCGCCTCGATTAACGTACTATCTCACCTAGGTTGTCATGTAGAATACAGAAAGAACGATATGATGTCTCGCAAAGGTTTGACAAATCGACGGGAGGATCAAGTCCTAGACTACTATCTTTCTGTGAAGGGGGCGCTCACCTCCAAGGCAGCCATCTATACTCAGTCGGTCAGTCCAGTATCCCTAGACATGTATCCTGCGAACACAAAGGCTATTGGAGGCTACTGTGAAACGTAGCAGACCCAAAAGAGGGGAGAAAGGAATGGTGAGATTGCATCTGGTGAGAGGTGCCTATCTAAGCTACGAAGGTGGTGTGCGTGGGCGCGCACCACGCTGGTGAGACGCGCCAAACCACCAAGCTATCTCAACAAAGGCCATTAGTCGGATGCTGTAAAAACGATTATTGACACGTAGGTAACCTAGGACAACCACACAGGCGCCGCTTAACGAGGAGCTAACTCCGCCATACCCATGCCCAAGAGGGAAAAAACTCCCATAGCAGTCGTCTCGTAGCATAACAAAAGGACTTCAAGCCCCGGATATTATTGAGCTTTGATTAGAGAGTGACTACGATCTTCAAGGATCACATAGAGTTTACAGGACTTCGCCACGCCGACAGTTAACGATTCCCGGCAAGCTGGACTTCGAACTGGAGAAGCTTCAATATACGGCATCTCTCTTGATGTCTACATTCAAATTCAAATCACGAATTAAATAGCACGACGGCGCACATTGGCTCATTATATCATTCTTAGCATAGGACTAGTGTCCATAACGTAATGATACTAGAAGATCTCGCCCGTCAGAGAAACTATGGGTCCAAGCTCTACGCAACACTGATGAATCATGTACCACGACGGTGATAGAATATGCTGATCTCTCGATATTGATGTGATGCATGTAGTCCCGCGCGAGCGTCTCTTTGGCGAACCTCAGTCTTGAACAAACCTAGGCTCTACCTAGAGCCCAACTCATCTGTTACATGCGTCACAACAGAACTTCGAGTTCACTTTCAATCTTTTTACAAATGGTATGAAAAGACCGATACCTAGATATGCGCCTTGTCGTAGAAATCGAGCGGAGTTTAGTTAGAAGATATTTGTTTCTTCGTCCTAAGAAATCCTGAAACATGACGCAAACAATGCTGAAATATAATGGACGTTTTCTATGGAATTTGCAGCGGCTTGAGCATACACCGCCACAGTCCATTAAAACTCCATGATAATTAGAATTTGGATTAAGAGGTTCACCAAGTTGGTAAGATGGCCGAGTTGGTCTAAGGCGTCAGGTTAAGGTCCACCTTAGCACAACCTCCTGATCTCGTTTACGGGGCGTGAGTTCGAATCTCACTCTTATCAACAGAATCTGTTTTTGCCCCTCCATGGGGGCAGCCAATCAAAAAATGAGTTTTCATCGGGGTAGTTGTCTATTCCCAGATGAAAATTATGAGTCCCTACCTTTTCGGAGTAAATTGGATTTCGTCCCCATTAGTCTATTATGGCCGCCGGTGTGGTAGAACCTCCCTTAATCCCTGTGGCAGACAATACCTATACTGTCATGTAGCAGGCAGAATTCACATGGAAATATGCGCCACCAAGTGTGAAGCCAAAAGGATCTAGATATCTTGGAATAGTATCATAAGAGATTCCGCCACGTAGCGGATCAGTGGAATGCCAAAACTTCCAGAGTGGCTGGCTGTGGCGTCCAACACCATTTTTCCACCAAAAGTTCGAAATATCGATCTGCGGAAGTGTTCCACACCTTAGGTAGGTACTTGACGGCGTCCAGGTAGAGTTTGACACAGAATGAATAGCTTCCACAGTCCATGTCCATTGGCGTACCTAATAACCAGAAGGGCACATTGAAAATCACGGCCCGGAAATTCACATTACTGGAAGTATCTCACAGTGCACTATTCCCAGTTGTAAATTCTGAAGAATAGTCGCTTGGCAAGCTACACTATTTTTTCCGCGACTAGAAACCCTCTCCTTCCATTCTTCAAAAGTCATTGGGAGAAGGAAAGGTCTTAGCCAGCAAAGCGCCCTCTTAACCTCGATAGTCGTGCCGTCATAAAATCAAAAGCACTTAAGGCTGTAAGAACTCTAACACAACTCACAATCACTCTTTGTGGGGGATCATTTACCGGCATAGATAATCCAGACGCAGACCCACTGCTCGATTGCATGAGGATGGGCTGTAACTTCCTCATTGAAAATTTTGTCCCTCAAATTTGATTGGCAGACTCGACAATTCATGTCCAGCACTTTCTCTGGATGATTTTTTCTTACCTCGTGACCTGGAGATCTTTCGGTTGACGATACTTTGTGCGGTAATCGTGAATATTTATGCTTTGCGAGGTTTTGAATAAACGCCAGTCAACTGAGAGACACCGAACGTGGCAGCCCCTTTCCATAGGTAGGTAGGTTCACCCAAGACCGTGTGTGGCCGCAGCCGCGACATAAAAGTGAACACCACTGTGTTCTAGACATTGGAAAAAGATCACACAGCACGACAAGGCCGGGGCGGCAGCAGTGCAAAATCGAAGAAGTGAAAGACACCATTTTTTCCGAATCATGCCATTTTCCAGTAAACTCTGCTGATCCCTCATTTAGCAGTCATGGGTCATAGATCCAGATCACAGTGTGAGCTAACGTCACACCTTGGTCTTAGAAAAAAACCCCAGGGGGTCTACGCTGTATCAAGTTCCGCCCGGGATCTAAATGACCCAGCGCGGCTTCATGTATTAAAGTAGCTAAGAAGAATACTCGGACTGATCTCTACTAGGTAACGCTCCTATACTAGTATGATCTTCCAATAAACTTTAGTCCAAGCCTAAAAGGAACCGTCATGCAAAGTTAATATCTATTCTCGAGGATTGACCAACAAAATATCCTAGATCTCAATTCTGGCCCCCAAACAGAGAGAACAGGACGAAGAATCTCTACTCAAGGTATCATTGTACCGCTTAAGGACTATGCTCGGACTCGGAGGTAAGGTAGCCGCCGCTTAATATCGGGAGAGCTTGACACACAAGTTGGCCGAGATCGCCTCCTTTTATATAGGCCAAGCCATATTACAGATCAGGATACGTGAGAAGCAATGTTCATAGAATACCATCCTCTACTCATCTGGCCGGGCTTGTTCCAGATCTGGAAGTTCTAAACTGCAGATCTAGACCACATTGTGAGATAGGGGGACGTCATTTCCTGGTCAAGGAATCCCCTCCTCCCAGAGTGCTCCACGCCGTATTAAGCTCACACTTTACAATATCACATCACAGCTTCGTGCTGGTGGCTCAGCGAATTTATAGTCGCGGGATCGGCGCTTGTAGATCAATCAATCACATCTGAGAGTCAAAACCCGAATCATCACCGAGTGATATGCTTTCTCGAATAAGACTCGTTTTCCACAACGATCTTCTCCAGCGACAGGGCTATAATTTACAAGAGTCAGCGTGAGCGAAAGCACCAGGCTTCTGATTTGGATGATCTACCATCGAAAATGAAGAACAGTGGAAAAACCCATTGTTTGAGGCCTCGGTCTGCAACGCGTCGTCTTACCACTCGTGGGTATGTATGTATGTCTCAGCCCGTTGGTGGTCAGGGACTGGGCTCGGTGGCTGGGTGGAAGATCGACCCGGGGACAGAACGAGTCCCACTGTTGGCATGATCATATGCTCACTGGTCTTATAGAAAGATTCCGATGCTGCACATTGTATCGGTGTAGTATTAGTGTGCTTGTCTGTGGGTACGTTCGTTCCCGTATAGCCGAGTGACGGACAACTCCGAAAGACAGATGGGAACTGGTCAGCAGTCACGTGGCGTCGATTGCGCGATGACACTTTAGTAGCCAGGAGGCACGAGAGCCAGCGTAGTGGTTTTGAATGGCCTACTC